CAACCACGGTGTACTTTTCGCTCTTGCTTCGCCCGAGTTGCCTCGATTGGCCAAAGAAAAATTCTACTTCATCGGGAGCGCTTCAACTGCCGCGCCTCACCAGGCGGCAACGGGTTTATTTTTAAAACGCTTTAGTCTGCAGTTTTTAAAGACCCAGCCTCGCCAATACGAGTTAGTCGCCGAAACCTATGTGTGCGCGCGAGATCCCTGAAAGCCAGTCGTGCGTAAAATAATTTAATGCACCGCCTCGCGAAGCGGCTCAACGCAATTTTCCGCGGAGGACGAGAGCCGGGCGTTCGATAGGCGCCGCTCTGCTTCGCCCTCGAAAGCGAGCGTATATTCGAGACGACTCGACAATGCGAACAATTTGCCGAACAAAAAAAGCTGGAGCGGCGCGAACAATGCAAGTCATCGACATGGAAGCGCCCAGCATCCGCTTTCCCCGCCGCGCGCACTCGCGCAAAAGTAGAGAGCGCGCGGCGCGCTGCGTAACCCTAAATTCTTACGGCCGGCGAATATCCAGCTCCAGATATTTGCAAGTTTAGCCCGAGGGCTGCAATTCTGCACCTCGCCGCAACTGCGATAATCCTCCGCGAAATCGGGTCGAACGCGCAAATCGATAACTCGCAGTATTTCTCTCGGGTATTATTAACGCCACTCGCGGAGCTGATATTTTACATCCAGCGGCTCCGCTTTGACTGATCGATTGGCTAATGGAATCAAAGGCGCGCACGGGGAGAAACCTCCGAGAGGAGAGATGTACACGCTCCGTGTGTGTTTATTACGTTTAATTATCGCTCGAATTCGTTTAGGCGAGTCTGCCCTTTTTTTTTCTTGTTTGCGGACCATCGGCGAGCTGGCCTCGTACAAACGCTCGCTAGGCACAGAGAACTCGTCGGCTCAGCGGGCTTCGATCAAATTTAATACACACAACGCCGAGATTTTTCAGTCGTGAGTCGGTGTGTGGTAAAAACGACGCATTGAAATTGACTAATTTTGCGATATTTATAGGAGACCGGCAGCCAAGGCTGTGCGAAGAGCTTCGCCGTCTCTTGTGTTTCAAACTAATCGTTTGCTATTATAACATTCAATTACAATACTCTATTTCCTGGAGTTTCGAGTCAACGCTAGCCATACTCTGGCTTAAGGTATTTATGCCATTCTAATCGGATACCTTGGTAATTTATGAGCATTATCATTATTCAAGGCTCTAAGACCGCAGCACTAAACTTTGATGCACGCGCGAATTGAAAACAATCAGCAAAATTTGCAATTGTTTAAAGCGTGACACGAATCGCAAGCTGTGCTCTGTTTACAAACAACATATTCGGAAAAACAAACGTATCACTCAGAATGGAGCTGATTGAGCAGCGAGTTTCGCCATAACGTATAACGCAGGTCATTCAATTACGCGCAGAGAGCGAGGTTTTACCGATGCATCGCACAGACAATGTCAAAAATATAAATATTCGACGTGTATGCGCGCATGCGCCACGTCGCACACGTTAACCCGATAAAATTAACGATGCACACAAGCGTTCGTCCGAATACGTGGACTTGCGAACAATCGAGGCTGAGACGCGCGAGATTTATCCCTTTCGTCTCCTCCTCCTTCCACGTGTAACGAGGCGCGTGCGCGGTAAAGGGAAGCAAAAATAACGCTCGAGAGGCGATAACGTCGTCGCCGTAGTCGGATGAATCGAAGCATAAAATACACGAATCAGCTTGGAGGAGTGGGTACTTGGCGCTCTTCCCCCTCCCGCCTTTCTCTTTCTCGGCTCGATAACGATGTTTAACCCACCTTTTCGACGTCATAATAACGAATCCACCGACGAGATCGGCGCGAGATAAACGCGTGGATAACGCGGATAACGCGACGCCGTACCAATATATCTGTCTGCCAACAGCGCGCCGCGCTTCCAATACAATTGCACCTTCGCCTGCGAGACAGCCAAAACTGTCGCGCGTGAGAACATTCCGACATGCCAGAAGCACACTGGAAGCTTGCGATTCCTGGACCGACACTACCGAAAGTGCACCGTAGCGACGGTACTCGCATCCTGAGCCATCGATTCGAATACGCAGAAGGCACCCTCTCGAGCGAGGGAGCCGGAATCCACCGACACTCGCGCTGCACTCGATTCGAAGAATTCGCCTCAAACCCGAAAAGCTCGCCAGGGCATGCAGCAGAGAGACAGAGGGAAAGAGAATACGCCGGCGGAAGCCGATTCGCGGGATATGTGAAGCAGACGGCTGGCTCTTGGTCGAACATGTCAACAAACGGCAGGCGAGCGCGTCTCCGTGGCTGCCCCTCTCGCTCGCTGGCAATCGACGAGACAGGGCCTTATCGAGTTTTATCGCAGGTGTGGGCTGCTGCGGAGGCCAGCCGAGCTTTCTCGAATCGGCACGTGCGCGGGTTGTCCGCGGGAATGTGTGTGTCAGCCTGCAACAGACACGACCGCGAACTACCTATCTTCCGCGACCGCCTCACTAATAACTTACCAATCGTCAAGAAATGTAGCCTGGTTTTCATTGTCACCGAACGCTACCGGTCGAAAGTCTAATTCTTCCGAGACAAATCGATCGACTGGATAAATCGAACGTCTCGCTCGTAATCGTTCGCTTCGTCAAAACTAACGAGTATAATTGCACACCTCGACAAACTGACACATACGCCAGCAAAGAATGTAACAAGTCATCGTATTTACTCGCCGAATGACATGTAGACGTAGAAAATTAAACGTCCATCCTCGTGAAGATTAGCCTGCTGCGAAACTGTCCTCTCTCCAAAAATATCGAAAATTAACCTCGCTCTCTGGCGCTCTCCATCAACATTCGGCAAAATTAGCCTGCCTCTCTCTCTCTCGCTCTCTCTCGCTCTCTTTCGCTCTCTCTCTCTCACTCTCTATCTCTCTCTCGCTCTCAAACTCTTGCGCGCACTCGGTCTCGGCTGGGGAAAAAGCGCACGCGCGTATAAGCCGGCGATGGCTTTCCGTGACGTCAGCGTTCGTTTCCTCTGCGCACCGATAAGCCGCCAAAAAAGAGTTAGCGTCTCGGAGAGGGAAAACTGAAAAGGAAAAAGAGAAATTTTCGGGCCAAACTGAACGGTAGCGTCGCAGTGCAGACGCGTGGGCGACGCGCAAACGAGAGTATACACACAGATACACACAGACACAGACACAGGCAAACGCGCGCGCGCGCGCGCACACACACACACACACGCGCGCGCGCGGAGGCTTAGGGAGAGCGAATCGCTCGCACGATGTATACGTGTGTAGGTATATTACCATGTCAGCTCCCAGGTCTTTCATATCGCAGTAGAGAAAAAGATCCCCCGGCGGCTTCATCCAGCCGCCTGTGTAGCTGTCCACTGTCTCCAATGCTGCTCTGTCGAGTCGGCTGACCTCTTCGAAATTCAGCGTGCGGCCGCTGTTTGCTCGCTCTGTGTGCTGCCGTGTATCGCTTGACCGCCGCCGCACGCAGCAGCCGCGAACGGCGACACTTGGCGACAATGGAGCTTGGCGCTTTAACCGGAGCCGTCGAAGGCTCGATAACCGCCGTCGAACCTCCGATCTTCCCCGCGCACTTCACCACGACGCGATCGCCCTCTCTCTCGCTCTCTTTTTCTCTTTTTCTCTCTCTCTCTCTCTCTCTCTCTCTCGCACACTTCACACTGGCTGCGTCAATCCTGACCACGGCTTCCGATCGAAGACTCCGTGTCACTCGCTCGAGGGTGTTGTTGTCGTCCAAGGGCGCCGCGCCTCGAGCAGCCGGCACTGCCGCTCGTTCCTTCTCGCACTCGACAGACCAACAACTCGGCTACTTCTCTGCTGCTGCTCTCTGCGGCTCTGCCGAGCGCATTCGCACACACCACCGCGACTCGCCGACGACCATCCAAACTCAATCTGCCGTTCGCTGCCTCCTGCTCTTGCCTGTCTTGTCAACGTAAGTCGAGCCACTTCGACGACGACTCGTGTTTTGCACTAAACTCTACACCACGACCACGACACCAAGACGACGAGAGAGCGGCTCTCGCTCGGCACGCACCGCGATGGACGACTAAGAGCTGCACGCCGAAACAAAGAACGACGCGCGACGGTGGCGCCACGCTTTTCCGAGCAGCCGCCAGCCGCCCCGCGCCGAGCCCCAGCCGCTCTGCTGTCCTGTCCGTGTGTCGTACGGTCGTACCTACACACGTCCCTGCCCGCTTGCCTGCCTGCCTGCCCGCGCGTTTCAGTCGTGAATACACCTAGTGGCTCTACCTTGGGAATAACGAACAGCCGCAGCGATACGCTTGCTCACTTCATTTTTCTACCTGCCTTTTTATCACCGCTGCTTCTTTGCTTCCACAAATGTGGGTTACGCCGTTGAGCTTTTCCCGGGAAAACGCTTCGATTCGAGGGGTATTTGATTGCAGCGATCGCTACTTGCTACGTTTTTATAGAAAAAAACATTAATTCACTCTTTTTGTTTGCAAGCTGATGCCAAAATAACTCGCCTCTTTTGATTGTACGAAAATTCTTGAGCGTTCGCCAATTTGCTTGGAAATGAGTGTTTCAATGAACATTTACCAATTAACACATTAAATTAGGTCTCATCTGAAGAATGTCACGCGTTTTTTTTGATAATTGTCATTAAAATAAGGGTCTTTTTTTCAAAATCTTTTGTGGTATACAAACAAAACTGCCAAAAATTCGCGGTTAATAACTATAAGAAATTTATAGGCATAAATATTGCCCTTTTGCAAACATTACTAATATATCAGATAATTATCTATTGATAATAACTCATGCGTCCATAATACCACTAAATCAAATGTTTCGTTTACAATTAAATGTGTATGGGCTATCTTTAACATCAAAACGTTTGTCATTCTTAGAATAAAATGTAATTAGTACTATCATTATCTTTGAAAAGAAAAGGAATGTTCTTTAAAAAAGAGTAAAATTTGTTTATAGCCTTTTTGATCTCTAATATTAGCAGAATAGTATACATATCTGTCATCTTTCTTTAAGTACATTGATATGACATCACCATATAACCTGACCTCATGAAAAATCCCACAAGGAGATTGTACACAAATAAGCATTAAAGAGTATTGTTAGGCGTGGTGTGCCATTTATCGAGAGGCGGACATTAGTGGGCGACGAAGAAATCGTGGGCTTACACCGAGTGGGTATTTACAAACCATACAAAAAGACACTAATTAAAACTTCCAAATGTTTTTCAACACTTTTAACGTTATTGTTTTATTTCAAAGTTGATTATTAATCTTTTATCTTGATTTTTACCTACATTATAAAGAAAGGACAACATGCAAATTGCAAGGAAAAACTAAGGATAAGAAAGAAAAGCTAAAGTAATATCTCTTCAAAAATTAATTAATACCACTGAACAGCAAAGAAAAAAGTTTTGAATGTACCAAAAGTTACAATATTCAACTTGTATCACAATGTTTAGTTTTTAAATACCTATATCTCATTGAAAAATTCATTTCTCTGATATGAATGTCATTATTTATTTAACTAACCTGTCCATTTCTCAATTGCTGTTGTTGCTGCTGTTGTTGCTGCTGCTGTTGATGATGAAACAATGCTACTTGTTGTTGAGTCATTTGATTATTTAAATACACAAATTGCTCAGTTCCTGGAGTGCCACTCTAAAATCAATTATTTTCTAATTAGTAACCAATAATAACAGATCATTCAACAAGATTACCCTAAATAGTACCTTCAACTGCATCGGATGAATTTCGTAGGGCATATGTACATTATTCATCGCTTGAAGGCCAAGCTGTTGAGGTTGACTTTGCTGCGGTACTCCAAGTTTATTCATAGGGTACTTCCATTTTTCTTGATTCTAAATAAAAGGATACAATAATATTTTTATTTATCTTAACTAAATATGTCTTTATGTAATTTAATTGCTTACATTATCAATTATTCCATCATCTGCTAAAGCCCATGCTCTAGGTGCTTGTTTTGTTTGAAAAGCTGATGACTGGACTCCAAAGTCTTGATCTGTTGGACGTTGGAATACATAACCCATCATAGTTTCATCTTGAACTCTATTCATACCAATTGGAAGTGTCTGTCCAGGAGGTAATCGAACTGCATCACCACCAGCCATAACCTGACCACAAGTTTCAGTGTCCTGCAATTATATACAACAATAAAGTTAAACTAGTAAAAACATCATAATAAAATAAATGAAATATTGGCTCTTTATCCACATGTTACTAATAACATAATGAAAAATACAACTTTCTTTTCAACCATTGGAAATAATACTTGTGTGAGTAATGATGTACGTAGTATAAGTTATACATAATTACATTGATTAAATAATTAACTTATTGATAAAGAATAGGAAAACAAAACATTAGAAAATCAAATATTTGATAACGAGTTAAACATTGTGTGAAGTCAGAGCAATTGATAGTCATTGGAATCATTGGAATCAAAGCCCATTTCAGTAATAAGCATAATTGACATTGAGCTGGAAAAGTTGATGAAACGAGCTTAGCTCTTGAGGAAATGACTTTTGACAGTTTTACACTCCATCTGTTATCTAACTTGCAAAATTGCTCTCTGTCCCTCTCTCTCTTTTTCTCTCTCTCTCTCTCTCTTTCTTCTCATCACTATCAAAACCTCGAGAGACAATGGCATTGTGTGTGCAAAAAAAAGAGGAAAGAAAGACAGACAGACAGAAAACGAGAGGGCACTCACCGTTGGTAGATGTCCGTTGGCACTTGGATGGTGAAGTTGCATGGGGGGCGTCGGTTCACCTCCGGCCCCGGCACTGCCCGCACCCAGCCACTTCATCCTCGTCGACCTCACGGAGGCAGTCGAGAGAGCGACTAGGTTACCTCCTCTCTGCGCGAGTACGAAACCGGCTGCGGATGTTGGCGCTTGCTCACGCACACGGAGTATGCATGACGCTCGACACTCACTCACACACGCGTGCACATACACGTATACGCATATGAGCCGAACCGCTAAAAAAATGCCGCCGTCGCCGCAGCCGCCGATGATTTGAGCTTTTAGCCTGCTTTTCGTTACCTGGTGCACTCCACAACTGCTAGCCAACGGCAGCAATTTACTTTCGAAATGACACTTCGATCGATGATTTGCAAATATAATGCATGAAAATCGAGAAAATGCCAGAGTATATCAAAATCGAGGAGGTCACAGCGAGAGTCAACTGTGCACGCGAAACGAAAGAGTGAGGTTAAAGTAGGCGAGTGCACGGTTTTGTTTTGTTACTCGACTGTCTTTTGTTATTTGTTCGTTCGCCTGTACGCACGACACTATACACTATTTTATACTGATGGTGTATGTGCTAGTGGTGTTGACCCTTGATAAAAAAAGTCGTTTGTAGGGCCCTCGTGTCGATTCGCAAAAATGCACACTAGTGTCCTTTTGATCGACACGACACACACTTACACAGGCTCACGTACAACGGAAAATGAACGGAGTAGGAGGAGAGCGAGCTAGTACAACGCGGGGGCAGTGCGTGATTCTTGCGATCTGCCTTTTTTTCATCTCCTTTCGGTTATAGTAGCTCTATTTGTGAGTCACTCGCGCTCTTTTCGTTCAGTTGAGATTCCGCTCCGCTTTTGGTTAAGCTTACCACACTTGCATATTCTATAATTGCTTACCTTGAGATTATTATTTTTGTATAAACTGATGATGCTTTTAGATTTTCAATGTGATTCCATTTCATATTTGAAATGATTGCGAAAAATTCTAAATTTATTGACTTCGTTATGGAAAAGAGCACTCACTATGCCTAAATATTTGAAAAAATGAGCTGATAATACGTAATATTTTAACTATAATGATAAAAAACAAATTCTTTTGCAGTCATTTTTATTATTGAAAAGATTAATTGAATGTGAATACAATGTATCTTTATTGGACTACGCATAAATTTTAATGGCATCACTAAGCAAATGCACAATCACGAAAAATATGTTTTGAGGAGACGTAATTAAAAACAAAATAAAGTTTTAAATATATCGTTTTTGATCAGAATATCTATATTTTTTAAATTATTTTCGTACTGTAGCATTTATTTCACTTGTAGATTCTCAGAGAACTACACGAGACAATTGTGTTGTAAAAGTTTTTTATGTAATTAATTACAAAACTGCTTGATACCCGTTAATCCTCATGAGTTCTAAAAAATGAGCATTTGAATACGTGAAATCGGCGAAAGGTATGCGTACAAACAACGAAAGTTAGTTGTCCTAAACGTTCATTTCTTCTCGATGATTTTGACAACTATCAATTGCAATCCTCACTCATATGTATATTCTAACTTTGATACGCAATTTTATCTCTAGTTTTCGCTGTGAAAAATTTAAAGTACATACATACATACAATCTTCCAATAAATGTACAATCACATAGAAAAACAAAATAAAAAAAAATCAAAAATTTTCAATATATTTGATAAATCTCAAAAAAGGCGCATTTATTTTGTCGTTGTGTTGGCAAAAATTTTGAATTTTAACAAGATGCCTGCGGCGTTAAGAGCCGTCAATCATGTAGAATAAAAAAGAATCTATACATAAAAAGAAAACAGCGTCGGACGGAAACGTCGTAGTCCGTCCGGATATTTTACGTGGCCGCTTGGCAACATACTGTTAAAAACAATTGTAGGACATATCGGTTCTTTTTCAACTAAAAACAATGAATCGTGCGGCGTATCGCAATGATATACGTAACATCAATATTTTATAAGTTCTCAATATGTATAAATTATATAAGAAAATCGGTTATTCAAGTGTTTTTCCATGTTTAATTTTGATAAAAAAAATAAATAAAACAGTTCAAGGGTAATTTTCTTATTGTTAAATGTTCTCAAATACAAACTTCACCCGAATAATGAAATCAAAACACAAAAAGTTTTATATAAATCAAAGTTCGAATTTTAATTTATTTGTACTTTTTTTCTGATTCTAGCACATGGCTGTAATTAATGCAATCTTGAATCAAGCAAAAGTATTTGCGCAGTTTTTTGCAAGTAATTTTACTACTCTTTTTTCTCAGAGATCAATCTACATGTTTGTATGAGAACTTATTTCGAGAAATTTTATTTCATTTTTTAATGAACACATGAATATTGAAAAGACTGTGGTTTCAAATAATCAAAAATGAAGACATTCTCTTCAAGTAAATAGATATAAGTAACTATATAAACTAACATTCTCTCATTCAAAATTTCTTTTTTTAATGACAATCATTAATATAATATTTAATAATAATGCTAATATTCATGGAGATAAGTGTTGAAAATTAAAAATAATTAATAATTTGATACAGTTCATGATAAGCATACTGAGTTACCAGTACTGATTTGCTTGTCTGTTGATACCGTTACGTCCTTACAATTCTACATACATAGGTATATAAAGTATTTACAATTGCAGAAGTGATTTATATAGTGTGTAGGCACTATGGCTTGGGATGTATTTATCGTACATCCAAAGGATTTTCAACGAACATTAATTCACGAGGTGGCTTTGAGAGATATAGCGTAATTGTGCAAAAAATGTACAGTTTAAAATTACTTCCATATGAACAAGTTTCAATTATTAATGATTTTGATTGCACTAAGACGTGATACTCTGAGTGACTGAGCAAGTAAAACTGTCGACAATATTTATGAAGTGACTCTTAAATTATAGAATCAGTTTGTTAATGCTTCAATGTAGTCCAGTTTTTGCTCTACTTGTTCTAGGCTGGTGAACAAATTTTCTCTGAAAATCCTTTAATCAGGTTTAGAATGACGTTTTATCCTGGATGAATCGTAGACAATCATTGCGATATTTGAATGTTTTGTTATCCTTGTCGACATATTCCAAGAATCTTCTTCGATTGACGCGACTTTTAGTTTCAATACTTGAGTTTTTTTTACTGGTGTAATGAGTCTATACATGAATTAACGCCGAAGAATAATTAATCAACGGAAATAAGGTACTTTTTTTATATATTTTTTTCATAATGCAACGTGAGCCTATTCAAGGTACATGGATACAAAATGAACCACGAAAAATAATTATACAAAAATCTAATTAAGACTAACTTAATCCGATTGACTAATTCTATATAATCAATTTTTTTTATTAACGCATACATAAGAACACATTCATGCATACTAGTTCACATGTTTATATATATAGCGAAGAAAAAAATAAAGGCTATCGTAATAGTTTAGAGCATAGTTTCATTTTCAGAAGAGTCTGCAAGATTTGGTTTGCATTACAAAGTCTTAGATCAAATGCGTTCATCTTGTGAACTCAAGCGCGAAAAATAAAACGAATTAATATATTACAAATTCAGATCTAAGATGCTTTGCAAACTTACGATCCGCGCCAAAAAAGTGCATTATATAACTTATAATTGTAGAAGTTAAACAGTCTCGCATCCTATATTCTTTCAAATTGGTATTTTGTATTAAAGATAAATTGAGCAACTTTTATACCGCGTTGCTGTACAGAAATCTAAATTGCACGGAAAGAGCCCTTGGCAATTAGTCCCACAATCAATCAATAACTATCAGTTCCCTGATAAATTAAAGTATATTCTAAAAAACTGATACAATATACTGCCAACTTGTGATATGTGTACTTTTACGTTTAATGTTGTTTTGTAAGTTTTCTTTTGATAAGATATAAATTGGAAAAAGCCGAGTGAGATTGACCGAGTCTCAAATGCCTCGTTTGATGTACGATGAAACCGAGATGAAAACAGATTATAACAATAACGACTCCGATGAGTCCTGGACAGGTACCACTAAGTACGAAGTTGCGTTCGACAGAGGACCAAATAAAATCCCAACGCAGACGAACTCAACTCATTAAAAATTCGATACAAATATAGTCTTCGTAATACCAATAATTAAAACGGCAAATCAAAGAGATCTGAAAGGCCTTCGTCTGTGCCCAGTGTGAACGAGTAGTCGCTTTCCGAAAGAGGCGGTTCCAGTGATAGCAGAGACTCGGTAAAGTCGAGGATACTCATGTCTGCAAAGATAAACGAAATATTTCATTAGCCATCGATTATAGTACATTACCTAACTCGTTCAGAAAAGTAGTTTCGGTTCGCTCGGGCGTAATTCTTAAACGGGACAAGAATTTCTTTCTCGAGCATGGTAACTACGGTATTTTAAAAAACAACTTGTGGAAAGCACGAATTTGAGCAACCATTTTTCCATGAGCGTATAGTAAAGTTGTATTTTCGTACACATGGAGTGTTGAAAAAATATCGATTAATCATAGTTGGATGGAATTGTTTGAACTTTCTTCTTTTTCCATTTTTACCTTTCATACGAACGACTGGCTAACTGTTGTTATGAAGTACCACCTAACTAGAACTCTGCCTGTGATGTGATTTAACAATGATTACACAAGTCACAGTCAGAGTTCCGCCAGGGAGTAGCCATTTTGTCTACGAGATGATACCAATTTCATCGTAACACTTTACGATAATTTTTTTCCTACATTTTTGCTTAATACGAATCACTAGTTTCATTAATTTGTAAATTATTCGTTTGAATTCAAATGATCGTACCTGAGGATATATGTTGATCGTCGGTTTGTAGTTGAAGCCTACCGCCACCCATGATGCCGAAGTCGTCAGACTCACAGAGCAGTGCGTCCCTCATGCCAGTCGAGTTGAGTACCGAGAGCATAGTCTGTTCGGATGGCATGCAGCTTTCTGTAGCATGCACCGGTTCCACCTTTACATCGCCACCATTGTGAACTAGGAATTCCTGGGATATGGACGATTCGACTCTGGTCACGGGCGACTGTGGTGTCAGTGGTCTCGGTACTGTTACGACCGTCCCCGCAGCAGCCGCTGCGGCTGCCGTCGTCGTCGCTGACGTCGGCGCTACGGCAGTCGTGCATCCCGGAGTCAGTGGTGCCTTTACTCCTGGGTCTTCTGGGCACAGGAATACCTCGATTTCTCCATGCGTCGACCTCATGTGAATTTGGAGCTGTGTCCGTAAAAAGGAATTTTAGTATTAACTGGACTCGCTTCACCATAAGTGTTAATGGTGCATTGCGAATTGCCTACATTTAATATTGATAAAAAGAAAACAAAATCAAATATAAACCGAGGCTCTTTTTCGCGTGATTATCACAATTATTCTTTTTTAAACAATCATATAACTTGAGAGCGTTGCAAGTAACTCGGCAATAGAAAAGTGCGAGTTGGCATAAACATTTTAAGCTCTGATTGAAAGAAATGATTCGCGATGACCTTTCGGCTGTTCTAATGTTTAAATGTTTCATGTAGTTCGAAAATTAAGAGCTCCGTGCAAAAGTGAATTTAAACAAGTGAATTAATAATTATCAAAGTTTCAATAGGAGAATGACATAAACGAACCTTGGGTTGGCCAAAATTGTTGATAGGCTGAGGAACGTGAAGTGTGGCCTCGGGTGGCGCCTTCACGGCCATGATGGACTGATCCCTGTATGCGGCGACGGAACGCAAATCGTGATACGTGACATAGGCGTAGGTACGGTCGGCGGTAAACTCATTCAATTCTTTTTGCGCACTGTGGATCAGCCTATCAAGGGCATTTTCCTTTGCTTCCAGATCAGCCACCGACTTTCGTAGGTCGAGTATGTCGCTTTGATTACTCGGCAAGCAGCCGCCCCTGCATCACAACAGAACCATTCATTGTAGTGAAAAATCGCGAGGAAAAACAAAAGTGGACTTTCTGCATACTCAAAAAATGTCCTTTTGATGCAAGAGGATTCTCCTTTCAAATTAGCATTCTAAAGGAAATCTTCTTGCCCTAAGAGATATTTTTAGTAGCAAATCATGAGATAATTTTCATCATAGATAATTGATGATTAAATCGGAAGGAACGTCAGTCGTTTTTATGAATATTAAGATCCATGAATTTGATGTCACATTTAAATATAAAAATATGAACTCTGAAATTTGACATACATTACTCTAAAATATGTTCATTGGTACGATATTGCTTTGCCAATATCGTATCAAATGAAAATTGTATTTCTTCTACTGAAAGGGGAATCTTCTTGTAAATCTTTTGCCGTAAGAAGAAAAAAACCTTTTGCAACAAGATATACTTTTCTTATTGCAAGAGGGAGAACTCACTTCCACTGGATGTTGTTTTTGCTCTTTTTCTCGAGAATGCCGATACCCTCGAGTACATTTGTGATATCATAGATGCGACGCTTCTGCACCTCGAGCTTTTCCGACGCGACGTTCAAGTCAACCACACCGTCATGGCTGTCTTCCACGAGGTTCAGGAACTTCTTCGTCAGCAAGCTCAACGATGTGTCGTAGCGCGTCCTTTCTACGTTCTTACCTGTTATTCGATTAATCGATTACTCAAGCGGTTCAGAATGTTATTGTATTACCAGACGAGAAATGGGTTGTACTTACTTTTCGTGGGAGTGTGACCTGTGAGGGAATTCGAGCCCGACCTTCTGCGTTTGCCCCTCGGAGCTTTAAAGGTGGATGGACTAGGTCCTACTTCCAGATTCAGTCTTCGTTTGACTGTTTCTTTTGACATCTAAGAAGCAAACTTTCAATCAGTATCCTATATGCGATTTATGTGTGACTATTCTATCGTGAGTTTTCCTTAGATAACAAAAAGCATGTAAATACTATGCGTGCTTTGCGATTAAAACAATGTCACTTGCGCACACGTCGAACGTACAAGGCTCAGAACTACGATGATTTATAATCTACTTTCGTCAAGTGAAAAATGACTTTGTTGGCTAATCGTTACATACGTAACTGCACAATTGTGATATTCCGATTGGAACGAACAGGCGGTTCGACAATGCCAACGAGATTTTTTATATTAAAATCCTTGTTTTATGAATGATTGTTGTGAAACTGTGAATTCGAGCCGTCAATAGGTTGCGAGTCACGAGGCACATGTAAGCAATGTTTACATCGACTACGAAAGTTAAAGTATTCGGCATGGATCAAACCGTGTAAATATTGTAAACACGATACAATTGGCGCAAAAAGAAGAGATTTCTTAATAAAACCACAGCTTAACGTTACCTTTCGAAGAATCCGAGACCAATAAATGAGAAAAAAGATCAAAGAACGCCCGTCAATTTTTTAATAGCAAAGAATTACAGGACCACGCTTACCTCAGTCCGTGGCGAGGGCTGAACGGGTCTCTTTCTATCTGGGTACGGACAGGGGGTCTGGCCATACTGATAGTCCTGCAGGTGGCGCGGAAAAAAGCGTCGGTTAGAGATGGACAACATATATATGGGGTGATGCTATTTACCTCAGTCCGTGGCGAGGGCTGAGGGCATCTTCTCCTGTCTGGATAGGGACAAGGATTTTGGCCATACTGGTGATCCTGTAGGTGAGGACTAGGTGTCTCCTCGGGAATCTTTAGCGGCTGGCCCTCTTCGTACAGGCCGTCTACGTCGACGAACTCTGTTTTGACTGCGTGCAGGAGACACGTGCGAATTATAGTCGGGTCTTTTTTTTTAAATCGAAGGTGAGGTAGGAGAGATTTGTTTACCTAATTTTGTCTCGACCATGTCGGGCGTAACGGGTCTGGCGAGATCCTCAAGCATCACTTGCCTCTTAACACGTGGCATGGTGTTGGTGAGTGACTGCAAACATCGTAGAGTAATTAGTAAGCGTATAGTGCCTGGCATCGCAATCGCGTGAAAAACAGCAGTGGCGGCGGCCAGTGCATGGGGGAAAGAGCAAGAGAGCCGCAATGGCGTCCCGTGTGCGAAGGGCGTGCGAGGACTCTGGGCCGGCGTGCATTCCAGCAGCAGCAGCAGCAGCGTCAGCAGCGTCAGCAGCAGCAGCAGCGGCAGCAGCAGCCCAGAGAAAGAAGATCGGGGGCCCCCTCCTGTTTCGTTCTCTTTCTCTCTCGCGCGCGCTTAGCGTCCTTCTCTAAAGTTACCGGTTTTCAAAAGGTCCCCGCTCGCTCTTCCTAGCTGCAGCGGAAAAAAGCCCGCAAACGGAAGTGCGACTCGATGCTTTTCCATACGTGTCGAAGCTACGCTTGCGGTGCCGGTACAAAACGAAAAAAGTCAAGAAGCACACGCAGATAAGATAGCTTTCTGAGCGTTGGCCAATCTGGAAACGAAATGAAAAATTGCTTCTGGGCTGCCTGATGAGTGAGAAATCGTGACGAATTCGCGACTTCGCGACAGCTGATCGATATTCAACTGCTTAGCATTTGAGCAGCCGCGACTTCGCGATGACTTTGCTCTATAACGGCTCTCGAACGAGCCTATTCAAAATCGAATCAAGGAGAGCCAGGCAGCCAGCCATCCAACGAGAGAGAGAGAGAGAGAGAGAGAGAGAGAGAGAGAGAGAGAGAGAGAGCACGCGTTTTAAAAATCGCTCGTTTCGCCCCCCTCCCCGCGGCTCTTACGCGACACTACCGTAGTGCAGATGCCCTAAGTCGGCGACAATCGACGATCATCGATTGTCACACGCTCTTGTTCCCTGTAGCCAAAGATGTTTAAAGATCATCTGGTACTGCTCTTACACGCGGTCCAGATGCATTCCCGCCAAAATGCAGCACGCGCGGAAGCTGTAAACTCTGGAGATTCGAGTCTCGTTGGCCTGCACCGCGTGCGAGGCGTTACAGTTTGTTACCGAGTATATATGCCCTCCATGCGGAAACTACGGAAAACCAGTTATCAGGCGAAGCTACACGTGTGCAACGTCGCAAGCTTAGTCTCGAAAACGAGCCTCAACGTGGCGACCCTCAGACGTTTCCGAAAAGGACATTAATCGCTGCAGCGGCTCTCGCGGTAGCCAGTAGCAACGGCAACACGTGATGATGAAAAACTGCGCAGCCCCCACGTACAGCGGTTGGTAGTGGCGGCAGCAGCAGCAGTAGCAGCTCGAAAATTCTCCCACGAAGCAAGCGCGTGCATTCCCCAACTCTCCCGTTTACATACGTACGTGGACATGTGTGTGCGTGTGCAGGGCCTCTCGCTTTTCGAAAATATCGATCCCCGGGGTCGCGGACAGGCGTTTAGCCGGCTGCTCGTGTTCGTTCCACCTTCTTGAGCAGCTTTACCTTTGCCTCAACTAAATTCTAGACTGCTCGCACACTTGTGCAATCAGCTGTGGGTTGATCGTGTGGTACAATCACGTAAATAAAAAAGTCAGTTGGCAAAGACAGAGAGAGAGAGAGAGAGAGAGAGAGAGAGAGAGAGAGAGAGAGAGAGAGAGAGAGAGCTGAGCGAGAGAGCGAGAGAGAGGGAGAGAGGAAGCCCGACCGCGCCGGTGACTTCCGCCGAGAGCTAGAGCCGGAGAGCGCGAGAGAAAGAAAGCCAGCTAGCCCGCGAGCCGAAAGGCGAAACTGGCAAGAGCTCTCGAGGAGGCTAGGTGTACGCGTGGGAATTTCGCCGGGCGGGACATGTTAGCTCTGTTCCCCTGAGATCGGTGGTCCGAAAAAACAAGTGCACTCACCAACGGCTGGTGCGGCTGCTGGGCGTATCAAGCTGCTCCTCGCGGCATCCTCCGGGCTCGTTTAAAGGGGGGAACATGCAGCCAGGTACGAGTAAGCTTAGCAGTCCGTCAGTCAGTGGCGCCTCGCCATTTTCTGCCAGCAGCACCAGCAGCAGCAGCACAGCACACACGCACACGACGGAGCGCGCGCGAGAGAGAGAGAGAGAGTGCGAGAAAGAGCGAGAAAGACAGAGCCGTTGCCGCCGAGCGGAGATTGGACAACTGGTGCCGTATGTGGCGTGAGCGCGAGAGTGGCTCCGGAAAAAGAGCCTACTTTCAGCAGCAGCACCTACTACGCTAGCAGCACTTCAATTGTCCTCCTAACGTCGGCTGGCTACTGCTTCCTCGTCGCCGTCGGCCTCGCTGCGCCGGTATCGGCCATCTGACGGTCGCGCCTCGAGTTAACGCTGCGCGCCAAAAACCTCGCTCGTATTTCCCGCCGCACGTATTGCCAACCAACTCACTGCTGATCGAGCAACGCACGCACGAGACGACGCGCGGCTCGCGCTTACTTGTGTATGCGTACGTACACTTGCGAACAGAACTCGTCCCTGATCGTAGAGAGCCCTTTAAACTCTGCTTCTTCGCTAATTTAGGGTTTTCATTGTTTCTTGCTAGGAACACTCACGGCTATCACACCGAATTCCACGACAACGCCGCGCAATGAGGGCTTCAACGACACTGGCAGGCGCCGTTGTAGCGCACGTAGCCGACCCTCCGTTTTACTGAAGGGATCACGACTGCGACCAGGCGGTGGCAGCGGCGGCTCACAGAACCGCGAGAGAGAGAGAGAGAGAGAGAGAGAGAGAGAGAGAGAGAGAGAGAGAGAGAGAGAGAGCGCCAGTCAGCGAATAGCGTCAGGGCCGTAACGTATATAACTTGCGGGGGCGCCATCGCCATTGGACGACTCTCTTCGTGCCTAAGTTAACTTGTTTTTCTTCTTTTCCTTTTTTATTCGCAGAGAAGGGATGAGGTGGGAGAGAGGGATGCACGCAGATTGCTCGGGTGGTCTTTATTTGTCTGTCGCACGAGGCTTTTTATTCAATTGGGCGTGTGTGGGTGCCCGCATGCTCAAACGATCATTACGTACTACTTACATACACTGTTTGAAAAGTTCGGTGTTTTTTTCTCTTTAATTTTATTACATTACAAAAGTATAGCGTGTGAATACAAAAGTGCGCTCGAAGGAAGGAAGGAAGGAGGGGGGTATAACAATGCGAATCACAAAGTCTTCGGAGGGCAGTCGAAAATTCACAGGCGGCGTGCGAGGAGAATGGCATGAGTACAAAAAAGTAGCCAAAAACAAAAGTATGCGAGTAGAGCTGAACTCGCTCTCGTGGGTTCGGTTCTCGGCTCTCTTGCTCTCGCTTTGCAGGCAAAAATAAAAAAAAGAGCGAGAGAGAGAGAGAGAGAGAGAGAGAGAGATGGAGACGAGAAACGAACGGAGTCGCTAAGGCGGGCGCTAAGGTACGAATAGACGTATCTGACTGCCTCCGGGGCCTGTGTCCGAAAAGGGGAAGGGGAGAGAACGTAGCAGGGGCCTGTTGTGCGTTTGTCCGCTCACTCGGTCGCTCTCGCCACCACTGCACATAACGTATTTATTCGAAGCTTACACACACAAAAGACTGCACCCTACTGTTTCGGTGCGTCTTCGTGTTAGGGGCGGCCATTTAAAGTGCTTTTTTTTCGTTGACGGGAAGGGGGGAGGCGAGACGAAGACGAAGACGACGACGACCGAGAGACGGCCAGAGATCAGATGTCGACGATGACGAAGAGTTCAGGCCGTTCGACTTCCGGCGGCTCGTGGATCTGCATCGCCGAGTATGTGATGGCCTTTACCTCCGCGCCCTGCGTATGCTTGCCAATTTCAAATTCTTCGCCTACTGCTCGTGCTACTATCTTGAAATTCTCTCGGTCAAACGTGATGATCTTAACTTTCTGTAAGCACAAATCACAAGAGACATGGAAAACAGTCACGTTTGATCCTCCCAATCAATTCTCTCTTTCTCTCTCTCTCTCTCTTTCTCACACACCTTATCGCTCACGGAGAGCGAGCCTGCTAGAGAAAAAGACAGATGTACGCGTGAGCGAAACTCATGGGGTGATGATGCTCGACTTAGGACTGTTGAGAGAGAAAGAGAGACAGAACGATTACAATGTCCACATTCTTTTGCTCGGTGTATTTGGAATGGTGACTCGAGGTTAACGCGCCACGAGAAAACAAAGATTATGCAACCGTTTGTCCAACATTCAACTAATCCCCATTAATGTTTATAAAGAATGTTTTTACAGCGGAATTTGCGAGTGCTAAGAATGTAAATAACTTTACGAACCGATGCTGTACATTCCTGTGATATTTGTTTTTTTCTTAACTAGCCTAAGTGTTAGAAAGTTGAAAGATTTCTTAAGACTCAAACATCAAAGGTGCGATTCAATCGAAATGACAAGTGCCAATCTATGTTTATGAAGGATAGAAACTTTGAATGCAATTCATAATTGCATTGCATGCTTTATAAAATGAATCTCACACATACACATACACACACACACAATCGTGCCTGCGATAAGCTGCATAAAAGTATAGATGTTATGATTATCATAATCAATATACTGTATAAATAAGCAGCACTTGACTTTCATGAAGCCAACATTTTCATAAGAGTTTATGTGGCATAAAAATGATAAAAATGATACACGCTTAACTTTATTTCCACGTTAACACCATTCCGTTTTCTATGAACCAATTAAACGATTATTACAATCGTATTATCAACAACAAAGTTTGTCTATCAATTCTTGAACACATTAATTGTAAAGACTGACGTTATGCAAGGAGTGATGAACGCACGCGACACGATGAATACTGGGCGAGCAATCACGGTAAGGAGTTGTGTAGAAAATATGCATATACAATACCTTGGCAACGAGGAACGGTTCTGCGCTGAACATGAAAAGAAGCTCGTCGAGAAAGTGGAACAGAAGACTCTGTAAGTCGTGGCCCTCAGCTTCCACGTGGTGCACTTGTTTCAGCTCCACACGCTCCAAGTCCGTCATATAATTGAACATTGCGATCGCGCACTGCTCGAACGCTTCCTGCAGAGTGTCGCCCCATGAGTGCAACCTAAGATTTGTTAAAATGCCTCTATTAATACGTTTGAAGCTTGCGTGTATTGTTACCTATAGTTCACCGGCTTTCTAGGTTAAGTAGCAATTCATAACCTCAATCCTAGCGATTTCTAGGTTTTTGTGCACGTTTCTAAAGTCATTCGACGTTATACTCGATCATTCAAGTAGGTTACGTATAGGCAATGACGAAAACACGTTAAAGGATTCGCGGAAAATCCCTTCGAGCACACACCTATGCGTCGCTCTGCTTCTAATACATAATGACTCCACAGAATAAGAAATGTGTATGAATACTCACTGAACGTCCGCTGTGTGGTCCAAATCTACAAAAATCAACAAAAACAAGTAAAAATTGAGTCGCAAAGCAAAAAGGTAAACGTAAGAAAAGGCGAGAAAGGTTTGGGAGGAGGAGCAATTGGTGACGGCCCTGCGTTCGCGCCAAGTGCACGCGGCACAATGCCTTTCCTTTCTACCGGTATAACAAACGCCGGTGCGGCCGCGCAAGCTCTCTCCTCGCAAGCATCGTACAGTTACATACTCACACTCGTATTTGCAGGGCGGATAGACGAAGTCGTCGTCGACGAGATCGTTTTCGGTGTCCATCACTGGTTACGAGCGTGCGAGATACTGTGCACGGCGTGCCGTCACAGCTGATCGCGCTCCACGTGAATCGCGCGGATCAGCTGTTCGCAGATGACAGTCGCCGCCGATCAATGGGACTGTAGTAAAGCAGATGGCAGCACTTAACGCGCCCGATCAGCTCGAGAGAGAGAGAGCGCGCGCGCTTTTTTCCCGGCACGGTTACCAGCCTGCGGCTCGTCTCGTGTTTACGTTCTGTCTACCGACATGTGCTAAGCGACCTGATCGACCGTGCTCAGCTCCAAATCTCTTTGCTTTCGCTATGGCATAGTGTTAGAGATGGTAAAGACGAGCAGCTCGCTTTTTCCATCTATTTCTTCAAATTATTGCTAAAATATTTTTTATATTTCACGCCACTGTGCATTTCACATATCTTACTGTGGCTTCCAAATTAGACTTCATATTTGCAGAGCGGTGTAATATTCATCTGTTTTTATGTACTTTCAATCAATAATCATTATCTTTTTTGAAACTATATGTCTAATGTTAGGTTTAAAAAAAATTATAGTTAATTAAGTAAAAAAAATATTTTGACAGCGACTAATTATACATTTACCCTTTTACCATTTAAGTATGTTCATTGTGTTTCGCTCGATAGATGTCGCGTATTAATAATTAACATTTTTTCTTTAAGTTTAAATTATAAAAAAATATCAAAAAACTAAATACTTTTTCAACGGCACATCTTTAACGGTAGAGATTAAGATACAAATTTGTCAGTTTCAAAAAGACCAAAAATGGAGTACAAGATCATATTTTTATGCCTGAAATGTCTATGTTAGTGATAGATTGCGTATCATGAGAATATATCCTTTTCAAGCCAAAAGTCATTTCGTCACGTACAAAAAATTTATGCCTAGTTTAGCTGACAAGGGATATCATGTGGATGTCTATATAGACAAGAAGTCTCAATGAAGTTTTAAAAAATATACCAATAAGTACATTACGTATTTTTTTTAGAAATTGATCTGGATTGAATGATACATTTCTAAATATGGCAAAAATGACATAAAATTAGCCATCAAAGATATACTTTCATATCAAGTTTCAATTTTCTTTTTGTATATCAATTCTCACGTCACTTTTTATTATCGATAAGTTAATCTTCAACTTTTTAGTTTGAAAAACAAGTAAACGTATCAAAGGTTACGTAATTTAACTAATTCATGCGTTCTCTCTTAATCGACATGCATTGAAATTAAAGTAGAATTTCTTCAGTATACAGAATTAGCTGAATGTTTTTCATCAGAACAACATTTAATTTAATACTTAAATTGGACAATACGCATTTGTTAATTGTAAAATAATTATATTTAGAATTGAATCATTGTTAATCATAATCCGTTGTGATATTGTAATGTTCGATAAAGGTAACGGTAAATGAAGATACAGAACATAATGTTAAAGAGGGCACTGTTAATAATCTATTCAATCATTTTATATGCAGTAAATTGAATCAAATACTGGAAATCGGAATTCCACGAGGATACAGAGTTCAGAAAATAAATAATATTAGATGTAAGAATCTGTACCTGTGCACAAGGAAACTGTAATCTAAATCGCAAAAGATCACATTTTAGAATAACAATGTACAATCACAAAAAAATTCAATCAATAAATAAAGAAAAATTGGAAACCACAATTAATTTAGCAAATAATTTTACAAAATCAAAAATAAATTGATTACAACCACCACAATAACCAGTATATAAGCACAAGCAACAAATGGACAAGAGACTCAAAATATTTGTACGAGTTTCACATGATGAAAATGAAACAGCATCGGCATCTGATAATCCAGCAAACAAGCCTATTGAATCAATATTTGACACAATAGATAAAATAGCAGAAAGAAATAGCAATAAAACTCTTATTAATACAATAGCAAAATCAGCATCAAGTAAACCGATAGCTGAAATTAACCATATTAGAATGACTTATAAGGATCTAAAATATATTGGCCTTAATAAAGCAATACTCTATTTTCATAGAGATATCAAAGGTTAACGAACTTTTACCACTTCTGCATATTCATTGGAACTACAACCTAAATATTAAGATATTTTAATTGTTGATGAAATCGTCTTCACATCTTACTGCAAATGTGATTTACCTTTTCAACATCGAAATATGTATCCATATTATAGAGAAACATGTGCAGTTGGATTAACTTGTCCTTCAAGGTTAAACCAAATTGAAAGAATCGTATTTACGAGAAGTATGAAAGCACCTACAGAGAATTTTTCTGCTGACAAATAAATACTCATTTGAATGAACATTTGAATGAATAAGTGCAATATTTAGTTTATGAGTTATTTATGACAGTAGTACAACACTTCTGAATATAGGTGAACGAAACAAAGCTTGTTTTTTTTTTTAATAAAATCTTATAATTTATGTATAATAAAAATTAATTTGAATATACTTAGTATGTAAGTTTCTTTTATGTATCGGCTTATATATCTCTTTAGGCTCTTACAAATGTATACATAGGGCAACCTAAGAACCTTGTATTTTTGGATCAAATAAATATGTTAAATATGTTAAATATATCCGAATTAGTTTTACAGGTCATGATATAATTAATAACTTCTTTTGATATAATTTAGTTTAAAATATGAAAATGGAAAATCAAAACATTTATTCTTAGGTATAGTTTTTATTTTTCTAAAAATTCTAAATGAAATTATTCATAGGAATCAGTTTGATATTTTGTCTACACGTAAAATTTCAGAATGAAAAGATTAAAAAAATTGTTTGTTTACATTAACACATGATATTATTCCATTTGATAAGCCGGTATTACAATTATAACTCGTTTAAAAAATGTCGAATGAAAAAACTGGTCGCGAATCCTGAAAAACTGAAACTATACGCAGTTATAATTACAAGTAGACCTTGACAAAGCACACACCGATGAAAAAGTTTGATGACGATAAACAAATGCAAAACGAAAATTTTGTCGTCGGTTGGAGATGTTGTTTCGGTTGTCCTTTCTTCGAGATCACACTCGTCAGCGAAAACACGAGGATTCTCAAAAGCACGTGTTATTGGCCAGTTAATCGCACATAAATCGACACTTGCACGCGATCGTTATCCAAGCATCATTCGTTTGATCTACCTGGCGCCCGCGACAAGGCGCATCGCGATCGCTTAATGGAATTAGCACGAGCGTACAAATGTGCGCGCGCGCCGCGACTCCTCCTCCGGCTCGTGCAGCTTCGCTGTCGAGATCGTCGCACTCGCGAATCGTCGATCTCGAACGAGACCTACATAAGCTCGCGACAAAAGCAGTGCGAAACGTTGCGATATCGAAATTCGAGTTGAGACGACATCGATCGCGTGCGTGCGCGCACACGCGGCCTTATAGATAAAAGTGTGACAGCCTTTTTTGCGCGGTGCGAACGCGCGAGCGCGAGCTGCGCGTCCATTTCTCACTCGAAATTTCAATTTTCGCGCGAACGCGGAAGCAGACGCGTTGTTTTTTTCATCGTTCTCTGGCAATCCGTTATCGCTTGTGAGTGGGCGCAGACAAATCCAATCGCGATGACGAAACTTGCTCGTTCGCAATAATAAAATAGAAAGAATGAAACAAAAAAGGAACCTGTTGTTGCTCGACAATAAAACAGAAGAAGGACTGCGAGGCGCGCATTTTCTTTTTATCGCTCGATTATGCAGAAAAAGTACGGGTTAAGAGCGTCGTTATTTGCGTAGAAACCAGTTTTTCTTCGAACTATATGTTTGCGGCGCCGGTCCGCCACGCACAGTAAAAATGCAATTAGATGCCGGCCAAGAGGAGAACTGCCGCGCTCCTGTCCAAACTGTCGATTGGTTTGACTGTCTCGCGATGAAATGGCAACTCATATCAATGTATTGATTTGAATGCGCAGCCTCAAGGCCTACGGTCTTTTCAGAGAGTTACGATTACTCGCTAGAAAGCGACGTCGCGTTCAGCGATTAAAATTTGCGCGGAGAATGCGGGGAGCTACCTCATATTGTTTGCGCGCATGCATCTAGTGCGAGCGCATAAATTAGCGATCGTTCGATATCAATCTGGACGCTGAACGTGTACGTTCTCTCTTTCTCGCAAGTGACATCAGCCCCGATGCGTGAGGCACACAATAAATAAGCATTTCGCGCCGCATGCTGATTCAAGGGCAACAGCTTCGATCTCGCGCACCCGTGGACAATTGAGATTCCTCGCCTCTTGCATAATCCACGAGCTTATGCACATTCAGCTCTTATCGATCGTGCTTACGCTCGATTTCACTTTGCATCGCGATTTTAACACCTTCGCCGACTTTTCGAAGGATCATTTTCACAGAGAATCGCGCGCGCAACGTCTCCTTTTTTCTTTCTTTTTCTTTTTTTATTGGGATGACGTTGAATTACGCAGCATCGTCGACGATAATCTTCGGGCTCTTTTCGTTTCATTAAAATGCACAAGGAAGCGTGTTCTGTCAAAGTTTGCCGATAGCAGCTCGAGTTCCTACCGGAATTACTGAGATTTGCCAAGGAGGATGCGGCATTTTTTCTACTACGATGCAACAATTAGCCACGGCTCGGTCACTCGCAATCAGAGTATTGCTCTTTTCGTATCTATCTTGACAAATTCTCTTCATTCCCAAGTTCCCATTCGCGTAATTTATGGAAAATACATCCCGTCAACTATCTGAAGCTACGCCTCTCGAAGAAAAAGCAGCAATTCAAACGTATAAATACTTTGAAGTAGCGTGATTTTTTTGGCGAACGTCGTTCTCTCTGTACGTTTTACAATATTGCTGATGTAAAAATACAGCGAGTGTTTGAGATAAAAATCTAAAACATAAAAAAATACGCGTTGTCCGAAACTTGTACCAAAAAATGTGTTATATTATTTAGAGGAACTTGCCAATTTGTTGAATTGATTATCAAAATACGGGATTAATTGCCAGAGTGAGAATGGAAGGCGTTCTGCTGAGTTTCGTAAGAGAATTATAGGTTTACAATAAAAAGTTGATCGTTACTAGCGGCCATTCAAAGTAATAACAGATCACGACAACAGTCAAACAAGAGATGAGCATGGAAGAAGTTCGAGAAAGTCCACTGGGAGCTACGTGGCAATCGCGGATATGTCAATCAGCGGGACTCCGAAGTTGTACAAGTACAACATTTGTATTTGCAAATCGACAGGTCCGCGCGGCCGATTAACGACGTGTCTCGTGGGTTTTTGCCCAAGCCCTCGGCTGTGCCACCGCCCTCAAGCTCTAAAATTAGCCGCTCGTGTATCCTCGACGGCGGGCGGGCATGCGCACAAGTCGCTCATCGAAGCTGCAGCGCGCGGTAAGTACTAATGACATGCAATTTTGCAACGTGCGCGCGAGCGCGCCTCGTAAGTAAGTTGCGAGCCTCGGCGGCGCTGGCGTTTCGAGTCCTTGGCGCGGTAAGCTATATAAAGCGAACGTTTGATTGGCCGGCCGGGCATATAGCTTTTTTGAGCCGAGTATCGTGCACAGATCGCACACCAGCCACGAGACAATCATGTCCAGCGTGACGCAGCTTCGCGCGATCGTCTGCGTGGCCGCCTTGCTCGGCGGCGCGCGCGCCGATCAGGAGGTCGGCTTACGTGAGTTCCCACCAAATTTTAACACTGACATTTCACGGAAAGTAAGAGCGCGAAGCAGAATCGCGAGTTGGTCGCGAGTCTGTCTCCCCGACCTCGTTGGTTTGCGCGCGAGAAAAGTCAAGACGGAGCTCGGCGAAAGCAATCGGCCGATGATTAGCGTCGCAGTAAAAGCTTCAATTTTTCAAATCGTAACTGAGACCGAGGCGTCGGCCGAGCGTCGAACCAATTCTGGGCAAATCGAAATTAATCATATCGACGCTTGTACTAAACAGTTGCATACGTGGGCAGCAAGCGGTTTTGCATTCAATTTTATTCGTAAGTTTGATCGCGATAAGCGTTGGCGTCCAAGTTCCGCTGTAGGCATTCGATTGATCGCCTCGCTGGAGTCCCGATGAAAGCGAGAGTCGCCAAAAAGAGGAGCCGGAGTGCCGGCGTAAGAGAGGCTTCGACGCCAGGAAGCAATGTAGCGGAAGAGTCTAGCCACCGCGCGGCAATTGCAGGCTTGCGCTTGCCCACGGAGCTCCATTAAACTGTGAGCTTTGCGCACATACGAACTTTTAGTAATAGCACGTACTGTCGGAACCATTATTTCGATTACGTATCCCATCGCGGTTACGCAATCGCTCTTCGTTTTCGTCGTTGGCCTGTCATTATTAATTGCCAATCCGAGAGAGCTTCAATTTTCGCATCCTCATTTCTAGTTTCAAAATTCGCGATTCCGCGTTCGGAAAACTGATTGCTGGACGGATCCTCGACAATTAACATGTCTCGCGGTGGCACAAGATCCGTTGCCTCGAAAAATGGAACGCGTGTGGAAATAATAAATTATAGGCGAGAAGCTGCCGCACGCTCATGAAAAGCGAGCTCTTCCAATTTCTTTTGCGAGTAAAAAAAGGAAAAATCGTTGTGTTACAGCAAGGAGCGTAAAAGTTTGCAATCATCAAGCGCCCGACTACTCGTCTTGCCTAAGGCTTGCCATACAAGAGTCATGGATGACCTTCGTCAAAGGTAACAACAACATATATAAAGAAAAGGAGAAAAATTCTGCTTCGAGTGGTCGCGATATCCAAGCGTCGGCGTTAACGCGTTGCAGGAATTCCCGAGCTGGGCTTGCCAGTGCTGGACCCGATGGAGGTGGACATGATGGAGAACGAGTTCCACATGGGTCAGCTGATGGGTCGCTTTGTCCTTCGCGACGTGAAATCGTACGGTGCGGCCAAGAGCATCTTCCAGGCGGTTCGGCCGACTCGCAGCGCGGACCGCATGAGTCTGGAGGTGGATTTCGTGATGCCCAAGGTGTTTATCGAGGGCGACTACAAGGCCGAGGGCAGCGTTGGCCCCTACAAGATCGGCGGCAAAGGTGAGCCTGCGTAACGCGCGCCTCGTTTCGACATCGCGCAGCTCGCCTATATTCAGGTCGCCTAATGGGCGTCGCGTCCGCTGCGGGCGTATCACGAGCATTCCCATGATCTCCCTTCGGTTTCCTCTCAGGATATTTCAACATCAGTATGGAGGGCGTCAGTACCACTTGGGGTATAGAAGGTCGCGTGGAGAACGACAGATGGGTCGTTGAGCACTTCCACGTCTACCCCGAGGTCGAGAAGATGAAGGTTTACTTCACCGATCTCTTCAATGGAAACCCGGAGCTCAGTAAGTACTTTTTTCTATCGCGACGCTCACCGATCGATTCCGTTCTGCTGCCACTAATCTGCTGGCTGCAGGTATGCCGTTCGCGTAGGATCGACCAGCGAGCCGGTTGAGCAAGTCCATTGATAAATATTTACACGGGCAATTTATTTTTCTTGCTGGCTTTTTACAGCCTCATTAAAGCATTATGAGCGCGAATGACTCTGAGTGCAATTCATAGACTGACTTTTAGATAGTCAAAGGATAGCAAGCCAAGTGCGATTATTGGAAAAAAAATTGTTGCTCAAAGTTGGCATTCTACTGACTTATCGAACGGTCAGGACAGTACCGAAAGGACGAGTTGCTTGCGCGCAGCGTCAAGTGCAATGACATCCTTTTCCTCGTTACTTATGTAAACGAAGTCAACGACACATTGTACGAGTCACACTTCACATTGGTGCTTGTATGTACATTAGGGAAAAGGGGGTTGACTCGAGTAGTCACGCTCGACGTGACTCCCTCGCGCGGATGTCAAAGATTACAATCATTACTTGTAATGAATGGCTATTCGGATGTTTATGCACAGCCGACAAAACCTTTCGCATTATTCCAACAAAATCGTCAAATTGCACAAAATAAATATCCTTTTTTTTCCTTCGCAGACAAGGCCGCAATGACTTTCGTCAACGAGTACTGGCAAGTATTGTACAAGGGTATGCTGCCAGTAGTCGAAAGACATTGGGACGTCCACTTGACTGACTTTGTCAATCGGCTAATCTTCTCCAAGGTGTCTTTCGCCAAAACCTTCCCTTGAATGATTCTTGACAACTCAAGTAGAAAATAGATCAACAGTGTCGTCGCCGGACGTGTCGTACACGATGGAAAAGAAAGCAGAGTATTACTCCTCTGGTTGTGAGCAAAAGAATGACGATGATTTTTCTCTTTTTTTTCTTCTTTGTTGAGCGATACCTATGTGTATGTAAATATAGAAATAAAGAAAAACATGTATTTTGTTGGAATTGCCATTTTATTATTGTAGAAAGTTTTGTCTTTGCTCCTGAGAACTCAGGCTAGGCCGGTTTTCGAGAGTACGAGAGTATTTAGAATAACAAAAAAAAACGAGAAAACTCTACTGACTATGACCCTGTTTACTGAATCGTCGAGCGCTACTCAAGTAAAAACGAGCTATCTACAAAAAAGAAAAAAAAAATACTAAAGCGACAAGGCGTTACGCTACATCACCGGCTATATCACTGTCAAGAAAAAATAGAAGAAAAGCAGCACTCGCGCGAGCCGGTCGACGCATAAAAGCGCGCGCAGGTGGGAGCGCCTGCGATGGAATCGAATTCGGTGCCTCTGGATTATCGGCAACGCTACTCGAGCGTGCGGAGTCGCGATAAGTGGCGTGCGCGCGGACTAAGGCTCTAAGGTCGCAAGAACGTCTCGACCGGTAAGTTCCTCAGCAGCTGATTGACGATACCGGCGAAGAGAGCGGAGAGTTTCCTCTTCAGCTGCGGCTCCATCGCCTTCAGCACCTCCTGGCCGTTCTCCCGCAGAAACAGATTGGTCGCCTCCGCTGAAAACGACAGTCTCATCGTTACCCGTCGCCACTATTGCTCGCGCCTCCGTTCCCGCTTACTTAGTATCCGATTGTTGTTGAAGATCTTGCGGACGCGCATCTGCACGTCCTTGACTCCGAGGTGCACGTCCAGATTGTCGACGTTAAGGTAGGTCTGGCCGTCCCTGGGGTGACTGGAGACCGAGCCCCGGACGAGCGCGCGGGCGTTGCCGAAGCGCGCGTGGAACGTGCCGTTGCCGCTGGCAGGCAGGATGATCAGTACCCCCGAGCTGCGAAAAAACAACGCGCGGCATGCGGCAAATGCGGCAACTGCGGCAACTCGAGCGCGCTCGAGCGCGTCGAGCCCTCGGCCTCTCAACGACCAGTTAACTACTGTTTTAGTGGCCGGCTAACGCACATCTTGCTCGTTTCCTCGCCACCCGCGACGGCTCCGTCGCTTTCTCGGCCGAAGGAGGGCACAGCCTGTCGTTTTCGCGGGCCCTTTATTTTCAATGTCTCGCTTCCTGCTGCGGTTTCACGAGCAATCGAGCACGCCCTCCACTTTGTCTTCCTTGCGCATCAACGGAAAGATGGAAGATACCGATGAACCGGTTCGGCCAGAAGTCTCTTGCCACAAGTGCCCCGGCGCGGCCACCGGGCGCGGATTACACTGTGACGCACGCGCGCGGCGCTGGAAAAATTTTATCCGCCACCTCGCCCGAACGAGCGAGTCGCGCGCTCGTTCGAGACGAGCCGAGCGCGATGTAGGCCAGCGTGACGCTGCTCGTTTGCTTCTCATTAACGAATTCTCCGGGACGGCGATTAAGGAGTGGCGTCGGCTCGCCAGACGATCCAATCCGGCAAATCGACCGAATCCACGGGCGTCTCTGGCAGGCTCGAGCCCGCAACAGCGTGAAATCGTGGGTCGCCCGACGAATACGTCCTTACCGCCGGATCGAAGAGCGGCGCGGCGGCGCGGCGGCGCGGCGGCGCGGCGGTACGCGTCCGTCGAACGAGACAGAGAGAAGGGACGTACGCACCTGGTGTATTGAGCGTCAAGGATGAGGGCAGGCATTCGGATGAGCGCCTCGAAGGGCGAGCCAAGCTTGATGTCGGCGACGGTGTAGTTGCTCGCTCCCCTCACGAACAGCTCGCGCAGCCGCACCGTGTAACCGTTCGTGCCACCTGTCAGCGACAGCTTCAGCTCGTCCATCTGCCGCACACGCAAACACGCTTACTTGGCTCTCGATGATCGGTCGCGCCGCGAGTGCCGAGCCGGTGGAAACAAACAGCAAATCAACGACATCTCGAAGCCGTCGAGCTGGCGGCGCCGCGCGAGCGGCATCTCATGTGCTTTTCTTTCCCCGGCTCTCGAGTGGCTTTATTCGTAGCCGTGCAACTGCCGACGAGCGCGCGTTCCTTTTCTCTCGTCCGCGCCGTGTCGAGAGAATAGCGCCGCGCGTCTCCTTCCGTCTTTCTCCTCGAATTAGATGCTTCTCGCGAAAAGCCGAAAATGTCAGACTCACGCGAAATGGCTCGACCGCCGGCAGCTGAATTTCCGGGATGCCGGCTTTCAGGTATGGCCGCAGGTGGTGCAGCGCGTCGATCAGGCAGCTCTTCAACTGTGGGTCGCTCCTCGAGCACTGCTTCACGTATTCGGCTGCGAACAGCGGTGCGCAAAGAATGAGTTAGTCTTGCCGAATGTTCGTCGAAAGTCTAGTTGCCTTGCGTGGATCGTTCGCGACATGAATCTTGCCTGAATCATCGGTTAGACAAAACTATCCTCTTGCGACCTAAAAGCATGTCGCAACGGTCGATCTATCAATCAAGCGACGATAATACCCCGCGCTCAAAGTAGCACACACGTGAATGCATCCATCTGAAAACTATACGGCTCATCCCGCTGTCAAGTCAGCGAACTCTTGGCAAACACACTTGCTGCTGGTACACTTAGATCTTTGATTGTGGTCCAACGTTTTAACGTAATTATCTAAATGTAATCTAGTGAAATTCGTGCAAATACAGCCAATGGCTGCGACGCGAGATGCTCTATAAAGCACCTCGACGGTAACCAACAAATGACTATTTTCAAGCAATGCTTTTCATCGGTCAAAATAACGGTGTCGTACCGGATAATCAGCGCGCTTGTAGTTTCGTCTAGCTAACATTGAATTTCACACGCACATACACCGTTGATCGACAAATTACAGGTTAGGCGAATAATCTATCAGGTGGTGTATGCAAGAATATTGCTTTGACAAATGATTTATTTCGCAACGTGTGACGCCTCGCAATGCAATTACGCGCTTGAAAATAATACCAGCTATTTTCTGTAATACTAATATGTAATTACGCCGACCTTTCGATAATATGTGTACAATAGTTTGATAAGAAATCGCGCACCGCTTCGTTGATCAATTTCCAAGTATAGCTTTGTATTTTTCAAAAAGACGCGCACCGGACTCCATTCCAATCGCAGTCTGCGTCTAGCTTACACTAACGTTCACATCGATTACATAAATGTCTATCATAAAATATCATTTATGCGATGTTACTGCAATAAGCAATTCAAAGATAAGTTTTGCATTCTTGAAAGCTAACGAAGCCCATCGTACACGAATTTTTACGCGAAGTCAAGATTGTAGGGTCAACTCGTCGATGCCTGCCGACAATGCAATGCAGACAATTATCTTCAGCACCAGGTATATTGCAAAAAGCATACAAAATAACTCGGCTGTATTTTCTGCCTGTTTCTCAAACGCGTAATATGTACATTCGGCACTCGTATGTTCAGCTTTAAAAATTTACAATTTGCGAGTCTAATGCGACGGTTCCCTTAAGCCAGTGTCAAGTAGAAAATTCCGATTCTCGCGCTACAAAAATCTTGTCGATCTAGCCATCGACGTGAAAATATTTTCAATTTTTAAGCACGCCGACTACCGACATTCTTTTTAATTCCTTTGAATTTCGATTTTTATAAGTAAAATCAATTGGTAAGCGACAGATAAAGAACGTTAGAATACGTAAAATCGTAGAATCGAATAAACTCATCGAAAGTGTCGGCTCAAGTTGGATTAAAAATTGCTTTTCTTAACTCAAATATTGAGGATTCTGTACAGCGCTAATTTATTTCTTTAGTAAATAGGACGAAAGCGCTGATTTTTCGACAAGCGGGATGGAGACTTTTACACTTATAAAAATGAATATTGAAGCTTATTCAGAACACGGCGACATTTTCATCGGAAAGACTTAACATTGTAATGGAAAAAAACTTGTTATTTGTTACGTTTGGCGGATACTAGAGAAGACAATCAAATCTGATTCTTCGAGGACAAGTCGAGCTGAGCGCTTTCGCACGGCGACTGGCCGTCGCGGAATTACGCAATAAGAAACTAAAGGAAGCACTAGGCATTGCGAGTTATTACGATCCAAATGTGATGGGCAGACACGTGAGTGCACAGCGAGTTAGTCGCAGGGAGAGAGCCGCTGTACCGGCAAAACTTTTGCGGGGACTTGCACTTTCTCGAATCTACTGCGAGCGACTGCGCTTTATCGGTTACTCAACCAGTCGATTTTCTAGAAAGCAGCGACAAGCGCTGAAAGCGCGTTGTCCTGCAAGCCGCGAACAAACGGAGACTCTCGATTCGCCGTGTCTGACCGCATCATCGCCTTTTCCACTTGCAAGAAAAGCTATCCCGAAATCGGGATTACTCACGGACGGGCCGATCGCTGACATCGGTCCCGGCGACGTGGATCAGCACCGCCAGAATGGATAGGCTCTTGGACAACAACAGCGGCATCTCGGCGAACGATCGACAAAGTCGGCCCAATCCTCGGTCAAGTTACTCGTTGTCGTCCGTACCACGAAGCTACGGAGATAATGCGCGTACGCGTATCGACGTTGGTCGCCGTCAACGCCGGACTGAGGCCATTGGCAGATGCAGTCGTTGCACTTGCTGCGGCCACTTTCACTAGGCGACGACGAGGCGCTCGCGCGCTTTTGCCGTGCGTGCGTTCCTCGCCCCCACTGCACATCCTCTGCCGCCGCTACTGCCGCAGCACCGCATTGCACTTTGACTGCCCCGGCAAATTGACCACGCGCGCGCGCGCGATTAGCAATTTCCCGAGAAAAGCGTCCTCGCGAGCGCGCGCGCTCGTGACGCGTCGACCCGGATATTCGCTCGACGGCTTGTGTGTTTTGTCACGCCTCACTGGCCGCGAGTGCGCGCCGCGACTCGCCTCTTTCTTTCATGGCGAGACTATCTTCCCTAGCCTCTCCTCGGCTTTTCCTTTCGCTCGCGTAATCGAGCCAAATCACCGACGCCGCGCTATCCTACGGCAAGCCACTGGCTCGCGAGCGTCGTTCAAGGGTACGACAATGCTCGTCGACAGCACCTCGCCATTGGCAAGGTGCGTATTGAATCCCCTTTCGATTGCCGCAAGAAAACGTGGTATTGTAAGCAAAGATCACGCGCGCGAAGGCAAGACTAACAAGGGGAGCTTGCGTCCAGCTTCGTTGCCACGCGGGAGCGCGAAGGCAGCTCAGGAAAAGTTGCACGTTACAATTCGTTTCATAGCTCGTCGTACGTTGAATAACGCGCGCATTCGCCGAAGCTTTGTAATCCCGAGCTTTCTCATTCTCGAAGCGAGGCTGCTCCTGCGCGTGCGTTTTTCGCAAGCGCTTCCTCCGCCACGGCAAACTGGGAACGATTATAACCGAATCAAACTACACTTTCGAGCGACCAATGGTGCAAACAATGCAATTGTCATTTTTACGACTGCACACCGGGGACTGTCTTGCGCAACGCGCGTGTGGCGGCACTGGAAGAAAGAGAAACGCGCGAACGAGCGGCATTCTGCGCGCAGCAAGTGCGGCCGGCGGAGCGAGAACGAGGAGACGACGAGAAGGCGATAAAAGGTGAATAACGAGCGTTGCGCTGCTCCGCGGTGGCCGCGCATTTCGCCCGAATCGCGCTATCGGCCAAGTGCATCCGACGTCAGCGGCAGCGCCGAAGCGCCCCGTCGCGAGCGCGGCACTCTGGCGACCAGCGCGCGGGAGAAAGAGGGAAAGAAGAGCGGTCGATCGGAGAGCCGCTGACCACCACTCTCCTCCGCTTGGATCGAGCCGATCCCTTGCGCAAGCCACGCAATACGCATTGAAAAATCGGGCTTTTAACCGAGCGCCTCGGAGCCGACGGCTCTCAGTAGTAAGTGCACCGCGAGCAGGCGCGAGAGTGAAAGCGAGGCCGACTTGAACGCGAGCGCCAAGTATATTCGCACGTAGCGCGGCCCGTGCCACAGTTCGCTAGATTCGCCCGGCCGCGTCAGCATGTGGACGCCCGACAGGAAGATGCTGCTCTGCCTGCTGGCCGTCATCTTCGCCAGCCCCTTCGATAGCACTGCTGCGGCCGAGTTCGGTGAGCGAACCGTTCGTCCGCGCGCTCGCCTCTCGTTTCTTTCGACGAGGGAGTTGCGAAACGCAAAATCTTAGAAGCGTGCACTCACCGGTCTCTATTGTCGAGTCTGCGCGTTGCTCGCTCCTATTATAGGACTCAATTATTTGTTTTGCGGTTTCGCTCCATTTTCTACCTTCTCGTTTTTCTTTTTACTGTTGCTTGTAAAAGATGATCCTCTCGCTTGCAAACTTCAATATTTTTCAATATTTTTTAAACGTGATATTTTTAAATGACGCTCAACCTCACCGTTCCTTGTACGAAAAATTTAGCCTGTAAAAATTCGAGACTCAACTGGTAAACCAGTTTTTAATGGAACGACCTGCGCCTCGAATGAAGATATAACACATGCATGGCGTCCAAATTCCTTATACTCCTCCATTTAAAACTTTTATAATGTTGGGAAATCATGATGCTGACACATTCTATTTACCCTTGAAAACTTTATTTCTCCATTTTACCTTTTCTTTATAAATTTGTCCATGGTCAAATTATTCTTTATGAAACCTACATCGAAAGTTCCAGAAGGGAGTTACTCGAGTTACATTGACTGCAACTAGAAAACTGGAAAAGCTCTGACTCGCAAAGCTTTTCCATGGAAATTGCAATTCAAAAAATATTGTATTGAGAAATTTACGATTTAAGGTTGGAAGTTACGCATTGGAACATTCCTCGTGCTTGTTGTTACGAGTTTAGTATGTATTTGCACAATTTCGTATTGTTTTAAAAAAATTACACGCATCCGGATTTTTGTTAAAAAGCATCATTTTTTTTCTTTTGGAAATTGAGTCTCATTTTGCACAAAAAAACGTATTCTGCCGAATTTCAAATAGTTTCTATTAATTAGATGTACTCGTGACCTTTTCGCGATATATTCCACTTACGTCTGAAAATTAGTATAACATTGACATGTCCTGTCAAGCTAATATTTTTTTCTTCGCTATATTGACCATACGCTGTGTTTCTCGATTGGAATAATCTAAATAGAAATTCCCGCAGATATACATACGGCCCATTAAGCCCATTAAGGAAGCTAAGAACTTGAACATAAACAATTTCGCAACTGACTGCGAGGACTCGATGTCCTTCGGTCAAGCGAAATTATACCAATCGCAAAATGAACGCGTATATTGCTCTGCCTCTCTCGCTTCTTTCGCAGTACAATCCAGAGACATGCAATTACATAATTTTCTTTTCCGCGCGTCTCGTTGATCTCCGTAAAGAAAGTCCCTTAGTCATGCGAGCACTTCTAACGCATCTTTCCGGTCTATCGGTCGCAGCGGCTGTAACTTTAGTAACTTTCACCCAATCGAGGCTTCAAGCCAGCCACGATAATAGGCTATTGAGAATTTGAGTAATCCGCGTTGTGCGTAGAACCGGAAAGTGATGGAAATTACGCATGTTCTCGCGAGCGATGCAGTAACGCGAGCACGCCGGCAAGCGCGCGAAGGATAGAGAAAGTGCGCGTGGCTAGCTCGCTCTCCCGACTTTTATACGCTCGGGTGTACTTGATTTTTCGTGCGCTTGCGACGTCGTGCCGCGCATTTATAATAAGATAGTTTTTATTTTTTTGCTTTTTTTTTCCTTTTCTTATCTCATTTTTTGCAAGCGTTGCACAATGCTTTAATGGGTTCTCGAACTTTATGTTGCTCTCGCGCGTGCAAACTAGGTGCAATCGGTTTTTCCATCGCGAAGAGAGCGTCGTCGATTTTAAAACGCTGTCTTGTGCTTTGAAAATCCGTCCCGTTCTTACGAGAGTGTCCTTCGTATTTGACGCCTGTGTTAGAAAAAAAAATTGACGAGCCTCGAAATCAGCAGCTCGATGGAATAATTCATAAGGATAAAAAGAATATCGAGTCCTGAGCAAGCGCTACACCAGACCTGCAGTTAAGAAACATCGACGCGACGTTTCCTCGTTGAAAATACCCTTACGGTCGCGGAAATGTTGCAATAGCCCGTTAGAGCGCCGAGCGGAGTCCTCGCGTACGGCGGAGGAGCGCGCGGGCATGCGCAAAAGTGAATGGGCGCGTAAAAAGCGCGTTTTTACCAAGCGTCGACCACGTGCTCGCCGATGGACTGCGATTTCATCAAATCCCGACAGTCGGTATATGTGCTCGCTGAGAGTGAAAGTTGTTTTGCCACTGACACCGTGATTCCATTCTGTAGCGAATTTATGACTTTTGCTTTCAAATCACTCGAGTTCATCTGGATATTATTACGATTTTTAACCGGTCTTCGTAAATACGCGAAAACTTTGCTTATACTCACGGATGACACTTGATCTGCTTATTCGAATTACCAGCGTGAAATATCCTAATCGCGGATTAGGATATTTATGCAGTTTCCTAATTAACGCATGAAATAACCTTTTCTATTCGCAACGTGATCTTTTCTCTATTTCGTTTGACAAATATATTTGGGTTGCATCATCGATGCTACATTGAGAGTCACGAAAATCGTAACGATATAAAAAAATGCTGCCAGCTGCATTGGTGTCGGAGCGCTTCAAATTCGATAAACCAGCAAGTAAATAAGACGACAAATAATACGATCGATAAATTACACTTGATTGTCGTTGGCCCATAAGCGAGCACTCGTTCAGAAGACTTTAAATTTGCAACCGCAGAGGACCACTTCAAGGACTGCCGTATGGGTGCATCGAACTTTGACAGCTGCATCCGCGAAGCACTTAACGCCGTCCGGCCGTACTTTAAGACGGGCCTGCCCAAGTACAACGTGGAGCCGTTCGATCCATTCTACGCCAAAGAAATTTCGACTCGTCGCGGACTGCCGATGTTGGGCTTCACCATCACTTTAAGGAACGTGACGGAGAGTGGATGGTCGTCCAGCAAAGTGACCAAGTTCGTTAGCGACTTGAAGAATCACAAGGTAACGTTGCTGCGCGCTCCTGCCAGGTCTGTTTGCTCGGACACGGCACCTTATGCAACCGCTGGTGCTTTAGGTGGTCTACACGCAGAGCTTCCCCGAGAAGTTTTTGTCGGGCGAGTACGAGTTCAACGGCAACCTCATCACGGGCAGGATGAATAACAAAGGCAAATTCACCTTGGCACTCTGTGAGTACACTGCGGCTGGCATTTATTATTTTAATGGGGAGTCCGTATATACCAGAGCGATCGCTTCTTTCCGCCAAGTCATGTCAACATATTTCAACACTCCGTGATTCACCTTAGTTGTTCACTGATGCTAGGCCAAATATTTATCTTCTTAATGTATTCGATGGCAAACGTTTTAACTTTCAATACTTCCGCTTCAGGTTAATTTTTCAAACTTCTTCGAAAATCTTTCGCTTCTTGCCCGTTAAATCATCAAAATGTTTTATTCCATTTCCATGTGAGTTATCACGACAATTGGAAAAAGAAAATTCATAGTTTTCATTTGTTTTTTTTGGTGCTCACATCGATTTGACAATGTGTTGAGAACGTGCGGCAGCTATAATAGACTTGGATGGATGGTATTAAAATGGGAAACGATACGCGAATAAAAGTTTTGAGGAAAATCAAACTAACTGCAGTCTGAATTATTCAAATACATCTTTATTTTGTCGACAGACCCTATATTATCAAAAATATTTAATATACTTCAACTTACTTTCAGATGACCTTGTTCAAACGACAACGATTACAATGCCACCAGGAGAGAAACTGAAAGTCCGAGTGGAAGTACAAACCATCCGGGATTTGAAATTGCACATTTCAAATTTGCTGTATGGCCGCGAGGTACTAGAAGGCATCCTAGATCGTATAATCAATGGCGTCTGGCAACCAGGCTTCACCGTGACCAAGCCCATGATCAACGACCTCGTTTCCACTGCTTTTACCGAGATCTTCGGCAAGGCCTTTCAAAATTTTCCTTTTGACCGAGTCATTAAGACCAAGTCGAGCAACGCCTTATGATGTGGTTTGCGAGCGTTTACGTGTTGCTTGTGTGTGTTAAGCGAGCGCGGAAATATTCTGTCGATTAACCGCTCAATCGGAAAACAAGATAATTCGGGCAAGAGTCCGACTTTTTGAAATTTCCGCTGCTTGATTTATGGTGTCGCGTATGAGCGAACGAAATTGTTGCTATTCACCTTGAAAAAGTTTATTTTGTCTACTACGTAGGGATTCTAATCTAATCACAATGTGCTCTTCGTCACTTGTCATTAATACTCAACTCGCCATATACTTTTATCTCGCTGCGAAACAATGATTTACCTCGATACTGTACTCTTGTAAATATAATATGTATCGATAATAAAACGATGGAAGGTGTTTTTATATACCCACGATAATTGGTCATTGAGGACAGGGCGCCAACGCCAATTTTTAAGAAGAAACTCGCCGCGCAAACGAAATCATCCGTAGCAAACGTTATAACATGGGGGGGATGATGACAATGACGTTACAAAGGCTTGCAGCGGCAGGCCATTTTAGAAGCTTTCTCTCGACCGAATGGCAAGCGTCCCCGGGAGATAATTGCGTTTTGCGGGACGACCGCGCGCTACGCGTGCGTGCAGCTTCGCTATCGTTAATGAGGAAACCCATATACGCGGAGATACCCACCAGTCTCATGGAAAATGCTTTTCAATTCGCTCGGTTAATTTCTCCGCACTCGCGAGCTAAAGGATTCGTGAGAGCGGCTCACCTTGAAAATCAGCCGAGCGGGCTTTAACCTCTTCCACATTCTACGTCGTTGTATCGTGTCGTGACGCTGAGGCTTCGCGTTAGATTTATTGTTATCGAAGCGTGATGATCGAGGGAGAGCGAGAGAGAGAGAGAGAGAGAGAGAGAGAGACGGGTACGACTGTTCGGTATTGGCTTTCGACCAAGTATGCAAACGTCCGATTATATAAGCTTTTGTGTTGGAACCGATCACGAGTGGCACTCATTTTTTTGTTTTCCCCTTGGAAGCAAACTTCTAATATCTTTTGGCGTATCTTGTAGTCGCAGACACAGCTGTAACGCAGACAATTTTCCAGTGATACGCAAACAAAGTCTCACGCAACACGCCGTCGCAATGAAGCGCAGCGGGTGCGCACGCGCGCGACGAGTCAGTTTTGCCTCGGTCCGATTTCACTTGATTCGAAAAGTCGCGCGCGAAACGCTCGGCGAACAATTAACGGTTCTCAAAATCACAAGAATGAGCGTGGCGCAGACAAGCCGGGCTGCCTACTCGATCGCAGTTACTCGATCTACATTCGGCCTGCGTGCCGCGTGCGGCACGCGCTACGCCTGCCCCGTACACGTCCACTCTCGCAAACAATAAGAGCCCAAAGAGGGAAAAGTGATATGCTCGACGATAGGCGGCAATTTCACGGAGACATTTGGCGGCTGCGTGGATCGACGCGAATCGGCGCTCTCCTGAACAAAGCTAGCCCGAACGCGCGACAAACAGGCGGAGATCGAGGCCTACGGGCAAACGATAGAGCAGCGCGTTATCGGCGCCGCTCAGCAAGTCCCTTAGCTTAGCGCCAACGAGTCTCAAGCCCCACTACGATGTTCGCCGGAGGCCCCGAGACGGGGGCAATGTCAAGGTACTGTATAAGTCCGGGCGCGTCTCCGGCGATCGGTTATTCGTTGCGAGCGATCCGAACGACACCGAGCTTCCCCGGTCGTAGCAGAGATGAGGTCCGTGACGTTTCTTGGATTTTTCGTCGCGATCGTGACGACGATCGAGGCGACGGGCAAGTACCAGGGTTTGGAGTTCATTGACTCCTGCTCCAAACGAGATCCCGAGCTCGAGGCCTGTCTGGCGAGGGCGGCTAACGCGCTTGCCGAGCAATTCCGACATGGTGAGTACATGGCTTTTCCGCTTTCTTTCGATGCAAACTCTCTTTCTGCGCGCGCCTCGGTCAGCTGATTAAACCAGTGAAAACGCGCAATGCCAATGCACCTAAAACGCTAGTTTAGTAACTTTCTGTTATTTCAAACACTAGATTCCATGCTCTCTTTCGAAATTATTATAAGCAATTACAAAACATGCATTGGTTAACAAATTTTTGCACTCGAATAGTAAATTATTACACAAAAGTAAGCGAGTACAATTATTATGAAAAAATAAAAACTGATTAATTAAGAAATCTCGAGGAACAGAGTGATGTGACGTATGAAATGCATAAGTTGTTAGTGGAATTGGAAAAAAAACACAGGGCTTGAAATAATGTGAACCAACAGTATAAACTATTTAATACTCGATCTGCAGTTCATTAATTTTTCAAACTTGAAATACCAGCATTTCGGTAGATGAGAATACTAATCGAGTAGCGGCATTTAATCGGAAATAACGGTGTGCAGTCATTAATTTTGAAATAAATCGTTTTTCACGCAGCCACACTTGCCGCCACATCATAACACTTGAAAGCTACCGGTCCCCGAAAATTCTATTCCGTATCGACTAACGGAATTTCTTTTATTTATACGAATCGGAATACGAAATTATATTAGCTAACGAATTGAAGCCTGCAAAGGGTTGTCAATTTAACGGCCGGAAAAGTCTTTAAAGAGGAAAGCGTCGCACTCGTAAAAAAAGCAGGTTATAACGGTGCACTTGAGTCGCCGCGCGTTACCCAATGTCCTACATCAAGATAGTGCCGTCCGAGAACCTGCGTAGTTTTCTTTCAGTCAAATATTGACGCCCGTGCTCTCCGACTCATCGACGTGAAAAGAAAAAACACCTTGCCAAGACCACAACTATAAGCATTTGTCTTTTGACCGCCTCGTGTCTTTTATTTATCTCTTAACGCGAACGCCTTCTACCCTTTTCGTTCATTTCTTACCGCAAATTAAATCTCATGGTCTTGGAAAATCTGCCGAAGATCGTCGTTGACAACAACAAAACTGCTACTTGCACGTTTGTTTTTTTAATATTCCAAACAATAAACTTTGAGTTTCACGAATAAGTATAATAACACCAATTGCCTCATTTAGCCTCGGTATCCATAAAAAATAATAGCAATGCGAGAGAATGCACTAATTAATGCGCTTGGCAATATTGAAATTTTCTCGATGCTCTCTCCTCGTTAACGAATTAACGAACGTTCCGACGTGGACAACAGAAGTAAATTAAAACATCATTATTCGGAAGTGGTTGAGACTAATCAGCGGAGCGGACATTTGTGAGAAAATGATTGATCGCAACGTATTCGCAGGACTGCCACAGTTGGGCTATCCGGAAGTCGAGCCTATCATCCTGGACGAGTTGCACATCACGCTGGGCGGCGGACCCAACGGCTACAAGGCTCAGTTCAAGGACATTACGGCGCGAGGAGTCTCGGCAGTGAGAGTCACTCAGCTGCGTAGCCGAATCAGCGACGACGAGGTGCAACTGCAACTGACGCTCGGCATTCCGAAGATCCGCGCCGCTGCTCAGTACCGATCGAGCGGCACGCTTATCCTCGTGCAGGCCAGCGGCGCTGGAGATTACTGGGGAGAGTACGGTTGGTATCGCACTTCTCATCGTACCGACCACTTGCTTTTTCTTTTTCGAGCGCCTGACGGCTAGGCAACTACAACTGCACGCGCGGCTACGTGAAAAATTGCCGACGAGTTGAAGGACCGCTTACGTTCCCCTTCATTTTACGCGAGTTCTTTTCTTACGAGACAGTCGACGTCATTATCGATTGCCAGATAAATGCGAGTTGCAACTTTTACCAACGTCGGTATGAAAAACATCGACGTCGCTTTAAAGTACGTGCATCATTTTTTGTTTTTCCTGGCCCGAATGATCAAAACAATTGGCTTCGTGACTGACGTTTTGACAAATGCATTGCGCAGGATCTTATGAGTTTTCTACCTTTGGCTTTTGAATCTTTCGTGAATCAATGATCCTAGCATAATTTTACCGATGATCAAAAACATGACTTCTTCAATTCATGCGATTTAGCGTTGAAAAAGATGAATGTTCAGAATGAAATTCCTCAACTACGGACATTCACTCCATTGTGCGCGACGTTTAGAGGATGTGATTAATTTTCATTATCAAGTATTAATGTGCACAATTACATCGTTAAAAATTTCGACGACAATTCGTAGCCACGATCCCGTTTCCACGTCTCTCTTTAAAGATTTTCTTTTTCTTTTGACAATTGCAATTCAAAAGGACCTACGTAGTTGAGAAAAGTAATTATGCAAACTAACTTTTTACTAGTCAACATTATTTCTTGTCTTTTTACACAATGGAAATCTTTGTATTACTCGTGTATCACGTGAGATTAATGCCAATAGGTGAGTTTGGTCGATGGAATGTTTACAAAGCGATCTTTGCAAAGAAAGTTATATCGGCATCGTGGATAGCCAGAAAGTGAAGTGATTCTTTAATAAGAAGCACAGCAACGATCGCGTTTTTCAGGATGAACGTGCGTTTTGGATGCGCAGCAACTTTCCTAAACAGGTGAGTTGGTGTGCGCTTTGCCGAAAAGACGGAAGTTCCGAAAAAGGGCACGCGTACGCGTTGCGAGGCAAAATTAAAAATGCGATATGTGAACCGGTTCGCTTGTGCTGCTAAGACGCGCACATTATCGGAGTCCGATGTGTGACTAACGGCAGAGACTTGTCACGACTTCGAGATTATTTCAAGTGTTTTACTTTTAAAAAAGCGCAGTTGATAAATGAAAAGAGCTGCGCTCTCGAGAGATCGAGCCTCTCGATCTTGCTGCGCCGAAGAGCAAACAGAGAAAAAGGACGCATAAATTAAAATTGCATGTGACATGGCTTGCAGATGGAGTCAAGGCCAAGGTCTTCATCAGAGCGAAACCGTACTTGGTTCAGGGCCAGCAGTTCCTTAGGCTGCAGCAGCTCAAGATGGACTTTGCCGTAAGGAACATCAAGATGGGTGTCGAGAACGTCCACGACGGCAACACCATTCTGCGTAAGTGCGACGGTCCTTTTTTTTTTATTTTCATTTCGTTCGCGCCTCTTTTTTCTTATCTCGTTCTTTTCGTCCGTCCACTTGTTTACATCGTCTCGCCGCCGTGTCCGACGAGTCCCATGTACACGTGAATTCGACATTTACCGTGGCCGCGCGGCCGCAATGTCAGGCCCGTTTGCACAGCACCACAATTCTACGTGCGAGAATAACGACTGCGAACTTTTTATATTTCCGCAGAGGCAGCATTGAACCTTTTCATCAACAGCAACGGCCAGGAGCTTTTGAAGGAAATGAAACCGGATCTGAGAAGAAAACTTGTTCAATTGATGTCGACCTTCGTGGAAAAAATATTCGCCCAAGTACCTTACGACGCTTTCGTCACCGACTGAGAGCGACGGTCTCGATTGTTCCGCATCGCACATTGCCCCCTCGCCAGCAGCGAGCTTCCTTGTCATCGCCGATTTATCGAAATAAAGCCGAAGCGACGCATCGCCGTGATGCATTGTCGAACTCTCACCCGCTGCTTTCCTAGATCTTAAGCTCTCTGTACATTGGTCGGCTATCCAGCATACTTTAAGACACTATAGTATTTTAAGCTGTAATTTATTGCTTCACTCTCTCTCTCTCTCTCTCTCTCATCTCAACATGGATCGTAGCGTGCAACTACTCACCTGCCTTCTCGTATACTAACGTATCCGTTCATCTTTACAACTTAACAAATGTCCGTAGGTTCTAAGAGACACGCAATTGTTCGCAATAAAATCGACATTTATCTCCGAAATATCCCTTGATTTCTTTCTCTGCGCGGTAGACTGGCGTCACGAAATGACGTAGTTGTGACGCAGGAGTCGATGCCGCGCGAACTTTCGCCAATCGCCAATGCACCGATCTGTATTCCGAAGCCGCCGTCCTCGTCACCCATGATCTTCGTTCGCGAGGTTCCTTTGAAGAAAGCATTCCACGCGCGCGACAACAACAATACCCACGCCCGCGTCAGCCGTACGACGGCCATCGCAATTTCTTTATTTTCTTTTTTGCCTTATTCTTTTTCCTTCGTGTTTGCCCCTGCGCTTCTTTTGCCGGCGGCAATGTGGGTTAAGAACGATCGGCCCATTAATCTCGACTGCTATAATGGTCGCGCGGCAAGCGAAGACGCGGCCCGTACGCTGGGCGCTGAAAAAAAGCGGCGAGAAAAATGGATATCTCGCTCGACGTCACGAGGCGAGACAGGCGTTATAGGTCTCCGTTGACGCATTGTCTTCGGCACCGAGGACGAGAAAGCCGAGCGCGGCGTCTGCCTCGTACACGGTAAGTGCTGCTTCGGCGGGCAGACCTGCGCGCTGCAGCTACGCGACTGCCGTATGCGCGTTCGGCTTGGCTAATTTTCGACAGGCGGCGCCAATTTAAAAGCATGATGCAGTGTCGACCTTCCGTTGAAATTGAAATCTCATCCGCGCACCAGCTGCTAGAAAGTTAGGATTAGACGGGTGGCTTGCTGATTCACCGCGATGAGCTCCTTTATTCGGCGAAATGCAAAATTCTGTCGGTAAACCTGTTGTGGCACTTGATGAAACTTCCTCTGATTCACGTGTCGGATAAAAACCTGCTTCGCCGCGCTTCCACGAACGCTACATATTTTTCACTTTATCGCAATGACCGATCGCTGGCTATTATTTGATCATCAGAAAGAGCAGTCTCTAATTACTGTCCGATGGCAGAACCGATAAAATTTGTAATTGAAAATGCCCCAGTGAAAAGAGTTTGCTGAATCCGTTTTTGCAAATAACTGGCTACAAGGGCGGACCTTGTGCCGACAATGATCGTCGCATAAGTCTTGATATACTGTTTTTCTTTTGCAACGGGGACGCGCAGATCATTGCGACGTGTGAACTGATTAACAAATTTTCGAGATAAGGCTAGGTTGAGAAAATCAAAGCGGTTGTCCGTGAAAAACAAACACGTAAGCCCGTGATGAGTTCTGTACGAAAAAATGGAAAATCTTTGCCGGATCGTATTTTGTATCAGTTATTGGTTGCAAGCCGATGCGTGCCAATTTTCGGCGATGACTTCAGAATTGATACGAGATCGAAGTATACGCGGCGGCGGCAGCAGCAGCGTTGGATCATGGAAAGGTTGAAGTGACGTTTTTGTTAGAGCCACATCGGCGACCGAGTGGAAGGAACATTTGAAGAAAAAAAAACGAAGCCTCGGACGTGTGTGTGTGTGATTTGCAGTTGTCGCGCGGAGACAATGGGTCATTTGATTAATGACATGCGTCGTGGACTTTCCGCAACGCGCGCGCGCGCGCGCGCGTGTTTGTCAGTCGGCGATTTATCATCTCAGAAAGGAGATCGGTCTCTTCCGGGGCCAGATTTTGAACGTCCGAAGAGGCGTCGCTGGAACAAGCTTCGCGCGCCCTCGAAACGTCGGTAGTGCGCGCGAGCAGCCGTGACCGGCCTCGTCTCGACAGCGCCGATCCTTACGTAATTATTATGTCACGGTGCGTCGTCTCCGAGAGCTGGCGTGCTTCGCTCTCGGCCACAGCCGATCGAGCTTTCGGCCCACACGTGTCGTCGCTCCACGCGGGGAGCACGACTCCACTCTCGGCAAACACCAATCAAGACCGCGCTTGCAGCTGATGCGGTACATCTAATCTGCAGATGCGCGCTGAACTTGAAAGCAGTGCTTATTACCAACTCTTATTTCACGACGGCTCGATTATGTGACGTGTGCAGAAGTCGACGAACGAACCGTATCTTTCTGTCTGCACTTTTCTCTTATATCAACGCGTATACAACGTATATATATGTTTTTCGAGAGCTCCGCCGTGACTCGATGAATTATCGCACTCATCATCTTCCCAGCTGAGCTAATGGCATTTCCATTGGCATTGCCAAGCATCTTGCCGGATAATGGTCACACGCCGACGACCCACATTGCCATTCACTAGCGCGTTCGGTTTATTCCAGCAAATTGCTTATCTACATGGAATAATTCCGATTACGTGGAAAATCTTGATAGGCCATCAGATTTTCATTCGCGCTTTGATCACTAGCTCGATGTCCGTCGGTTCGCTACGCGACTCTTCGTTGCGCTGCCGATGGTTTTAAGAATGACTCTGTCGTCCCATTGGAAGCTTTCGACGCAGGGGAGAAGGAGAAGGCTAAGCGGAAAGTCAAATTATTGGCGTCAATAAGAATTATGCAGCCCGCATCGAATCGTCACGTGCATGCGCGAATCGACGCGCCTTCCTGGGGCGACGGCCCTTGTAAAAACGCTGAAGAAGCGCTTGGCGATGCAAACGAATTCGGCCGATTATGCAGACGCGAGGACGTGACCAAGTTCACGTAAACCAGATTTTCCTCCATCATTGTCGTTGAGCACGGGTCGAGGCAGTCCGCTAATCAGTAAAATATGCATTTGATTGGCAATACAAAGAGCGTGACGCAAAAATCACAGGCCTCGGGCTCGGCCATTAGTTTGTCGCGCGCACCGCGATCCCTGCTTGTTTAGCTGCAGCAATCACGCGGCAACGCCACTCCTCCTTGACTTTGACTCCGCGCGCGCGCCCGACACGGCTGGACGACGTCGCCCCGTCCCCCGGCCGAGCTGGGCCCGCTGGACCGATCCGCGATCCGCTCCGGTCCCCTTCCGCGGACGCGCGCGCGCGCGCGCTCGCCGATCGAACGTTTCCGATGCATTATTTCGCTCACGATCCTCGCGGCCTCTTTTCGTGCCTGGCCTCGCGCGAGGATGGACGGCGCTCGTTGCGCGCGGTACAAACGAGGCGCTCGCCCGGAACGCACGGCACGTCGGATCCTTGACAGCCGCCGTCGCGAACGGAAGATTTTTGGCCGATAAAGCAGATTGCAAAGAAACGCAACATTCGTAAGGATGTGTGAGCGCCGGCTGCGTTATTTATTGCCGTGTCGGAGTGCAACCTCTTTTTTCTTAAGCGCCAAATCTTTAAAAGCCCGGACAAACGTTAAAATTAAAAGGACGGTTTTTTCGTCACGCTGCCTTTTGTCGCCATCGTGATCTACGCAAAAGGACTATATCGAAAACATGTATAACATGTTTGGGCGCGTGGCTTGCTTCTCCTTGAACTTGAAAGCTGCGTCGATGGCTGATCACCGAGATCTTTTTCGCAAAGTGAGATATGCTTCGGCCGGTTTTCAGAGGGCTCGCCAACGTCGACTTCTCGATCTCTCGCGACAACGACCCGACGCGAGGGCTGGCAGCGGGCTAACGCGCGAATTAGGAAACGAGCGCCGCCCCAGCGCATAGAGGTCGCGCCTGTTTTCGAAATATGCGCGCACGTCATTATCGACGATAACTGTCGCTGCAACAATTTATATGTATTGTCGTTAAACGTTTTTTGTCCTCGAGCAACTCGCTTTCTTTTCCTCGCGCTCGATCGTAAATTTATCCAATGTTGTGATACCTTTATTATCGCCGGATGAAACGTTCACGGGAGTATTTTTATTTACGTCACAGCCATTTTCATGTGTACTATCGAACAAGCTGCTTTCAATTGCGTTGTATCCTTATCGTTGAATAACGGTTTGCCAGCAAAGCCAAAATAATCGATTTGGCGGTGATGCGAAACCTCGCGACGTCCTTTAAAAGCCCGCGTAACGACGGTCGAGAGTCTCCGGGAATGACTTTTTTGTCCTCGCGACGTCGGAACAAAGCCAGAACACCGGCGCATAAAAATCGCGCTCGGCTCGAAGATCGTCGAAATTTTGTCGGGGCAAAAAAGCAGGAGGGTTCCGTGGAAAGCGACGTGCGCGAGAGAGGAAAAGTGTCACGAGACGATAGGGGTCTGCGGAGGTAGCGAGGATACGCATGGACGCGAACGAGCGAGCGAGCGGGAGAGAGAGAGAGAGAGAGAGGTGGCAAAGGAGGGAGCGCGTAAGCGCGCGAAAAAGAAAGAGAGCGAGCGAGCGAGCGAGCGCGGATTGAATCGGAAGCCGAGAGGGGGCAGCCTATAAGGTCCTCCAACGCAGGCTTCGTTCTAAGCATTTGCTACGAGAGGCACACTTGAGCAGAGCGACAATTGTGCGAAGGATAGAGGTGATCTCTGTGACTCGTCCGCAGCAGTGTACAGCGCGCTCCGACTGGTCTCGCTGCCGGCCACAGCCATGTCTCGCGGAACAACCCTCGCGATCGCGCTCTGCGCGGCGCTCGTCTGCTGCTCCGCCCTCGAGCTACGTAAGTACCGCCAGCGGCGTCGTCGCCTTGGGCGCTCGACGCGCCGGTCTGACGCCCGGGGGCCGCTTTGCTTGCAGCGGACTTCATCCACGTCTGCAGGCGCAACGAGCCGGACATCGAGGCCTGCATCAGGCGGAGCGTGGAGGACCTGAGGCCGCAGCTGATGTCGGGCGTGCCCGAGTACAACATCCCCTCGCTGGAGCCGCTGCTGCTGAAGGAGCTGGTCGCGGCCGAGGGCACCGGCGGCCTCAAGATCACCGCCAGGGACGTCAGCGCCTTCGGCGCCAGCAATTTCATCGTGCAGAAGCTCAGGTACGTCCGATCCCGCGGCGAGACGCGGAAAAGCGACGACGAGCTCTTACGTGCGCCGGCCTAGCTTCCGATTATCCAAGCGCTGGACTTGTCGGTCGTTACGCAATTGGGCTCGGAAGAAGAAAACGAAGCGCGGATCCGGGAAACGGACGGACGTACGGACGGGCTCGTCTTCTCGCGCTCGCGGAAATGCAAATTTTCGCTCTTCGCTCGTTGCCTTTTCCCCTCTCGTCTTTGCTCGACTTGCCGGCGAGATCTCGCGTTTTCCTGCGCGGCTTCGATTCGAATAATTTCGAAACGGAAAGAAAAACTACAGGATAGGGGATTCGCGTAATTTGACGTTTTCGCCTCGGCTCGGCTCGTTCGTTGCGTCTCGTGGCAGTGACGATGGGCATCGCCTAAGCCGTCGCGCGTAACAGACGAGATCGACCGAGCGACTCGAGGCCGGTAACCGTGGCCGTGGCGACGGACAAACGTAATTGCTTTCAATTTCAATTCAAACGCGCGTCGCGAGAATTTCATGGCGCTCTTTTGGCGTCTCGACGAATCTTGATCAACTTTCGACCGCGAAAATTTTAAACGATCCCGAAGGACGACTGGATACGACGTCGCAGACGGCGCGAGGACGCCCGACGGATTTTTTAGCAGCCGATCAACGGATGCGAGTGCGCTCGAGTGAGAAGCAGCGCGGTTTTCCCGAGCTCGCGAGTCCCCTTTAAACATTCGTCCAATTACAAACGCGTCCGCGGAGTTTGTATTCGCGGTGTACGCGGCTCGTGTCCGTGACACCAACTGCGCGCCTCGCTCGTCTGGCGCTCGTCCGCGACGAAATTCGGCCCTCGCCGACAGTAACCATCGTACGACGGGGCAACACGCGACCGAAAGCACACTGGATGCAATACTCGGCTTGGGCAACCTCTAATTTTCCAAGAGCGCAGCGTCCGTTTGAGAAGCTTCGAGAACTGACCGTTGCGTCTTATGCTTTGGCGCAGCGCGCTTGCGACCGCAGAGTTACGAGCGTCGCGTGACGTGGTCGCGCTCGGAGAATTCGACTTATCGAGACTTTCTTCGGTTTTGCGTTAGAAGAAAGAAGCGCAACGTTGCAAAAGTGACACCGAACCGCGCGAAGAGTGCAGGAAAATGGAAGTCGATAATCGGTAATTCGCTCGACAATTCGCTCGACAATTCGCTCGACAATTCGCTCGACGAATTCGTCGGATAGCGCCGACGCCAGGAACGAGGAAGCCGCGTCTCGCGTGAATCCGACGAATGCGAAATGGCGCTCGGCGGTCGAGCAAAGGCACAGCAATCAAAGGCGTTTGCCGGCGCGGCCGTTGCAGGATCGACCTGAACACGCTGCGCTTCGCGCTGGACATCCTGCTGCCGCACCTGTACATCGAGGGCCTGTACGAGATCGACGGCCGCGTGCTGCTGCTGCCGATCCGCGGCAACGGGCCCATGACCGGCAACTTCACCGACGCCACGGGCTCGGTGAAGATCCAGGCGAACCTGTTCAAGGACGCCAAGGGCGAGGAGCACGTGGGCCTCAGCGAGTTCCGCATGCGCATCAACATCCGCAAGGGCTCGCTCAAGCTGGACAACCTGTTTGGCGGCGATCCCACCCTCGGCACGGTCATCAACAACGCGATTAACAGCAACTTCGACGCCTTCATCAAGGAGCTGCAGCCGCTGATCGAGAAGGCCCTGTCGAGCGCCTTCATGGACATCGGCAACAGCATCGTCCGTCCGTTCACCTACGACCAGCTCTTTCCCGAGACCTAAGGCTGGTTCCACGTTGCTCGCTATGTTTGCCATGTATTACGTACACGTGTATACAAACAAACAGGACCGGCGCTGACGACCATCTCTCTCTCTCTCTCTCTTTCTCTCTCCGGTGAGGACTCGACCTCGCGCGCACATGTACGCACGACACTTCGTTTTGCAGTTGCGCGTGTGCTCGCGCGGGCAAGAGGATCCTAGCCCTACAATGCTCAGCGTGCGACGGTGTGGCGAGGACTCCGCGCGTGTCGATCCCTAGGGCCTGTTTATGTGGACGATGCTGCGCGTATCTCTGTCTCCATCTCTCATTCTTTTTTATTGTTTGCATAAAAAACGCATCGAACGAGCGATTTGTACTGTTTGTTATAATGTGCGTATATCATCGTCGACGACTTGTTATCCGACAGTTTTTCGTGTTTACCTTTGTATATCGCACATTTTTTCACCCGACCGCCGTATCCTCTATGTAAATTTTTAGCGTTAATTGGACTGATTTTTAATAAATTGGTAATGAAAATGTTCGTCTCGCTTTCCAATTCTTTCGCTTCGCGCATTAATACGTTGGGGTTATCCGTCAATCTATTTATATTATCCACCCAAGATGGCAATGAATTGATCGATTGATGGGCAAAACTTGGTAGGTCCGCTTATGAAACAGCCAATTAGGCAGAAGAACAAGAAAATTGGCATTGCGCACCGAAACAATACGGAAACTTATCAGTCAGCGCATTACACAAATTGCACAGCATGCTCCGAGGAATCACGACAGGTGCATGCCGCCGTGTAATAAAAACAAGTGAAGTAATAAATGGAAAAATCGAAGTAACTCGTTAGATTGCCATATAATCAGAAGCTCTCGGCGCAGTGGTAAACGGAATGACCATTCGTGTAAATTGCGACTGTTGTCGTTTCCTTTTATTTAGATAACGCCATCGAGTACTGCAGGCGCGCGAAAAGCGAACGCGCGATCTCGGGATCGGTAAGACTGTTTTATCGCGAGCTGGTAAAATTTCGCGCTTCGCAGGTCGTTCGTGGGAAAGGATCGGGACTGCTTTGTCGCCGCTCCGATCGATATTCGATAACAGAAGCCGATGGGCCTTGCATAGGGCGCACATTATCACTGCGAATCGGGAGCACTTTGAAAGTGCGCGCAAAAGCAGGTCTGCTGCATTCGCGACTAAATAGTCCCGCGCCGGCTCTTTATTCCGTTTACTTAACGCCGTTATTCCTTCTGCTCTTGATCTCCTTTAACTGTATTATTAAATACGCCTATTAAATACAATATCAAAAGAAATTTCGAAATCCCCGTAGCAATGCCAGTGTGACATCTGCAGAGCGGCCGTCGACGGTGATTGACGATACTATCATTAAACTTATTCAACAACTTCAAGCTAAAGTTAATCGAGCGCATTGCGTTTCAAACCCGCTTGGTCTGCTTGTTAAACTTATTCAACGACTTCAAGCTCAAGTTATTCGAGTCAGTTGGTATGTTCCATTTGAACGTAACTACTTGAAGTAAATTTTTTCACAACGTTAATATACTTTATTGATAACGTTTCATACTTACATATAATTGAAAACACCGGATTTCTTTTTTATGACAATGACAAGTCTACGGTTGTTCGACAGTTGACTATTTGATAAAATTAATCTCGTCGGGAAAAACAGTGATATGCTAATATTTATTGGTAATTTAGCATCGTGATAATATGATAATACAATAACTCTGGCATCTCGAGCATAGAGACGTACGCGTAGTTCGAGAACTATCAGCAAGCCAGCGGAAAAAAAGTTAGAGCGTGAGATGGCGAGGGCAAATGCAGATTATGATTTGATTACTTTCCGTTTCTCGGAAGCACGCGGGGACAAGTCGAGAAAAATATTTTCAGCGAGGTTGTACGATTTACTGGCCGAAGCAACGTAAAAGCAGACTAAAGTAACCAGTCTCTAACGTGGATTGGGCGCCTTATGTAAAGGGCTGATTATGTATATTGTCAGTAGTCTGCAATTAAAGTCGGTCGGGCAAGAGGTCGTCGAAGGTAAAGTGCTTGCAGACCCGATTGGCGACGTCGATGACCTTCGAGGAGACGGCTTTCTCGAGATTCGGTGTCATGCTGTCGATGATCTCTTTGCGATTGGTTACCAGTATTTCGTTGATTGCTTGGCTGATCGTACTCTCGCTCGCGCCGGACCTAAAGTTCGCCGTGTAGTCTTCGATCAGCAGCTTGCAAGACATCGTCGGGAAGTAGATGAGGGTCCGACCGCGCCGCTCCACCTTTTTGAACTTCAGCACGACCTTTGCTATCACGTTCTCTGCACACACGTTTACACGTTTATATCATTTAATAAGGTTAATCATTTTTGGCTTATTTGTTTCCATTCGGAAGCGCGTTATCGATTTACGCAATATCATCTTTCCCGGCCTTTTGCCACATCTCGCCCCCTTTCAAAGGTTCATTTCTTACCGGATAATTTCTCGATGATCAACAAGTTTGTGTCAATTAGCCACTAAATGTTTTAATGAATAATGGTATGATATCATTCTTTTATATAGTATGCTTTTTCAACTTTTTAAATGTTTACGTAAGTAAGTTTATCAAGACCGATTCTGACCCTGAGCATCTTTCCAATGTTTTCTTCTTTTCAAATTCTAATGAAGATAATGCTAATATTTTATAGAATCACGAAATAATCAACGAATCTTATTATGCTATTGAACTGGATTGATTATTTTGAAAAACCGATCATAAATATAAATAGTTTGGATGATTCTGTGCACGATTCGACATTGATTGTTTGGTTGGCTTGAATATACCGTACGTAATTTAAACTGTTCACCTCGTATAAAGATAAAAATTTTTAAATGCAACTTCGTTTTGAATCATTGCTTCAATTTTCGCTCAAAAGATTATTATTTGTCAGATTAAAGCTTTAAGCCTACAGTAATGACTATTGAAAATTCAGCATATTTCCTTCTAAGAACCTCTAAGTACATGGTGCATTAAAAATATACGGAAATTTCACTAAAAAATCAAATACTGCTTATTTTCTGTATTGTTATAAAAACTTGTTGAGAACTCTTCGATTGTAACGTATCATTGTTAGTAAACAAAATACCTGAAGTCAAGTCGATGGGTCCTTTTTCATTGATTGGCACAATGATTCTGGCTTTAACATTATAGTCTGACTTCATCAGGACCTTTGCCAAGAGAAGTTCGAGATCGATCCTATTTTTTTCCAAGTCGATATTCAAGTGTCTAATTTCAAAATTAGATAAGCCATTCAATGTCAGATTTTTTGCAACTGCTGTAAAGTCAGGGAGTGTAGCCAAGATAACTTCATCAAAATACAACGGTTCAAGAGATGGCACATCGAGCTCTGGAATACCAGATTGGAGTTTTGGTTTCAACTGTAGAACACTGTCCTTCACGCACTCGTTTAGTTTTGGATTTCGTCGACCGCATACTTTCATGTACGACGCTGTGAATAGTAAGTGGTTAGCTTAGACTTTATAAACGTTATTACATAATAATCATTGAATGCATAAATTTATTTCTCAACAATTGCATTGAAAAGTTATTCAGTAATAATTTTTTAAAATAGATTTATGTCATAAATACGCCGGATGATTTACCATATCTTTTAACTCCTATTGTATTCAATAGAGCAATAAAATAAAGAAATGGTTAGTGTGAAAAAATGTGGAATACAATTATCCGATTAGGTTTTGAATGGAATGATTTATTTCTAATGTATTTGAGGTTCGACGTTACTATCAAATTAGGGGATAAATAAAGTATATGGACATGAAATTGGCAGACTGATCAAACAATTACGATGCTTTTATCCAAACAATGATATTTATACAAGGGACGGACAACAGTTATTGATATAGTGTATTGACAAAATACATTGACAAAATAGTCCAAGCCTACTTTATAACATTGAAACAAGATTTTAGGTATCCGAAAGTTAACATTTCGTCAATACAGAAGATATCAATATTAAAAAGGTCAAGTCTAAATTGTGGCGTACATAATGAGCTAAAAATACTTTATATGTATACAAAAATAACTAATTGTCTTTTAAATACATTATATCGGTGGAAAATATTGTAAAATGCAGGAATAATGCAGTTTTTATGTAGCATCGAAAATCACTTCGAAAGAAATTTTTTGAATATATCAAACTGACATCTTCTGATGATCCCTGATTAGTCAGACTCAATGGACAAATATGATTTTTATTATTCAGGATCAGATTTGACTACTATGCTACTTTCCTTGTTGAACATAAGAGTAAATAAACGACGTGTATTAAATACTAGGTTATTATCAATGAAAAAGTATAGATTTTGTACAAGAAACTAATTGAAAAAGCCGCAGTGATAAGACATCAGACTTTTTGTCAATACTGAACAGGTGATATTTATTTTACAATCCGTTTAATATTTAAGTTAGAAATTTGACGGGTAAAAACGTTCTAAATGTCTTGTACGCATAGAGGAATGTGTATTTATTGTGAAAAACATATTATTTGAAGTTGAGACGAGCGTCAAATCGATTAAAAAACGTCTTGAAAATTTCTTCATTGTATAAATTGAGCAATTCGTAATCTAAACGATTTCAGACTTACTTGGCCGCATACATAATTAACAGCTGCACGACTGATAAAAAAATGACGCGATAATGCCGTCCAGTCCAGAAACTGTAAATCAATGCCTTGAAAATGGAAAGATAAAAAAAAGTCACTGCACGCAATAACGTAACGATCATCAGGCACAATAATTATGCCAGGTGCACTGTCGCATAGACAGCAAGTGAAATCGAAGACGACGTGGCACGGACACTGCGTCGTTACTTACGGATAGAGGCCTCGGCAAGGGTGTAGCAAAGCGCGGCGAGGGCCAAGAGGCGAAGCTGACGGCGCGACATTCTCGAGCAGCACGAGGGTACGTGCAATCGAAGCACAACTGTCGTGGTGACGAGGCGAAGAGACCATATTTATATCTTCGACCGGCGCGGGCTATTCGCGCGAGCATAGATGTTCTCCTATTTCGCTAAGTTCAAGGTTGGCGCTCCCCCACCGTGACAATTGAACCAGCGTGCCCCGGCTTGCGGCCGCGGCTCCTCTAATTGGCTACGAGCATCGTCGGGTGCTCGTACCCCGTGCCCCACGTCTATGTTCCACCTCCGTGACTCTTTCGCCATGGCAATAAAGCCGCGACTCACGGCGGGGCTCGCACTCCTGCCATTGTCCTTCGCTGCTGATAAACAGTCAAAAGCCGTCGATCGTGACACTGGATGCATTTCAATGTGCACTGACGTCAATTGGAGCTGCCGTTTCGCCTCAACAGAGCTAGCATGCCAACGACTTGAATTATTGCAGGATTTCAGCAAAAAATCTACACTCGGAAACTGACTAGGGAGGCCGCACACGTACGACCGACGCACTGGCATTTGCATCTCTCGGAAAAGTCCTAGAAGTTTCTCTCTCCGTCTATCCTTATTTATATATCTATGGTACATTCAAACGATGCTGTAGCGACTATCAGACAATCGTCCACGTGTGATCGATAATTGCTTATAACTAATGAAAAAAGACAAGTTGGAATTTCCACTGGCGTGATATCTTCTCGCGCTGCGTGAAAAGGTATTCACACTGCAAATATAAGAAAAACTGATCGCGGAACAACATTCTGAGTTTTTTTTAAATATCACGTACGCTTGAGCAAAAGTATCCTTGAAAGACTCGGCAAATTGTCTAAACAAACTATCTACAAGATTTTATTCCGAATCTACAAGACTTGATGAAAAAATGCATGCCCAAATACATCATGGGATACATATGATGAAAGAGAAGAAGTGGAGTGATCAGCGAACGTAGTTCCGAAGATACGCTCACGCTACGACCTTGGGGAGGATAATCGGCGATCATAATGCAAACATCCACCTCGGAAATAAGGCTTGCCCTTGAAGGTATGATTTCTTCATTACCGCCGCTGTAGCTCGGAAAATTATAGAAAAAATGAAAAAAATTTCCGAGCCGTAATATCAGTTCATCTGACTACAATCCTTGGAAGCAACCACCGTCATTATTCTTTTTGTGTCAATTGTTAAGGGTAAGTGAGCTGGTATATCGCCGTAATTTAGTCCTACAATTGCGCCATTGTATCGTGCTAGTTTTACTTTGTTCCTTGTATTTTTCAACAGGTGAGCTGTATTTTTAAAGCGTCGCGCCCCCTGTTATTATTTAACGATCGCTGCATTTTTTTCTAATCAAAATTAATCACATACAGCCAGTATTTTCACTTTTTCCTATGACTAATATCGTAAATTTTACTGAAAATTCGTAGGAACTACGAATTTTTGAAAGGATAAGGTACAGAAATGAAAGTTTAAGAATAATTGCTAGCGTAATTACTTTCCCTTTTCAACTTTTCAATTGTTCACTGCGATCGTTCACGTTATTATACACATCCTTCGGAGCTATCCAATTCTATACAAACCATGTCAGACGGAGCGACAGTGAGCGCGAGAGAGGGAGAAAAACACAGACGAGACGCACCAATGCTTTACTCGCATTTGAACGAAGAGAGGAGAGGCAGGGAGCATATGCACTTTCCACCTTTACGCGCGTGTCGTCTACCTTTTATGCCGTCGAGTGTTTGCGGTTCAGTTTCACTCGTCCCGTGCGCGTAAAGAGACGCGAGATCACTCCGATGCATTCTATTAAGATACCCACGCCATTTCTTCATCTGATGGGTACTGAGCACTTTCGACAAGATTTCGATATACTTCGTTTGGTGGTCGTCTTCATTGAGTCCGCGGATTTTAACAAAATTCTTGCAAACATTTCCTACTTCGCGATACGATGACAATTGTAGCTGACTGCTTCAGTCGGTTCTGCGCTTCAAATCGGGTCAACGTGCAAATAGGACAATTCACACTTGCTTACAAGAGATCCGAGGCAAAAAAGAAGGAGGCTTTAGCGAAATCAGCAACGGAAAAAAGTTCGAGCTGCAGAATAAAAGGCGAACAAAGGTGGCAACAAGACTAGGCAAAAGCAATCAGTAGTATCGGCAGATTGTTCTCCGGCAAAGAAGAAAAAACCAACGTACTACAACAAATATTTTTTAACAAATACTTATTTATTGTAAATTACGTTCATATAAAGAAGTATTTATTTGAATATAATTTATAACACAGACAATTACTATACACTATTGTATAATGAGTATACTTTATATTAGTTTTCTTACCATTTCTGTAAAAGATCGATATTATCTGTTGTACCTTTGAATATATGTCATGACCTACTTGTCAGGGCTGATCAAGAGATTTATTTAGTCTGGATCCTACTGAATGGTCGTTTTTTTCCTATCTACACATTATTTTGAATTGTTTTGTTGACCTTATCAAGATGGTGACAATAGCATCTCCGTTTCTTCTACAATTTTGCGTTTCCCTCGTTATTCCTATCTCAAGGATCGAGGTGCGATCATGCCTCTTCGATAATTTCGAAAATAAGGGCCCGTGTGTAGATTGAAAATAGTCATAAACATAGCAGGATTCCATCATATCTACGTGCTGTTTGTTTTCCTCCCTTGTAACAAATCAGCTTATAGGCGTGACAGAGTCCTGTCATGGTTTTGAGAAAGTGTCACAACCGTGACAAAACCTAGTTTTTCAAAAGTTTTAAATATTATTCTTGCTATAAATGTAAGTACATGTCAGCTTTTTTAGCGTGGACAGCTAGTAGCTTCAGTGCGTACAGGCGCAAGTGTCATCTCGTCAGATAACGATAAGACTGACTTATCGCTAGAGGATAAACCTTAGCAGACAGTGTGAAGTACAATAATAAGGGCTGCAATTCGTTCATGGCATTAATAAATAGAATTTCTTTCAGAAAGATACTCAATTTTAAAAATTCTAATGCGTGAAATTAATGTTTGCATAAAATCAAATCACAAAGATTCAGTCTTCCGCTATTGTAACTAATTAAATAGCTATGCAAACTGTGATTATTCAAACTTCGTAATGTAATTTACTTTTATACATCAGGCTTATCAGATATTAAATTTAAAAATAAATACTCTACTCTAAAATAAAAAATTCACTCTTATTGATTAATTTAATTTAGTACATTAATTTTTTACATGCAAAGCAGGGTATGGTCCATTGGCTGAAAATATGATATTATTTTACATTTAAAAAAAGTAGGTACATACCTTTCTTTCTGTCAAGGAGAGTATAGTTTTTCTAAAATTTAACATGGTAGATTTTTAAATGCAACCCACATTGAAAAAAAAAGTTGCACCATAGAGCACGCATCCTTATGAATATAAAAGACACATTTCATGTGTTTTCTTTTTGCAAAATCTACAAAATTTAAATTTTCTATGACTATTGTAAAATATGTATTAACGTACGTACCTTTTTATAAAAAAGTAGTTTACGCCACCGAAGGTTGCTTTTTATTAGTTACAATAAATTTCTTGCACGTTCATTACTTAATTGTCAGCTGAATATAAGTATTGTTCCTTGTATAAAGATCGAATCTTGTAAATTTAATTTCTATAAAAACTTGTAGACTTATTTGCTCATATGATTATTGATTACGGCGTTCAATGACTAAACAAGATTTCGAGAAAACTAAACAAATGATTATGTATATTAAAGCAATTTTCATGAAACATGAACGAACTCGGAGTAGATTAAACAGTTCTTAATTGTAGAGTTTCAAAAACTGAAGTGGACAATTTTTGAAATCCAACCGCTTTAAAACTGTCCATCCATCTGTTGGTTAAATTTCAGAATCTTATGTTATTACTATGACAACTAACAAACATAACATATTTTGCTGGCTACAGGTGTTGATTACTTTTTACATTTTGCGTAAGTGAAATGTGAAGATATTTGCTCTCTTGGAGTAAGAAATAAAAAGTATAGCTAATATATAATAAGCAGCAAATCTGTATCAGTTTGGTTATTTTTACTCGGTATGTCGAAGGTGTCCGTTTATTCCTATACACTAAAGAGATAGCCAATCAAGTAAATTGAACATACTTTATACAATAATATTAACGCAGTAGTTAGCATGTTAAGTTACCATGTTTATAGTAACATTGATTCCAATAAATATCTCGAGCCATTTTACATTGATTTATTATCGAATAATTATTTACTAATTAACAACGGATATTGAGCATTTCAAATCATAAAATTATTTTATATATGTAGTGTATTTAGAAGTTTATAATTTTCTTTATAACAATTTTGATTTGTTTCAATCATCAAATTGCATATTAATTATATAGTTTGAGATTTTTAATCGTTTCTTAAAATTAGGAAAAGGAAATTTAAATTAAATAGGCTTTCTGTTTTTAGGTTCAAATCAAAAAGCTCAAATTGTTATATAATGTATTCTTATGTACATGGTTCACATTATTTCAAAAATACTTTTGATGTAAAACGACATCACTGTTTAATACTTTATAAAGTAAATTGTGATAATAAATTTTATATAATAATGTATACATCTAATTTCATAGGCCGAGTTACGAATGAGAATTACAATTTTATGTTCTTAATAATTATGCCCGTAATGTAAAATTGTTTACATTACTATCTTGTATAAAAAGTTTGTTAGAAAATTCATAGTTTTACATACCTATGTGTTCATTAGGCAAATCCTAGTAGGATCCGTAGCTGCGTCAAAAATAAATACTTTTTACAATTTAATACTTAAGTTTACCTAAGCTAGTAATGTGAAAATATTTTTGAGTTGTATAAATATTAAACATTATTTTCCAAAGCTTGCATTCACAAATTGTTTAGAATTTTTCAAATAGCATCTGAGAAATATTAAAATAAGAATGACAAATGCGCCGGCTCGTGATTGCAATCACGTGGTTGCTATATATACGTGTGTATATATATATATACCCGGAAAGCAAAAGACACAGACTAAGAGTATTTTCACAAGGACTCTTTAGCACGCGAACGGAAATGCATATGAAGCAAAAGAGTGGAAGGTCACGGCGTCTCACGTACTGATTTTTTCTTCTTGCTTTCGAGCTATGAAAGTTTTGGCGAGGTTATACAGTGTATTGACCCGAACGGTGCAACAGGTTCGAGCATGCGATATTGAGTAAAGCCTATGAACTTATTACTTATACCAAAAATAGTTTGCCCTTCTGGATCCTACGCTCATTCTCTTTTTCTTTATACAATGTCATGTATTTTTCGTAACGCAAGTAATCGATATTTAAACGCGATCGGGAAAGAGTTCATCATATGTGAAATGTTTGCAGATCCGGTTGGCGACGTCGAGCACCTTCGACGAAACAGCTTTTTCGAGGTTCGGTGTCATGCTCTCGATGATCTCTTTACTACTCGACACCAGTACTGAGTTGATTGCTTTTACAATTGGATTGTCGTTTGCGCCGGGCATAAAGTTCGCTGTGTAGTCTTTGACCACCAGTTTGCAAGACATCGTTGGGAAGTAGATGAGAGTCCGACCACGGCGCTCCACTTTTTTGAACCTCAGCGTGACTTTTGATTCAACGTTATCTATATAGATACACATACAATCGTATATGTGATTATTGATGAACGGGGATTATTTCGAAAGCGGAAAATAATTTTTCTCATTGTTTATTTTCAGAAACATATTTCAATTCCGACCTCTCACACGCAAACGATTATTTTTTAGGATGTTTCACTTTTCAGGTCCTTTGGAATACTCTATGAAAATTATGAGAGTCCAAAATATCAAAATGCTTTGGCCTTCAATAATACACATTAAGCTGAATAATTTAGCAGTTAAACTGCTTAGACTGATCGTTAGCGTATCGTTATATTTATGAGCTGTTGACAATATGCACGTGGCTATGCTAATGTCAATAAAATTTAGTCCTTTGACGTTTTCTAATGTCTTTCCACTGCTTTCAAAATATTTTCAATATGTTTTTCGTGGGCACATAAAAATAACTTTATATTATGGCTAAATGTCATAAGTGATTTAAAAACGATAATATAATATATAGAAGTGTCTATAAGAATCAGAATAAGATGGAAAATAATTATTTCGACACTCCGTGCGCAAAGTACGTCTTTCCCGCACGCTCGGCAGAAAACGTGCGTTGAAAATCGCACTTTCCACACGTCGTATCAAAAAATACGGTACGGCACATGTTCGGGAAAGAGTTTCTCGTCTCGTGTCCCCTTCCACCCTCGCTTCGCTCGGGTGTAAACGCCACACGAGACCAGAATCTACTTTCCCGCACTTGTATCGTAATGTACTATTAATTACAAAAATTGAAAATAGAGACGAAGATGAATAATTCTTATAAAGATGTATCACTTCTATCGTGGTTAAGTTTATAAAGTTCAACAGTATATTAAGATATGAGCTGCAAAACAACTATTCAAAGAATTTTTTCAGAGATCGCAAAAAAAATATATCAAGAACATTCAAAGTCAACGAAGAGGAAATTAGTATGAATAGCCCTGAGATAATTAAAAAAAAAAGCAGGTTGGCTACGTTACTTATAGAGGTGTGAATCATCTGTTTTCAATCAGTTTCCTGATTTATAACGCTAAATTTATATGTATATTAAAAACTTATTAACATTTTAACTGACTGTTTTTAATTCAAATTCTACTTTGTGCGCGTGTATTTTATCATTCACGTGAATCTTCGTGTCATGAACTCAATGGGTATCATTGAACCGTCAAATGAACAGGCATATTTGAAGTGAATTCTTAATGTTCTTGACAAAGTAAAAGGATGAGAATCCTATTTTATTATAGTATAATCAAGAACTGGAAATCCACCTCCACTGATTTACGGCATCAACATCGTTAACAAAATTATTGTAACCAATTCACGTACCTGTCGTTATGTCGATGGGTCCTTTTTCATTGATCGGCACAAGAATCTTTGCCTTGACATCATAATCCGATGTCATGAATACTTTTGGGAATAGGATATCCAGGTCAATTGTAGCTTTGTCCAAGTCGACTTTGAGATATTTAATGACGTAGTTGGACAGGCCACGCAATTTAACATTATATGCAATCGCCTTAAAGTCAGCAAGATCGGCCAAAGCAATTTCTTCAACATACAAAGGTTCTAGTGCTGGAACGTCCAGTTCTGGTACACCCGCGCGCATTGTTGGTATCAGATAGCTGACGCTTTCTTTCACACACTCGCTAATTCTTGGGTTGCGCCTACCACATGTTTTGATGTAGGGTGCTGTGAATCATTATGATTTTAAATTTAGTTTTAATTCAAAACGTAATATTCCTTCTTTTAATTTACTCTAATTGCGATCTCATCATGTTCGTGATATGATAAAACATACAATGTTTCAATGTAACTTTAAGAAAATGCAAGATATCAACTGATTGTGAATGTTAATTGTATATCCTGTGCAAACCTCGAATGGTAAATTGTACGTATATCAGAATAATTAAACGTCACGTGGAAACTGGTTTTCACTGAAAAAGTTAATTACGAATGCGAAAAAAGACAATATTTCAAAGCTCCGTTTTATTGTTGATGAAGTAAATGTGGTGAATACTATATATTTTGATATCATTCAAAATATTTGCAATAAAACCTTTTGGAAGACCAATTAGCATTTAATGATTCTATGCATTTCTTTTCTCTGCATTCACGGTTTGCAATCAAGGAGATTTTCTGAGAAATGCAGTCAATGCTGAAAAGCAAGTTTGAAAATCCCGCACTTTGAAGAAAATGACCGAATGTCTCGAAAAGCTCGCAGCGACTAGGGCACCCGTATCAATTAGATGGATCAAGGAAGTGTATTCTAGGGCTACCAGAGTAAACGAAACGACCATGAGCACTTCGGTTGTCTACTTACGAACTTCAGCATGGGCGAGGGTGGCGACGAGTGCCGCGACGGCCAAAAGGCAAATGTGAGTGTGAGCCATGCTTTTGCGGTACAATCTAAGAGCAACTGCCGAAGTGACGAGACGGTGAGGCTATATTTATACTTTCGACTGGTGGCGGCGATTCCACGGCCTTAGAATCACTCCTATTCTGTTAAGTTCAAGGTCATGCAACCCCACCACCACACGGTTCAGGCTTCTCGTCACCTATCGGCTTCTCCCAATTGACTGAGCATTGTTATCACAGCTTGCCCCACTTCATTCCAGCGTTTCTTTCTTTCGCTCTCTGCAACCTCGTCGCTTTATCATCGACCTTCGGACGATCAACTGTCAAAAGTTTAACCGTTGAGCGCTAGATGCCTTCTTTTGCTGTCTCTTTTGACCGTTTATTTTTATTTTTCGATGAAATTTTTGCGATTTGTTAAAAGTTTTCATTCCATCTACAAAAAAGACGATTCGTTTGGTAATGAGAAAAATCCACGAGTCGAAGTTGCAATGGCTATGAATTGGAGAACGAATAACTAAATTCGTGATTGACCTATGAGTCACTCGAAAAACAGACGTAATTATGCAATTAGCAAAGGATAATGCTCACAAGTACACGTATGTACATTTTGCCAACAAACTAAGTTTGCAAAAAAAATTATTCTACGCTTGATTATACATTCGATTGATACGTGTATGTTTTTTTACGACGTCAACCGGCAAAATGATCTTCGCATTGCTATTAAATCGGTCTTAAGGACATCGTCTCATTAACGACTTTTTTCACCATAGTCGAACTTGAAAAATTACTAATCCGTCTGCAAAAGTAGTGTCTCTTTTACTTCAAACTGACGCATTATTTTTTACAGATTATTTTAATTTAGCGTTAGAGTCAGATTTTGCATAACGCAAAAATTGTTCGACTCGATTATTAACAATTTACTTTCTCTTTCGATCCGGTTGTCGGCATGCATTATAATTGCTCAAATTTAGGCATGGGCCTGTTGACTAACGATCAATTAGCCACATTTTTTCAAAGTTCTGGTTTTACTTAAACGTGTTTCCAGAACAAGCTCATTCTTATGATAAATAGTTAAAACTCATGCTTCAGAAACTTTTGATTTATGTTGGCATTAGTATCTTCAAACAAGATGACGAACCGAAGTATAATGAATTCTTATTTCATCTACTACATCTTTGTCGTAAAGCATGCCTATCAATTTGATATTTTATCTCGGTGGTGATTTCATTTATGAATGTCATAACTAAAATTGACCCTAATTATTGGTGAACATAATTTGTGTTTAAAAAGAGCATTATTATCGACCTGCGACAGGCCAATGTCTGGAGATAAAATATAGGTATTTCTTTTCATCATATCAATAATATTGTACTGAAATGAATGTACAAAATTAAAAGATGCTAAAAAAAGTAATACAACATTTAAACGTGTAATACTGATTTGGCGAATCCAAACTGTGAGTTGAGATGAAATAAAAAATGATTTTAGGCGATGAATATCTCGATGAGCATTATGAATCTAAGGCTTAAAATCTAAGGCATAATACGCAAGATTTTCACTATTCGCGTTCATTTGAATGACATAATCGTGTGGCATAATTGTATAACAGCGCTGGCGAACCTTTCGCCGACTAACCCAATGGCCGATATGTTTGGTCGAAACGGCTTGCGATCTGGCCGAGAGCAACTGCATTTTTCGCAATGTCTGGGAGAGCAAGAACCAGCCGACGATGGGAAAGATCCGCGGAAGGAGCTCGCGCGGAGTGGGATTAGAAATGATGGTGTGGACGACGAGGAACGTCGTACGTAACCACCCTGGCGCTCGAGTGCGAATTTTTGCAGTCTGCTGCTCCCATCGCGTGCGCGCGAGCGAGCGGGCGTGTTGCAACGCCTGGTTGTAGCTGGCTGGACCAATGGCTGGCAAGTGGCACGAGGCTATCAACTGCACCGCCGAATGCAATAGCTGAGGAATTGCCGGCTGCTGCTGCTGCTGCTGCTGCTGCTGCTGCTGTTGCTGCCGCTGCCGCTGCTGCTACTGCTGCCAATTCCCCATACTGCGTGCGTGTGGTCGTCGCAGCGCCCGGCGAAACCCGCGAGTCCGATGCCCCGCAGAACACCGGCTGGCCCCAACCGAGTCTCGTCGTCATGTTCCTGCAACTCGCTCGACTCTGGTAACTATAGCTGCACACTTTCGCTTTCTTTGTCTGCCTCGCTCGCTCGCTCGCTCGCTCGCCGTGGCGCGCCGAGAAAGTCAGTGAGTGGCCGACCGGCCGATCGCCGCCGATCTTCTCTGTTCTCTTTTCGGCTCGCGATTACCCGTCCCTGTGCCAGTGAGTGCGCAAGTCGATCCCTAACGCGTCGCGAAAGGGCGATTGCGCGACGAAAGTGCATTCCGCGGTTTGGCGAAATTGCGCCGCGGCCGGTGCTCGTAATTGTAGCGCCGTTCCTCGGTGTGCGTAACTGCGTCTATTTTTCGGGCCTGCTGTTGGATGCTTCGAGACTCTGGAGAGAAAACGGAGAGAGAAGAGGCCAGTGTATGCATGCGTATCTGTGCAATAGCGTCATGGAAACAAACTCAAGAATCCGGTTACAATTCTTTTTTTCTCATTCTCGATCGTCTTCCGTGTTTCGTTTGTATTTTGCCAAGTTCACTGATCGTTCCGTTGTTTTTACGCGTAGAATAATCGCCGAGGCGTGCGTCAGATGATTCTTATTTAAATGTTTAGAATGCTGCTGTCAAGTCTGACGTGGATAATTTTCGGCGGCCTCGTGGGGAATACTATTTTTCGTCAATCAAATCCGGCGTTTAAATCCCGTTTTATCGCATATCGATTTTTTTGGACGCTCGGCCGAGTCGCCTCAGAGAGCATCGTGAAAAAAAGCGTGACATGCGAATGGTCGTCATTGACTCGCTAAACGAAAAGTAAAACATCGTAGTTCTCTCGCGCTATGAAAAACCGGAGGAAAAAAAACCGACAGACACCCGGAAAAGCGTGGAATGCGATAATTGTTGTTTGAGTTGCGCAACGAGCCGAGAGCGAGAAAAACGGCGAAAACGCGCGCACAGGCGGTAACGTTTGTTGTTGTTGTAGCCTGGCGGCGACGCTCATCGCAGCACCGGCGTTCGGGTCAATACGTGAGTACCGCGAGGAAGGCTGTGGTGGCGGTGACTGGGCGGCGGCTCACCAGCTGTACGATAATCTCGACGATATCGAGCTGCTGCCCCTGACCATTCGCCTGCTGCCGCCGCTCATCGATTACGCCCTACAGACCGCTGCTATCTTCTATCTGCTCTTCTTCCATGTGCTCCTGCTATTGCTTGTCGCTTTTCTCCTACATGTCTTTACCGAGTGACGCGAATCCACGCAACCTTCTCGTTCACCGCGCTTTTTCTACGTAATCTACCGCCTGAGCTTCGTCGGAGACCGGCTACTCTCTGCCGCTCCACGGCGGAGAGGAGCGCAATAATGCTGCGCGTTATTTCGTGCAAATACTCGATAGGAAAGTAGCAACATATTGTTGTGCAAGTTTTGTAACGTGCAATCGTTTTCCGTTCAGGAAGAAAAAAATGCGTCGGAATTATCAGCTACACTTCGATGAATTACACGTTACGCGCACAAGTTAGCAAAGTCATTATTGCTAAACACGTGCGCCGCCTTTTACCGCAAAATTTATTATACAATCTTAGGTTAAATGTTCAAAGGCTCACTGTATGAAATTGGACTTGCGACATTATTCACGAAGAACGCTCGTGTGCAACTAGACGTTACCCAGACCGAATTAGGACTTGAGCAATAGTGATGCCTTTTCTTACGAAATAAAACTATTTTTTTTATATTATTTGATTGGCATTATTTTTTTTTTATCACCCCCAAGCAACTAGTCGACGAGATTCGATCGGCAGGTTTCAAAAGATGTGCGAACGCCGCTCCTTCCTGTCCCCGAGTCCTCGATCCACAACCCAAAACCAAAAGCACACGATAAACGATAAACGCCAACGAAATAACGCGAAGATTTGCGCTTTGGGTTCAGCGCCTTACATAAAAGTCTGCAAAAGAACCGATCCAAACATCAACGCGTGCATAACGAATACGATCGAGCTGCTGCGGCCCAAGTTGTCCGAAGGGATTCCCGAGTTGGGTGCACCTGCCATTGAACCTCTCAATTTGGAACAGATAAGACTACTACGTGGACCCACTGGCGCACGCCTCGACATTAATGTTACTGGACTTCAGGTACTTGGTACAATTACAGTCATCGCCATTCTTTTTACTTATCAATTAGATGCACTTTGATATTCCTTTTAACGGAAACGCGCTTTTTTTCTGGTTGACGAGAACAGTGCTATAATATGTGTGAAAAACGGCGTAAGATAAACCTACATTTGCATTCTTTGCATTGTAAATAATGTCATTTCTAACAGTCAACTACAAAGATTCTTACGCACAGCTCCGATCGATTTACTTTTATTCGTCCAGATATTTAAACTAAAATAAGCGTCCCTCTTTTTTCTCACAGTACGTTATCGTTTTTCTCTTCGCTTGCGATTAAAATTAAAATTGCGATTAAAATGACTTAAAGCAATGCAGTACCGGTTGTAAATAACAAATCAACAAAAACGACTCTTAATGCGCCATTCCTTTCGAATCATATGTTCATATCTATTGACATCTAACGTATCTTTTACACTTAGAAAAGTATTCGAGGAAAGAATGCTGATTTCTCAAGTCGGTTAGATTTGCATTGATTTGCATAAAATTCATGACCGGACGTATAAAACTGCTTTTAATAATGAAATGCCCACATTTTATGCAAAAATATATGGCAAAACAGTTTTTCTTCGTGTTTAAAAGATAAAAAAGAACGAAGATCTCTTACGTTTTAATGCGAAAAAGATAATTAATATGAAGACTTGGAATTAAGCTTGCAAAGAAATGTTGTAACGTCGGAATTATGAATAATGACTGCAGTCTTATTTTAATATTGCTCTGCGACGATGTCTGGATTGATTTCAATCGAGTACGTACGTATCGTCATATTTTTCTTCTTCTAGCATATTTAAAGTTATATCTGCTTAAAGTTGATGCACCTCTTAGTCATCGAAGATGGTTGTTATGGATGTGTCCATCAACTATTATCAATTATCAATACGCGCTGAGATACAATCAGCTCAATTTTCCATTTACGTCAACTTCATGAAATTCGTCTACATCTCCACTACATATTTGTCGCATTAAAATCCAATAAATCATTCATTTCTCCATTTGTTATGTTAAAATAGTCGTCCAAATTGACCGTCGGTAAAACGATAATGTGGCATCTGTCACGCAAGGCGAATATGAATTACCGCAGTCTTCGAAAAGCAGTATTTCTGACGGGTGACATTATTACAGGTATTTGGACCTTCGTCGTTCAAAGTACGAGATCTCAAAGCGAATGTCGACGACGTCAAGTTCACGTTCCGCGTGAGTTTTGGCAAATTGCACTTCAAGGGTAAATACTCGATCGATGCAAGGCTGTTGCTGCTGCGGCTCCAAGGAAGCGGAGATCTTAACGGAAACTTTAGTGAGTCTTTGACGCGAGAGTTATTTCCGTCAAGGCTCTTACATGCTTTTCGATCAAAATCAGACGCGATGCCAGAATAATAAAGATTCCTAACGAAGTGAACGTGTCGATTGACTGTTTCAGCTGGTTATGAATCGGACGTTGTGCTGCGAGCTCGCAAAGTTCACCGAGATAACGGCATTTATCTTCACTTTGAGCCCATGAAATTGGCTATATCCATTGGTAGCGCCAAAGTCTATCTCAGCAATCTGTTCGGCGGAGACCCTATATTAGGTAAATTAGCTACCCTATACAACCTGTACCTTGACTATTAGGCTAAATGACCAAATTGTTAAACGCGAAAGAGTATTGGCAAAAGAACGGAGCTGAAACAGAAGGATTGGCAATGATTACGAGTCAAGTCACGAAGTTTGACTCAGTGATGTGGCGGGGCCATCAAGGTCTACGACTTGCTCGGGTCAACGACCCGTCGATAATGTTTTCTTTCTTTCATTTTTTAGCAAACTGTGGTGAACGTCACTCCTAAATGGTGTATAATTATCATTATCGATAGGCACCCAGCACCTTAACCGCTTGATAACATTTTATTAGCCACGCGTATGGCTTTGACGCCTCGTCGCTTGTGTAAATTCGTTGAATTTCAATTTCAGGTCCCGTCAGTAACGAGATATTGAACGCCAACAGCGCCGTATTTCTCGACGAGCTGAGACCAGTTCTGGAGACTTCATTATCAGACCTTTTCACCAATGTAGCGAATAAAATCACAGAAAGCTTCACGTACGACGAGCTCTTTCCCAAAGATTAAAAATGATGGCAAGTTTACATACTCGCGCTGACCTCACCACGCTCACCACGTCTCACGTCGTATGATCATCGTCGTACAGTTGTTGTCCGCGCGTAACGAAATTTACGGGGTTACAAAATGGTCGGTTACACGAAGAACAAGTCGTATTTATCGACAGTAACAATAAATCACATTTATTCGGGATTTCGTCGTCATTTCTTCAAAATTCAGCGTTGTCACGCGACGAAAGCTGTTTCTCGCTCACTAATCCACCCGAAGCTGTTTCCTATCGGTTGCGGGATCCGTTCTCTCTCTTTTTCGTTTAAATACGTTATACTCACACATGTGCATGTAAAGAATTTAACTGATCTTTGTACAATTAGGGAATAAAGAAAATGATGAAACAAACGATTCCACGTTGCTTTTTTAGCTCGACATTCATACACGAAGCGAATTCGAATAATAATTTAATACTGACGCAAAATGTTCGTCCGACGACCAGGCATTTCGTCTTGCTGCGAACTATCTTACTACTGTCTTGGTTAGAATGGAATGAAAAATGACTGCGACAAAGACAAACAACCAACGATAAACATAGAGCAAACGTAACAAAACGCAGGTAACAATACGGTCAACTAGAAAGGTACTAATTCGTCTTTGGCGAAAACGCTGAGCGCCCTGGCGACCAATGCTCTGCCGACGGTTGCAGCGGTGTCTTCGACTATAGGACTGGCGATGTCGAGGACCAGTCTGGGATTGGAGTTGAAGAAAGTTGCTGCTGCATCGGCTAAAGAATCACGAAAGAATGATGAAATTAGTGGCGTACTGACATTGGAACGTGCAATTTCATAATTGATAAGGGAAATCCAAAAATTTTTATGACCGTACGAGACTTTGTTAGGTAATCAAGTCGTCGGTGCAGCTGTATACTTATAGCATGAAAATTGTAGTTCATACGATTCAAAGATAATTTGTTTCTGGAATTTATTGACTGCAACTGCTTTGTTTGCATTCTAAATTATCTGCTATTAACTGCTATTAACTTCTTATCTTAATTTCAGAGGTTTGCCCCGATCGGTTTTAAAATTACATACACTAATCGATGCAGTTAACTCGCTAGCGATCAAAGAAAGAGCGACTCATGTTCCTTATTTCTCGAACGCTTCGCGAGTTTGAGATTGGGTTCGGTTGGATTAATGAAAATCATCCTTACCCGTAAGCGTGTGAGCTGGTGGTGCCTTGAGCTTGATATTGCCACTGCCAACGCGAATTTTCGTCTGAAGCTTGTCGAGCTCGAGGCGTTTGACGCCAGTCTTGTCGGTCACTGCCTTGGCACGAGCGCTAACTCGAACCTCGGTATTCGCTGCGAAGAGAAAGAAGCGAATTCGCGATGATTGTAATACCGGGCGATCGCGTAATGCGCCATCGCGTGCTATCTCGTTAACCGAAGCGAGCGTAGGATCGTTCGTTTAACTGCTCGTTGCCTTAACGCTGACGGCTCGCGCTTCCTAGTCTCTAAACAATGAACTAACGCAGAAGAGCAACGAGTCTTTCTTTGCGGTAAAAAAGCGCCTCGACAAGCCGAGTTGCCGCGCGGCAAAAGCGACGACGATTGGATAACGAACGAATAGGTAGCGGTCCTACGCTCCCTAAGTGGAGCAAGTCAACTTTGTCGGCGACTTCCTATGCATTGCTCAATGGGGCATGACTGGTAGATCCGCTTTCACCGTAATAGGTCTCGATTTTTCTGTCTCACGATCGATCTTACGGTCGATCGATATTCGCAAAACTATCCGCGGTCAAACGGATACTCACTAAAGTTGCCCTTAAAGCTGCCGACTCCGCTGAGAGGCAGGAGCAGGAGTCTTCCGTGAACGTCGTAGTTGCCCTTGACGTGAACCTCGGGCAAGTGGATCTTGAGGTAGACGGCCAGCTGCTCGGGCTTGGCGTCGATCTCATCGACCAGATAGTTCGAGGCACCGAACACTTGAATTTGGCTCATGTTGGCTTTGATGTTCAGTGCCTCGAGGTTGCGATCGATGCTCAGCGACGGCAACAGTAAGGGGTCGAGGGCTGGCAATTTCATCGCCGGTATGCCTTTGGCGAGGAACGGCGTCAGAATTTCCAGCTGCTTGAGGACGCACTTGTTGAACTCGTTCGGTTCCGACTTTGGACATGTTGTTACGCCAGGCGCTGCCGATCATACGAATCATTTACTGCTCATCTTCGGAATGACGTTATTGGTCTCTTCTAGCCTAATGTCAATAATGCCAATCGGAGCATCAACTGACAAACTGACTGAGGAGCGTCCGAAATGGGGCTTGCGAAGGGATAAGAAAATTCAGCTGTTTTCGCGTCTCGAAAACTAATTGCCGTTCGACCAAGACAGATCGCACGGCGCTCCGCGAAAGGAGGACAGGTGGAGTGCAGCGATGCATACGCTTGGCGGAAAAAGGAGCGTTCGAACGAAAATCGAAAGTGGTGCGCGCACCGCCCATAGAAAGCGAAGGCGAGCGGGCTTTTTCCACGTTTCTTTTTGCAGTCGGTTCATCGATTATTAAACTTTTATGATTCAGTTCGTTTGCAGTTAGTCTTGGCACGCGAACGCCGCTCTCGATACTTGCTTTCGAAAGCCAAAGTATAATGAACGATTGTTCGTAGCTCGGTTTTGTCATTACTTTTTACGTGCACTTTGGAATGAATGCATTGATTCCACGGGCGTTTACCTCTCCTTATTTCGATGACTATCAATTAATTTGAACTTTGACCGTTTTTAATTGCTTTATTAACGTACCAATTGAAATGTAACTTTCAAGTTACAGATGAAAGTAAAAGTACAATTAAAATTTTTAAGTTGAAAAATATAATGAAATGTTGAAGCATGCGCGTTATTAAGAATTTACGATTGATTTCTTTTGGTATATATACATATGCACTCAGTTAATGAAAAATTAAACGGTTCCTCGCACGACTTACTTTAAGTGCATTTTCATCGTGCGTTTGCAAAATTTTACGCACACTGTAACTGTAAATCTAATTTTTATAATAAATATAAGTAACTAGACGTGAAATGTCACTTATTCGGACTCTAATGACAGCTCGTTTCTGTTGTCGTAGTAAAAAAAAAAGAAGAAGATTTGAAAAGACGATGCAGACTCACGTAGCTTGGCAAAGGAGAGCTGGACAAGGCAGAGGATCGCCAAAGAATAGTAAGCAATCATGACGATGACAGATAAACAACGGCACTATTCGCGGACGTACTCAGCACGAAAATGCTGACGATGGTCCTGGCGCCGGCGTATATATATAAAGTAAAGCTGCACTTTCTCCGGCGACGTCGACTCGATGCGACGCGACACCGGAGCCCCACTATTCCTCTGCTCGTTCTCTCTTGCACTCCCTTCGATCAGTTAACACGCTAGACTGCCTCGCGATCATGTCAGGGACATATTTGCACTACGCGGCTTAGATGCGCGTCAATGTCCCCGTTTTATGAAAATCCTTCCGCTCGACCTTCCAGCGCCGGATGCCACCGCAGAACTTTGCGTGAAAATTGATTGCGTTTAATTGCCGAGCATCGCGTGATTTTTTTTTCTTTTTCTTCTCTTCGCACTCTTATGCAAGTTTTATTGAATCTATCCGACGCCATGGCTTATGCCAATGACGACTAAATTACACAGTTCTGCTGCTGCGCCTCGTCGCGGTGCGATCTACGAGTATTTCGAGCTTGCGTCGCGCCTGCGAGGATTTCCGAGCGTGTTGTCAGGCTGATCGCTTCGCGGATACTTCAACTTCGTTTTAAAAAGCTCATCGAAGAGAGCAAATTTTTTGCTTTCGTTGCGTAAAAAGCCTCGGCTTTATCGCGGTTTCGTTTCATAATGGGAGACAGATTTACGATGGTTTTCGATTTCCAAATGACTTTTTTGCATTTTCCAATTGCTACTTTCGCATGGAAAATCACTATTTGATTAACCATTCAACGTGTCGTCTACACGAGTGTATCCATCGACAGGCTTATCTACAACTTTTTTATACTATCATTTTATGCAACTGTAACTTGTGTACTTAATCAACGTACATTGCAGTCTCGGCAAGTGACTTATAAATCAGATTTTTTTCTGGTGTATTATTCATTTTTCCCAATTATCTTATTTGCCCTTTTTAATTACTCCGTAGACCGTCCAACGTTAGAATGGAATTTGGGTTAATGACCGACATAAAAAAATACATTGTCGAGTAAGAGAGAAAAAAATCTCGTTTCATTATCCAATTCATTGGCTTGGAGAAATAAAAAAAATAAGAATAGAGTTCAACAGCGGCGAGTCACAATTTGCGTAGAAAAGCAGGCGAAGAAAATGGCAACGAATGAATGAATCAGTACAAGTTGATGCTCGCAATAAATAAATACCCTTACAAATATCGCGTCGATAATACTTTTAAGATAGAAAAGAGACAAGCGTGTAGTGGCACCGTTTACGATTTCTCGATCACTGGCAAATTTTTATACATTTTGTAAATCATCGCCTCGGCATTGTTGTCTTCGTTGAGGGCTTTGGTTGCCAGGTCATCGGCGATCATCGCGGCGACAGCCTCCGCGGCCAGCAGACCTGTAAAAGCGACATTAATTCAATTTTACACTCTGTCGCAAAACGACACTTGGCCTCGGTTACTTCTACGGGAATATTTATTGGCATTCGTCTGATAAGTTGTGCAAAGCAATTAAGCCGTTTGCTGGCAAGCCACGGAAAGCCGCGGACGGTTGGCCGGCAGTGCCCTCTCCCCCTCCCCCCACAAAGTACTTCTCGAACTTTTAGATCAAACGACTAGGAGAGTTTATTCCGTCGAAATGATGGCTTTTTTTCTCACGGAAATGAAGAAAGAAATTTGCGCGCTTTCGAAATGCAAGCGAATCTCTCGACAACTCACGCGTGCTTATATGCGCCAGTAAGTAGCGGCGCACTCGCATTACGCGAGAAGAGAGGATTATGAGCGCGTAATCGCCGTATTTTCCGTTTACATAATATCGCTATGGGCCTGGTAATAACTGGCGACCGACGATCTCGTTCTTGAGCATGCACGGTCCATTGACGCGACAACCACCGCACGGTGACGAGATTTATTTTGCCGTTCGCTTCCACGTAATAATAAAGAGAAATTGTCCACTCGTTTAAATTCATTCTGCTTGAGTGCTGTAATTATTACCGTGAGATAATATGCTGCCAAGTGGTCCGTTTTCATCCATTCCCTGCAATCGCAGTTTGCGGTCTTTGGATAAAAGTTTGGCTCGCGCAGCACGCACTATCATCGTCTTGTTATCCACCCTCTTCAGCTCGACGGTAAAGTCAGCGACCACGTCGGCTAGAACGACAAAGCATTTGCGCGGTTTACTCGATCAATACCATTTCTGAACTGCTGCTCGTTGAATGCTCGATAAATAAATAAATTAATGCGCATAACATATTTCGCCTGCTATTCGATCGAATGAAGGAAACGATCGTAGCTTGATTGCGCACGTCCATCACAAGTCCGCTAAAATTACAAAGGAAATTAATAGTACGTCACTGCAATAAAGCACGTTACGTGAACAATGAAAAGCTAAACGAGGAAAACGATAAACATTCTGATTTCTCCGAGAAATTACCGCGATCATTAAATGGGCTCACGTGCGCGTACGCGAGGATGCGCCGAACGCACGATCCTGCGAAGGAAAGCCCCCGACGAAGCCACACGACGAGGCGTCGACGCGTGCGAGGAGTTCGCGCAACGCGGCTCGACGTTAGGCGCGCCGCAGCTTTGCTCGAAAGCCGAGCGCAATTACGTAAGCGTCGCGCTATACTCACTGAAATTTGCGCCGAGGACGCCAGCGCCTCTCAGCTGTCTGCGCCCGACTTTGCCCGTCAGCGCGTAATTCGACTTCACGCTCAATTGCGGTATGCGCAGCCTCACCACCACGTGCATCAGGTCGTCCTGCGCCGGGCCAAACGGAAAACAAGCGTTAGCAGTATCGCGAGGTGGGGCGAGAAAACAAAGGGGCACGCGTCCCGTCACCTCGTCTCGGTCGTTGCTGTGCTGGCGCTTGTTGCGCCCCGGGCCCTCGCTCGTCGCCTTGCTGTCGTTCGACAGATTGCCGAAGTGATAGATCAACTCCATGCCCTCCTCGTAATAGCCTTGCTGCTCTTGATACTCCTCGGCGTACCTCAGAAGGTCCCTGATACGACCCGCGTCAACGGTAACACGAGCTGCGTCGTTGCGCTGGTGCAGCGATTGGCCGTTTGTGTAGTTGTATACGCCGTCGCGGCTGCTCGCATCCTGTTCCTAGACAAATCCGAGACTTTGAATCTCTTCCGTTTGCTCTTGTGCTAGGCGTAGTATTATTATTTTTACCACGAAGCCGAATTGCCGGGGATCGGTGTCGGAATCTACTTGGAATTTACCAGAACGCAATTTGGTTCCCTGTTTAGCGGGAGACGCGTAGACAATGTCGACGTAGCTCGGCTGCTTTTCCAAGCGTATCTCCGGAGATTTGTATGGTTGAAACTCCTCAAAATATTGCGGGGTTGTTGCCTCGGTGTACCTTGTTGACTGACTCGCTCGGTTCTTCAGTTGGTCCCTGAAAGACAAAGTTTCATAGCGTAAGCTAGTTCTCAGCGCGGACCCGGCGCTACTTTCATTTGTACCTTTCGTTTCCGGCTTGCAGCGAGAATGCTCCGTTGTTAAAGTTACCCGAGTAATTAACCCCGAAATTGTTAGACTGTCCCTTGATTCCCGACTTTTCAGTTGAAAATCTAGCACCTCCCGCTTGAGCTCTCACTTCGTAGTTTTTGGAAGATGATCCATAACGTTCACCATATTGTACTCCATATTCATTTCCAGCCTTGATGGCAAATTCATTCTGGGGTTGTTCGTACTGTTCAGTTACACTTTTCGGTGAATATCGATATTGCGGTTGTCCAGTGGTGCCGTAAGCATCGTCACTCTGGGCCTCAACTGAGAACGGGCCAGCTTTGTAATGGCCGGAGTAGTCCAGTCCGGAACTGCCTCCTTTAATGGAAAACTGATTCGGACGTTGTTTGGTAGTACTATAGCTGCTATCTTTGACCGAGTACGGATACTGTGACTGTTCAGTTGTTGGGTAGGTCCCGCCATGTTGAACGGGGACCGGATCCTTCTTGAAGTTAAATGCATAGCTCATGGAAGGTCTTGCGACGTTTTTCGCTTCAAATTGATGTTGTGGGTGAACAGTGCTTCCGTAGTTGCCGGAATACGAGTCAGTATTGTAGCTTCCAGTGTAATCTATTTGAGAGTTGCCGGAATATTGGTTTTGCGGATATCCAGTCGTTCCGTAGCTTTCACCGCGTTGACTACCAACTGAAACTGGACCTTTTTTGTAATTGGTTGAGTAACTCAGTCCAGCACCTGGAGTCCCTTTGACGGAAAAGTGATTTTGTGGCTGAGGATGAATAGTACTTCCGTAATTATCTTCATTTCGAGCGTTAACAGCAAACGGCCCAATGTTGTAGTTGCCGCTGTAACTGAATCCAGAGTTACCATTTTTAATTGAAAATTGATTAGGTCTTTGATCAGCCGGTTGAGCGTTGCCATCGAAATCAGCCGAGTACTGTACTGCTCCATTTTGACCATCCTTCACTCCGTATTGCGACTGTGAAACGCCCCCAAACTGAGCCTTGATTCCATAACGGGGAGTAGCTGCTTGCTCGTTATAATTCACACGGCCTTGGTAATGTCTCGATTCCGTGTCGTATGGATATTGTTGTTGAGGTTGCGATGGATAGTTCTGAGCTGTTCCTGATCTGACTCTGGATGCGTAATTGGGCTTGCAGGCACCTACACATGGTCGGGGAAGGTCACCTTGGGTATTGTGGTAGCCGTGGGTGTAAACAACTCGAACTTGAGATGGAATCTTCGGCGTGGACTGTTTCAACGATAAAACAGAAAGCTTATTATGACGTGGATTAGTCGAGGCAAGGCAAGGATTAAAATATTTCATGAAAAGATTAAAGGTAATATTTTACTCACGTTCATCATAACTCTCACGTCTCCATAAGTGGGTTGTTGGTGAAGTTGAAATACCGTGTCTTCGCCCTGCTCCCGATCGTATTCTCTTCTAACAGCGAACGACGAATTGTAGTTCCTTCGGCTCTGCTCGTTTTGCGTATTCGCTTTCAGCAAATCCGCTTCCGAAGCAGCTTTCATGTCAACAGGGTCGTACAACACGAACCGATCAAAGTGCTCACTGGCATTCAAATCTCTATCCTCGCTGTTGGACTTTGGTTCCTTGACGAGCGTGTGGAACCTGTATCTGATCGAGTCCGCGTCGCTTGCCTCGTTATAGCTGACGTAACCAGCCTCGTTATCACTGAGATTTGATTGTAGCTGTCCACGCACGATTTGGACACTTTCGATCTTGGAATTGTTCAATCCAGCGATCTCGAGGTTGCGCAGTAGCACTCGATAATTCGTGTCACCCTCGGATTGGTCGACCTTGATTATAGGTACATGCAGAGGATCAATTTTGCCTAGCCTACGGAAACCACCGTTGATCACTCGTGACCACAATTCCCGGGGCATCTGCAAAAGGTCCGAGTCAGCGTAACTCGCCAACGCGAGGCACAATGTCACCGCAATCAACTTCATTGTCTTCAAAAATGCAATATCCGACACGGTACGTTAATAATAAGAATAAAATAAACAATCAGCCTGAAAGTTAATTTGATCGGTACTCTAGCCTCCTCGCTTGCCAAAAGTGAAAAGGTTCGTAGAAAGTGAAGAGTAGCAGACAGGCAATCGGACAGATGAATAGAATGGTCCAGCTGATCGCCAGGCGCATCCAACTGAGCTGCGTGCAGTCCTATACGGATGGCGCGGTTGTTCGCAGCTACGCCAGCGAAAGAGCCGAGCTTTCTAAAAGCTACAGTAGAAGAAAAGGAGAACGAATCGCGTGGGAAGCAGAGCCGCGCGAGTGCAGTCGTCGGATGGACCAGCTGCAGTTTTTATAGTCGATCGTGGAAGGGCGTTCGTCTGCGAGCAGTCGATCTGGGCCACGGCGCCGCTCGGACAAATGTGCGTGCGCCGCGAGCGTTGGCTCTAGGCCTCGCATTAGTCAGGCGATCTTTTCTGCGGGCGATTTCCTTAACGTCGCGTCGCTCGTCGCGCTTTTTCTCGCGCGGAGCGAGCCGCGCACAATGGGGGGCAAGGCTTCGCGCCGCTAACCTTTCTCTAACGCATCGCCGCGTTCGTTTCGGCGACGGCGACGCAGGTGGGGCGCCTCGATTCCACGCTCGAGCGGCTCGTCATTTGTCACGCCGAGCACTGATCGACGAGGGTGTATCACGTCTGACCTCAGCGGGTGATCATCGACGCGAGCTTTTTTCCAGAACGACGCCTGTCTTTGCGGCGCTCAACGGCTATTGTCTATTTTAAGCGTTTTTTCGTCGCTCAGCTCGCGCGAGAGAGCTAAGTGGCAAATTAATCATTACGCTCGAGCGTTCGCGAGCAGGCATTGCGGAAAGTGGGTCGATCGATGACGCCGTTTTGATCGCCTCGCAAGCACCGTCGGCAGCGGCGGCAAAGCGCGCCAACTGCTCTGGATAGCCACAAAGTACGAGAATAGAACGGCAATTTCAAGGTGCACCAAGCGCGCTTAATTGTTTCGCGCCAATTGTCGCGACAGTTTTTACGGTGTGTGACTCTTGGCGCAATTGCTTTCTCGAGCCTTCCAGGAAGATGACCAAAAAAAAGCGATGATTAAGCTCTGGCCCGAATTTTTCGTCCGAGTGACAAACAGCTTGAAACGTAAATACGCTACTGGCGCGTGCTTGTTTGTTGGGTGTCATTGCGGCAACCAACAGATGAAAAATGCGAACGTCAGCCAGCTGCTGACAGTGCGTTTCAATGTGGTGTTCTGGGACACTTTCGCCGAGAAAAAGGAGAATCAGTTGGTTCGCCGTCATGACGCTCAACGGACGACCGGCGGCGTTCCGCCTCGCTTTCGCTGCGGTGGTTTTCGGATCCTACGTGCAAGCCACACCCGAGATACGTGAGTACACTTGCGCGTGGTTTCCTCGGGCGAGGCAACGCCGAACGTTCATTTGCTTGATGTTCACGACAGCCTCGTTTTTGCGAATATGTCGTCGGAGCGATCCTCATCTGAACGAGTGCGTGAAGCACAGCGTGAACTCGCTCCGGCCCTACCTGAAATCGGGCATTCCGGCGCTTCATATCCCGCCGTGCGAGCCGCTGAATGTGCCGGAGATCGAGCTTAGCCAAGCCTCCGGACCCGTATCCGTCAGCTCTAGTTACTCCAACATCGAGATCTGGGGCGGCACCGAATTCATACTCAAGAGCGTCAAGTAAGCAAATCCCTTCGTTCGCCCGAGTCTCCTTGTCTCCTCTCCTGATCTCCGATCATTTTCTCCATGTAATCGTTGCCCGCGCAGACTCGACTTGGACAAATCGCGCATTCGGCTCAAACTCAATATCCCCCGGCTGGAGATGCAGGCCGATTACACGATGCAAGGCAAAATCCTGATGCTACCGATAATGGGCCACGGCCGCGCGCTGGGCAACTACACCGACATAGACGTCATCACGACGATCCAGGGCGAGCGCTACCAGGACCGCAACACGAGAAAGACGCATTTCCGCGTGCTCGAGTTCTACTGTGATTTCGACGTCGGCCACGCCAACATTCACCTCGACAATCTGTTCAACGGCGATGAAACTCTCGCCGACGCCATGAATCTGTTCCTCAATGACAACTGGAAGACCGTGGCCGCGGAAATCAAGCCTGGCTTGGAGGACACCGTTTCCAAATTGTTCAAGAATTTCTCCAACAAAATCTACGCAAAGTATCCTCTCGACACTCTGCTGCCACCGTGATTATTCGAAAAAGAACGAGCCCTCGAGGATTATCATTATTACATTTTGCTACTTTTGTAAGCTACGTTCAATTTGTCGATTGGAGCTTAGTGTAATAGTTATTAATAAAAAGTCATGAGATCGTAGATGGACGTGAGCGACGCGTGAAAAGCACATTTGCATTGCGCGACGATCTCGCGATGACTCGTCCAGTCCGCGATAAAAATCGTCGACCGTCGTGGCGCTGATTTCAAGCCGTCAGACAAGCCCCTTCGGCGAGCTCGAAATCGCGTGCTCACCTGTCGGATTGTTTGCCGTGCGACAGGTGCGGCTGGTTGCTGCGTCGAGGCCCATCGGGCAATCAATCGCGCAGGCGCGAGCGCTCGCCCGCGACTCGGTCGGTAGTCGCGAGCTCGGCATATTCTGGCGCGAAACCTCTCGGCGAACTCGAGTTCCTTGCGATATTCGGCAGCTTTCGCAACGCGCGTTTCTCTCTCTCTCTCTCTCTCTCTCTCTCGACTTGCCGAATCCTTTGTTAAAAACAACAGGGGCCTTCGATCGATCGCCGACAGCAGCTCGGCGTTTCTCAACCAGCACCGCGCGCGATTTTGATCTATTGTAAAAGCGGAGCGCGCATCGCGGCGCCAATTGCGCGAACTTTCGGTTATAGATCGCGAGCGACTTAATGCCCAGCGGCCGAAACGAAAAGAAACCCATGTGGCCGGCATGGCGAGTGAGGCAAGCGTTGGAGGCGCCTACGGGTGCACTCGCGTGTTTCTTCTCGCCGGATGACAATGGGCCGTGCGCGCGCGCGCGGAGAGCAACGCAATTCACCTTTAATAGTGAGTTGCGTGAGGCAGTTTACTCGTTGTGCGCGTTCGCTTTGACGACTCCCCGGGGCATTATTTTTTTAAGCGAGATTTCTATTTTTCAACGCCTGCGAAATTCCGCTCCTCTCGAACAAAGAGAGCGAGCGCGAGCCTCGTAATAGCCACAAAACGGGCGGCGGAGGCGGGAGGAGGGAGGGGGGGGGCGTGAACGCGCAGCGCTCGCGCTCGCGGGCGCTTGTGTTGAATGAAGTGCACGACATTCGCGTCGTTGCGCTGCGTGACACGACTTCGCGGCTACATGCGGCTACTTAAAAGTTCACGGCGCGACGCGCGCGTCCGTGTGCGCACGCGTAGGATTTATGGATAGTCCGATAAAGGAATGCCGGCTGAGAGAAGAAAACAATGCGTTGTTTGCGTTAGCTGGGCTATAACTCTATTTTTACGGGGTTTGTAGGTGAACCGTGCCACATAAACTGTGAGCTGATGCATCGTTATAACTCATCCGTAATGATATGCGGTGTGCACCTTAAAGGCCGTTAAAATTGTGTAAACAATACATGCGTACGATCAGTCTTTCAGATGGCGTCAGAGAAATGAGTTTTCCGAAGCCTTGGCGCCTGAGGGGCAACGTTACACGTTGTACGCGATTGACACGTTGTAGTTGTGATACATGTTTAGCATTTTTTTTTTAAAGTAGGTTGCATATACCCACGGTAGAGTTCTCGAAGACGGGCTGTTTCATTGCTTTTCAAACAGATTGTACAAGTAAGTTGCGCGGTGCCATTAAGCTAAATAAGCTTCATTCGTGCATCTCTACAATGTGTCAAGATGCAGCTTCGCCTTTTATTTTCTCTCTCAAAAGCGGTGTCAACTGTGCATCCTTCTTTGTGGTGTACATACCGAACAAGTTTATTTGACTCGATCTACTGCCAATCTTTAGGCAACAACGCATTTCACGCGAGAAAAGAAGAAAATTGAAAGAGAGATCGTATAAAATGCGAAGCTCGTTAGTTTATTACGTATGTTATAAATCGCTATTATATTACATTCAAGGAGGGTGTGTTTTGGTTGTATATCCCAATCGATAAACCGTGTGAAATAGCATATCTGCAAATTCCCAGTATTTGGTATATAGACAGCAAAGCAAAGCGCGAATCGGCTACGGCTACTAGTGCTCGATCGCCAAAGTTCGCGCGATAGAGTTAAGGAATGCAGCAGACTGTTTAGCCTATTGAGCAACACACACACACACACTCACAGAGGCGAGAGAGCAGCGACTCGACTTCTACGAAGTACGTCAAAGACAAATGCAAAAAAATCACAACAACTGCAGCGACAATTTTCCAGAGACCACTTTTTGAGATGCTCCATAAATCCAAAGGCACTCTGACAATTTGCGTCAGAGCGAGCGCCGCGGAATTCTCCGATATTATGTTGCATTTTTAATACGAACGAGTCGAACTATTTTTCGTCATTTTCGGATTTAGAGCACGTTTACGATTGCTCCATTTGGCGTAATGGCGGGCACGGCGATGCGTGATGCAGGTCACGAAATACAGGACAACAAAAAAAGGCCGAGTTGCTAGTTCCTTTGTCGTCCCTTTCGGGCCGATCCGAACAGGCGTAGTATCCGCGTGCACGCACGGACGCGGAGGGACTCACCGTTGGATCGCCCATTCCCGATGTCCTCCTCGCGGCAGATCGAACGCGCTATTAAGCCGTGGCAAGGCCAAAGAATTTTGTTTCCATCGTGAAAACCAATCGCCTCTAGAGGCGCAAATGCAGTACCTGTTTTATTGTTATTCAGATTATTCTCTCGTGCAATAAATCGGTGCAAAATTCGTGTTTTTAGGAAACCTTGCGACTTAATTCTCTTCGTCATTCCATGAAAATTGATTGATTTTTTTTTCCAAAGCGCCTGGAATTTCCCCACGGTGACTCGTTATTCCGAACATTTCTTTACCTTTTCTTTATTGGAAAGACTTGCCGTTATTTTTTATTGATTATAATAAAAATATAATAGTGGCACAATGATCCGATCGACCTTTATTCCGGTCCAATTAGAAATTGTAGGTAGCGTGCGACAGAAACCTTCGTGGTTATAACTGCCCCGTTTGTATTTAGACCCCATGAAAATGTAACCGCCGTTGCTCGTCATGATTCGCCGCGACGAATTATGGAAAGAACGCGCATTGCATCTCACGCGGCTATTGTCGAATCGGAGAATAGCGTTCGCGACGGTCGGGGAGCGGCGCCAAACGCATCTCCAGCGTGGTCCTCGCGGCATCGGAGACGGTGTCCGCTCGATCTGCAAGCCGCCCGGCAGGTAACGAGCGATTTTCGGCAGGGGAGAAAGAGGTGCGAGCTTGCGACGCGGGACCCAGCGCGCGGGCACGACGAGGAAGGAGAAGGGGCCTTAACGGCTCGTTGGCGCCGCTTATAAGACGGACGGCCGATGTGGGCCCGACTTTAGTCCGATCGCGCTGACGACGGCGGCGGCGACGGCTCAGGCGGTGCGCTCACCCTCCGGCAGTGCAGGTGCGCGAAGCAGGAGCAGAGTCGAGCTTCCCCTTCTACGGCGGTGCGACGCGTGCGACTGGCGTGCGGCATGCTGGAGCCTTAGAGGCGGCGCGGCCAAGTCTTTCCCGCGACAGCTCCGCGCGTCGCTACAGCGCGCGCGGCCTCAGCACGCTCGGCTCTCCAGCGCTCTCCGCCAAGTGTCTCCGTTCTCACGCTGCTCTCCGGCCACCGTCATGCCAAGGACGCAGTGCCTGCTGCCGCTGCTGCTGGTGTGCTGGTGCGCGCGGCTGCCGATCTCGGCCGGCGACGACGAGCCCGACTTCCCCACGCGTAAGTCTCACTCAGCCGATCCCCGCGCGACCGCTCGCCGGCCTCGGGACCTCCTCGGGGACGCGATCGACACTCCCGGAAACGGAAAGCGGAGCGGCGCCCGCTGGACGCACGCGGCAGGCTTTCTCCGGCTCGGGTCTCAAGGGCGCCTGGACTCGCGACCCCGACGACCACTGCTCCGCGCTTTTCGGCTTCGCGCGCTCTGCACTTGAACTCTCCCCCTCGAAATCTGACCTACATGCGCGGAAAGAGCAGCTCGCTCGTCTCGCAACGCCTTACGTAAGCGGGCAGCAGGTGCCGAACGCTCTTCCCGGCGGCGCAAATCTCAGCGGGGGGAAGAGAGAGAGAGAGAAAGGTGTCGTAACCGGCGTGGCGGGGCTTATGTCATTCGGCCGATTGCGCAAGCCGGCCGCGCACGCAAGCGTGCGCACGGAGAAAGTTCGGCGGCGAACGCGCGATGAGCTGCCGGTGAAAGCGTCGCGTCTGTTTACGTTTGGCACCGCGCGGCAGACCGACGCGCCGACGATCTCGCGCGCTTCGCGTGCCGCGGCCGCCGTCCTTCGGGACAGCTGGGCATCGGCCGCGCCGACGACCGCTCGGCTGGCTCGTGGGCGCGCCCGCGACACGGCGTCGCAGCGCTTGCGAAATGTCGCGCTGCAGTCGCAGCTGCACCTTTTCACCGCGCGCATACTGCAATCATAAACAAGCGAGCGTTCCTCGGCGCATGCTAATTGTACGTCGCGCGCTCTTCTCCGGATTGTCATTAAATTCTAATGCTCGGCCCAGACTAATTGTGTAACTATAAGTAGACCCGACTATCGCTTACCGAACCGATGTACGCTTCTTATCTTATTTTATTTTCATTTCGTAAACACTTATCCAGCCCAGCCGTCGCTGATAGACGAGAGCTCTTCTCGGCTATCGCCTTTATCACGGACGCTCGCGCATCCGTGCGTGTCGACGTCGCGTCTTCGTATTAGTTGCGGATACGCTTTGATAAATCTGTGCGCACCAGATGTACCGCGGCAGAAGAGGTGTCGCCGTTGAAGATTTCGCAAATCGGTGCGGCGAAGAACTATGCGAAACGAAACAACGACAATCGAGGATTGGCGGTGCGTACATTCGGCAGAGCCGACACGGCATTGGCAACGGAAGTTCACCGGCCTTGCCGACGATAACCGAAGAGGTGATGCAAATCACGCGATTATTTCGTTGCTGCTTGCCGGCGTGTTTTTCCGCTTGGAGCGCTATCAACTACAGCTCGCGCCAAAGTCCCATCCGCCGGCCGTCTGCACGCATTAGGCGCCGTTGCGAAACTCGACGCGCGAGACAATGCGCGCGGCCCGCGGCGGAAGGTTGCGTGCTGCTCGAGAAACGCCCGTAAGCCGGGTCCTCGAAGGACGGCGAGCGAAGGTCGTCCGGTGCGCCCGGATCGCGCGCTTCCTTTCTTTGCCCGGCAAAAATGCCAATTTTCGCGCTCGACCCGCAGTTCCGTGATTACCGGACAAACCGGTATTATTTTCGCGTTGATGCCGCATCACGTTGCGTTAAGCCATTGTAATTGATCTCTCGTGGTTTTCCATCCGACGATGATCAACGGCACGGCAAAATCACTGCCAATCGTGGGCAAATGAGCCGCTGTTACATTACAAAATGGCTTTCAACTGTACATTACGAGAGGTAATTGAAAGGTATGGAAATGATCGTGCAAGAGACCAAGTTTCAAGTGGTGTGCAGATGCGGCAGAGTTTGGTTAGATGGGATTTAGCTGTCGCGGCTTTTCCAGCGACTGGTCCTGCGCGTCCCTCGTCGCTCAGCTGTTTGCGCGCGGGAAAAGCCTCGAACGCGTCGCCGGCCGCGCGTTTTCCAGTCATGCTTTCGATTAGCCCGGCCCGCAAGAACGACAAGCTGCAGCGTAATCGTCCACTTCGGCGAGCTGCACCATAAGTCGGGCTTACGAAAGGCTCGACTCTCGGTTTGCGCAAGTGGTCGCACAAGGGTCGCGCGGAAGCGGCAACGCGTTCCAATTCCGACGTGTCGCAACGTCTTCATCGACGCCGCTCTCCCTTCGGCCCGCGTCGCCTCGCCTAATACGGACAACCTGCTATGCGTTTCAGCGGAGTACATTCTGCCGTGCGCCCGACCCGATCCGGCCATCGACTCCTGCATTCAAAAGGCTTTCAACCATCTGCGCCCGTACCTCGTTAAAGGTGAGTTATGCTCCGGTTTCTAAAATCTCTAAAATCCTAATAACTATCCCCGGCTCCCGGCCTTTTTTTCTCTTCTCCTCCTCCTTTTTACGTAAGTTTGGCAATTTAGTTCGACGTCTATCATGTAATCGGCTTACATCCTTGCCGTTATGTGGCTTTTCGCAATGCAAAGGCTGTTATGTTGCGATGGCATGTTGTATAAACAAAAGTTCTTTCCCAGGAATCGGGGAGCTGGATTTGCCGCCGATCGAGCCGCTGGTCATTCCAGAACTGGGCATGGAAAATGGCCAAGGTGCCGTTCGAGTTCGCGCTCTGTTCTCGAATATCACGGCCTTCGGGCCGGGCAACTACTCCATTAACAAGGTGCGCACGGACCTGAAAAATCTGCGGCTCGACTTGCACCTGACGATACCGAAAATCGAGCTCCAAGGTCGTTACGAAGTGACTGGAAACGTGCTGCTTTTTCCCATTCAGAGCCAGGGCGACTTCTGGGCTCTGTTCGGTAAATATGCACAAGCTCGACATATCCAAACGACACCGCGACACGATCCCGTAGCCGTTTTAAATATTTATTTCAACATTTTACGACGCTCTTCGGATACGCTTGGAATTACTTATGGCTTACGGCGTGTGGATGCGCAGTATGTATAATTTGCGTTACTTCGTGCTCCGAATAGCAAATCTCGCTTCCATTGTTCCGTCGGACTTGTACCCCACGTTTTACATTAGTTTACAAACGGCACGGATATTTTCGTTCGCGCTAGCCTCGTTGTAGCTCGAATATAAAATCGAAAGAATGAAAAAATTATCTGCTTGTAGGCGATACATGGTATCTCAGAGTCGTGAGCTTCGTGATTTATGAGCGACGAGAAAAACTACGGCGATTCACGATCGTACAACCAGCGCTGAAATATCTTTTGGGCGTGTTCGAAAAGCACAATCGTTGCATAAGATTCGGTCGTTCGAGCGAGCAACGCCGCGCGTCTGAACATTCGCCGACGAGTCTTAACAGTGCCTTCGCAAAGGTAATTAGCCGATTGCTCGAGTAACATTGTTGATTTTGCGCAGGTGACGTCGCGGCGATCGCACGGGTGCAAGGAGTGGAAGAGAAGCGCCACGACATACGATACATGAGGATCTCACGGCTTCTGGTGGACTTCAGTCTGGGCAGAGCGCGCTTCCGCATTGTGGACCAACTGAACGGCAACAATGTGATCGGCCAGGCGATGAACCAATTCCTCAACCAAAACGCCAAGGAGATCATCGAGGAGATGCGACCGGCTGCATCCAAGAGTATCGCTCAACACTTCATGGCCTTTCTCAATGGAGCCTTTACCAAGGTGCCCATGAAAGTCTGGCTCAAGGATTCGTAGTTTCTTTCGTCGAGTCGACGACACTGCCTCCTTTTCTGCTCCACATCATTTTCATCGGCCATTTTTTACGTGGACGAGTAGCATTTTCATTCATCTTCATTCGTCGTCTTTCATCGAAACTTATCGGCACAATAGTGTGAACAACGCACATTTTAATTATTAGGGTGGACCAACAATTGTCGCTTGCGTTAAATCATTTATTTTTCTGTGGAACTGATCGAGACCACCCCCTGCTTTGAACGTCAATTAACGTATATCATATTTTAGCTGGCAATGCACTTGAAAAAAATCCACGCGTGCGAATAAAAAATTAGGGACTCGTCATTTGGTCTTTAGACGTGAATTGCAATTTTCATACGATACATTTTTGAACGATAAAATTTTTGAACAGTTTCAAATGCAAAGATTTACCGGCGCATCCGTCATTTCATCCCACCGAAAAACAATCGAATTGATGACTTGTCTCTTTTCGTGGTTTCACAACTAAAATGACAATAATCGTGGGAAGTCATGGTCAAAATTATTTTCGCCATGACGAGGAGCTTGATCCATTTAACACCACGCGCGGCTTTCGCAAGCTCATGACTCTCGTATTTATTTTGATTCGTAACAACTAGATCACCGTAGCCGCTATCGTTTAAGTCTATCTGTCAATCGGAATTGTTGTTTTTCGTCGTTTGCGTAAGTCACTGCACTCATGGCTGATGTAACCCAACGTCGCCGGACACCAGAACCAGAGAACCAGTAATTTCGTCAGTGATCGCAGTGTTATTTTCATAGCATTGCGATAACAAGATTATTGTACGTCGCGCTCGAGCTTTTCGTTGATCAATTTGTTTGCGAGTAGCGCAAATTAATATCTCGCAGCGGTGTCTTTGCGATTATTTAAAATTCTTCGACACGTGATCCTGGTGTCCGCTATCAGTATTGAAAAAACATTAAACGTTTCTTCTCCCTGTATAAAATATACATCTCATCGGTGGTCGTTGCATTAGCATACTATTATTATCATGATTACTACTTCATTTTTTTACTCCTTTACTTCTTAAACGGACGTATCGTTATCGAACTTGTAGCGCATCATCGACGTAGGCCTACGGCATCAGCAACGCACAAACATTCGCTCCTTAGTACGTAATGTTTTATCCTCAGTGTAAACAATTGAGACTTGTACATAGCTATGTGAAAATAAAAGAATATTTTTAGCGATACCCAAATCATGTTTCCTTATGTTATTCATACCTTTCGTTCGCATTTGGATCCCCTTAACGAACTAGTTGGTCAACTTGCGAGAGAGCGCGATAAAGTAACGCTCAAAATGACGAATAGCGAGCCTAAGTAAATGAAAAGCACCGTAGATTGGGCAGTGCAGCGATGGGTGTATGAGCGACGTGAAATCAATGGAAAAATGAAAAACGAAAAAGATACATGTACACGTGTGTGTATGTCGATCGGCGCAGGCACCCGAGCGTACAAGTCGTAACAAGGACGTGCCGATACGGTACGGGCGCGCTCGCAACTAGATTTCAGACCGCATTTCTCAAAGCGCAAATCTGAATGAAGACAGCCAGTATTTACATAGTTTGTCGCGCGTGCGTCACCTAAGGCACCGTGGTGACTAGGAAGTGTGCGTAAATCTAGAAGCTAAACATAAGGCTGAGCGCGTGTGCGTCGAAAAAGGAGAGAGAGAGAGAGAGAGAGCGGGAGAGAGTGGTTGATAATGAATCGGAACCGTGGTGCTGGCTATCAGCTGTGAACTCTGACATGCAGTCGTCGCCTAGCGTTCGGCAGTCGAGTCGTTCGCGAGCCCTCGGAAAGTGACGCCACTCCCGGCTCTCGCAGATCTCAGCTCGGGCACCTGACCAGCTAGTCTGTCGCTCGAGGATTTAGCTGCGACGCGCTTGCGAGAAAGGAAACGCACGCCGAACCTACCGACGCCACCATGGGACAATTCACCAAGAGGCAATGGCTCACGCTCATCGTCATCAGCATCGCCGATTTCGCCAACGCCGTCTGCGTGTCCCTCCAAGCGCCTTTCTATCCCCAAGAGGTGAGCACTATTCTCCCATCAAGTCGCGTACGCACCGGCGGATATATTGTTTACGTCGGTGAGAGATGCGTGCTCGTTATATTTTAAGCGGACAAATAAATGCGTTTGCCAATTTCGTAGCAGCGTTTGTTGACGCTTGGCAGCGCTCGTTCAAGTGATCATCTTTTATCGCGAGCAATGCACCCATAAAACACACCGAACGGTTAGTTAATTTTTTTTCTCTTTGCTTTTTCCTCTCGTCATCGTCGTTGTCGTTGTCGTCGTCGCCGTCGTCGTCGTCGTCGTCGTCGTCGTCGTCGTCGTCGTCGTTGTCGTCGTCGTCGTCGTCGCGGTCAGTCGTCTGTTTACGTACGAAGATTAAAGAAATTTAGAAAATCCTAGATAAAATGACAAACAAAACTTGAGCAGACGGCTTTATCTGTACATTATTATTAGTGTTTGCGAGCCGAGTCCGTCCAAAGTTTATCTGGCCGTTATCGCGCTACTTTTCACGCTTAATTGCATCTGTCCGTCGCAGATACGGATGGCTTATTCAGCGTTGTAGCTTATCAGTGACATCTAACAAGCAGTTTTCTTCTGTTTGTTTTTTTTTATAATGCACAGGCGGAGAAGAAAGGAGCCACGGCCACCGAGTACGGCCTTGTTTTCGGCATCTTCGAGCTTGTCGTCTTCATTATCAGCCCGATTTATGGGCAACGAGTAAGTTATCATTTTTATTCTCTGTCTACCGAAGCTACAGTTTATCGCCAGTTCGAATAACAATGCACAGCGTGAAGCTCGAGAGTTCTTATGTACTAGACTAGCTCGTGACTCATGATGTTTGATGTTGTCTAAAAATCAGTGAGGCACACCGAGTGCACGCTTTTTGCTGAAAATACCCATTTCCTACCACCATTTGTCATTGGCACTGTAGATCAACCGAATAGGGCCGAAGATTTTATTTAACGGAGGCATCCTAACGACGGGCACGTGCGCAATATTCTTCGGCCTGCTGGACAAAGTTGAGGGTCACTACCCGTTCATCATACTATCGTTCGTCATTCGTATAATCGAGGCACTGGGCAACGCGGCCTTCCTGACCGCCAGCTTTGCGATCATCGCCATGGAGTTTCCCGACAACGTCGCAACCACGTTCGCCAGTCTCGAGACCTTCTTCGGACTCGGTCTGATCGTCGGGCCCACCGTCGGAGGAGCTCTCTTCCAGGTGAGTTCATTCCCACTCGGCGCCGATCGTTGGCTGACGCTTTCTGAACTGCCGTCAGATCGGTGGCTACACCACGCCGTTCGCAGTGCTGGGTTCCGCCCTCTTCCTCGCGGCGGTCATGACTGCCTTCGTGCTGCCGGTCCATCACGAGAGGGACATGGACAGCCAGAGTTCCGCAGGTAAGCCGAGGCTCTCGTCGCTCGCGTCTGGCCACTCACGCTCTCGCTGGTCTGCGCAGGAAAGTTCATGAAGGTGCTGAGGATACCGGGAGTCATGGTTGCCACGGCCTCGATCATCGTCACGAGCATGAGCATCGGCTTTCTCCAAGCCACCCTGGAGCCCCATCTTCGGAAATTCGATCTGAGCCCGGTCGTGCTGGGCCTCATGTTCGTCATCAACGGCGGCACATATGCGCTTACCGCGCCCGCCTGGGGTTGGCTGTGCGACAAGCACGCTACTCCAAAGGTGAGCCTCGCCGCAGCCTCGCCGCCCGTTGCCGCGCCTCGGACTCACGCGTTCCGTAACCGCAGATAGCAACGGTCGCTGGATGCATGCTGGTCGTCCTAGGATTCGGCTTGATCGGGCCGGCGCCTTTGATACCCTACGACACGATCCTCTGGATGACCATTCTCGGACTCGTCATTCACGGCCTGGGAATGGCGGCGCAGCTCGTTGCAAGCTTCACCGATGCTCTGAGAATTGCCATGTAAGTGCTTCGCCGCTACGACAGCTTTCGCATACTAACGGCACCGACATTTCGGGCTCACCAGCCCAATATTCTTCTCGGGTGGCTCGCCCGGAAACAGCGTCGACGAAATATTATTGCGCCTTCCTCGAACGCAATGACTATCGGTCGACCTTTCTCAATCAATTTCTAAGCGTTCGTAATCGCACTTGCTGTACATATATGCATGCGCGCGATAATTGATTTGCAACAGACAGCTGTGTGGCTGCGCAAAAATTCACACGAGAATAAGCTATCGATCGACTCGTGGCGCCGGCTGACTATCAACGACATTCATTTGAGCGGCCATTTTATCGGGTTTCCGTAAAAATTGATAAGTGGCGGTTATCTCTTATCGCGCTGGCCATTGTTCGTCGAGCGCCTTGATGGCGACTTCGCGCGTCTTCGCGTACATCGGGCTGCCGTACTGCAGGCATTTCACTCTGTTCTGTCGGTATTGCAGAGCCAACGGTCTCCCGAATAATCTCGATACTTACGGACTGATCAGTGGACTATGGACGAGCACCTTTGCTCTCGGTGCTTTTATTGGACCCAGTGTCGCCGGTATCCTGTATGATAGCATCGGTTTTAGACAAGCTTCCATGTTCATCGTCATTCTGCACTTCATTGTGGTAAGCTGTATCAGATAAGAGGATATTCACCGTTTCTTCTTTTTATTTGGCTCCAACAAATAATTGATAGTACCAAATTGTTTATTTCATTTTCTTGAACGTTACTTTCAATTGCCCGAGCGGTTATCTTTCGGCGAGATAGTGTTGCTACTGGATACATTTAATCCAAAGCGAAAGGTCAACAAGCTGAAATTTACTGATTTTATACTTTAAATTATTATGACGTACCACTTGTTGTTTCGACAGATGAATTGCAATGGATAAGACTTGGAAAAAAAAATGAAAGCGTTGATCTTGTTTCCACGTTTCTCTCGTTAAAAATGAATGGGAATTGAGATCCAAAATTCAGTAAATGATGTCTAGATTCATGAATAATGTAAATTTTTTTGCTCCTTCGTGCATGGGAATTATAGTCGAAGATCTGCAAAAATGGAGCTGTGAGAAAAGAATCTAGTGACGAACAATAGAATCCAGTTGAAAAATCTGAAAGTAGCTGACACTGTTTCGCGATAAAAATATTTTTTCCCGGGTTAAAAATGATTCAAAGTGAAAAAGCCAATGATAAATGTCACCGCGCAGAGGCTGCAGTGACAACTGAAATAGATAGGGCTAATGATCAGTCACTCGATGATTGTTTTTTTCTCGAAAGGTAAATGATTGTACGTATAACGATTGGTTTACATTCACGTTGTGTAATTTTTAACTAGTCACGTTGAGACCGCTTTTCTTTCATTACTGGCAAGTGCGCATACTTTTTTATAATTTATATACAAAACAAATATCCTTCCGACATGAATAACAAAATGACATATTAGGACGCTTTCTTTTCACATATAAAAGATGCTCGGGATTAATGATAGCTTATTCCGATTGCGTGGCTGGAAGTGAAATTCCATGTAATAAAAAATAGTTCGCGACAAGAATTCGTCTCGAGTTTAATTTTCAGAGTATAAAATTTTATCGACGATAAAATTTTATAAGCGGTAGCTCAACTAATGAAATATGATCGTGAAAGTCAAAACGACGTCATTAAAAATGACAAACGTATTCGACTATAACGTCGATCCTCGAGTGTTACCTTTTTTCGAACGAAAGGAGTCGGGAAGGATAAAATAGGTAGTATCCGTTAGTTAGGAAGCGCCTGAACCTAAAAATTACAGGTCAACAATTGGCAAAGTTGCTGACTAATAGCGACTAGCAATCAATCACCGATTCTCTCGGCAGGGTGTCGCAGCCTTCATCTTCGTGAGCTGCTGCGAGCGAGGGCCCAAGCCGTACACCGAGCTGAGCGCTGCCGAGGATCTGCGAGTGTCGATGGCCGACAGCGGCCGCATATCGCACTCTCAGAGCACCAGCCTGATCGCTGGGAGTGCAGTCCACGGCGGACCGAACGGCGTGCCGATCGATCGGCCAAGCGGCATGAACAGTCTTATCGCCTGCAACAGCTACTCCAATCGCACGAACGCTTGGTCCAGGGCGTCCTACAGTGGCCGACACCTCAATAGCTACGGTAGCTTCGACGCCAAAACTTATCTCGAGCGCACCACTTGAGATCTTCCGACGCGTCGACGTAGATTTTTAAGTGTGTTTATTTTTGCTCGTACGTTAGGCAGCTCGTTCGCTCGCTCGTGCGTTCGCTTCAAACGTGCACTTTGCCATCGTGGGTGCATTGGCCTTGGTATGCGCGCGTGTACGTGTGTGTAGCGACGCGAGTGATCGAGTGCAATGGTCGATCGAAAGTTTTATCATTTTTAGGAAATGCTCACGCGGATTCATCGTGTCGTTGTCCATGAGCATCAATTTCGATCTTGCGCCTTTGAGGCAAAAGCGACGAGCGCGTGGCGTTGGAAATTTTATCAATGTACACACGTTCATGTGTATATACGCAAAGTGTAAATAATCCGAGCAATTGCCCTGCACTAATTGAACGCCTCTTTTTGTTCGCCGTCTCTCTCTCTCTCTCTCTCTCTCTCTCTCTCTCTCTCTCTCTCTCTCTCTCTCTCTCTCTCTCTCTCTGTCGTCTTTATTGATTGTTTCTTTTTCGATCGTCGATGAAAGTGCTCAAGCGATCGTCTTTTTAGCGCGGATGATTAATAACAATGTACTTGCCTTTTGCGAATCTCTGTATTTATTGAGTCTCTCTTCCCCCTGTGTTTCTAGGTAAGTGTGTAAAAAACGAAATACATATCCTCTTTTCATAAAAACATAATGCAGCCTATCTTTTATCCTAAACAATAAGTCAAAAGCATTTTCAATCGCGAATATCGCGATATGCAAATCGCGATAGGGATGAGATGACAAATTAAGCGGAAGCCCCGTGCTAAGAGCGAGTCTCCGCTAAAAAGAAAAAAAAAATTGGCAGGGATTATTTATGGCGCGAGAGGGGCTGCGTTGCAACCGATCGCTAGATATTGTCAGGCAGGAGATCGTCTTCGGCTCTGACAAACTAGCCGAGTGGAGTTTCGCTTGTTTTCTCAAGGTCGACGCCAGTCAACAGTACAATTACCGTGGAATCGATTGTCAGCCAAAGCTTTATGCGCCAATAGGATAAAGGCTTCAGTCGATAAATCGGCCAGCAGCTTCGACGAAGCCGCGGACTTCCATTTTCAAGCTTTCTCGGAATGTATAATTACGAGGCAGGCGGCGCGGCATCATCACTCATTCTCGTTCTCTGCCTCACCTTCTGCTCGACGACCACTGCTGCCTTTGTACGCTGTCGAGCCGAGGGCTACGGCACGCGCGCGTGTGTACGTGCGCGCGCGTTCGTGCTCACCGGCGTGCATCGGTCCGTCCGGAAGCAACCGCACGAACGTTGAAACACATACTGCCTTTCGTAATGCGCACGAAAGCGACAATTGTGATATGCTTTTCTGCGAGGACGACTATGAGTACGTACGGCTCTTCGAAAGTATCGTAATGTTCGATTCGATCCGCGGAAGCGCACACTTCTTTTTCATTCCTGCAGATTTACTTGGTATAATTTGGTATAACGTGAGGTATGACGCTTTCTTGAAATGCGAAAAAACATAATATGGGAATAATGGAATACTTAAATAAAAATGTAGGATGTGGAAAAAATTAATTCGGGAAACAATGAGTGAATTTATGATTGTAAATTAAATGTAGACAGGTACTGTCTGCTTTGGCCAACGGATAATTTTCAGCAGTGATTATTCTTTTAAATGTTTAATTAAAAGTTTTTTTGCAACGCTGTCGATGGAATAAAGGACAGGCAAAAATACGAAAACTTCAGCTAATAGTACAGAGCAATATTGCAAAAGTTAATCAAAGTGACCATTGCTGCCTCGATGAAAGTACAGCTTGTTAGCTCTGAAATGTAACATATTCTCTTAATATTATGGCGGGATAATTAAGCCAGCAGATATTACCAATCAGGATCGACTCCGATAATTTGTGCAAGGTCGCGCTGTAGTAGAAAATAATTTGTTCAACCATTCGACGAACCGTTTTATCTCATCAAGTAAAATTTTTTTCAAGTTCGCCACATGTAAATTTCAAATGTGTTCGTCTTCGAATGTACAATCAGTTAACGTTGAGATCCCCCGACGTTACAAGAAAATGGCGAGGAAACTATTCTCACATTAACGTCAAACTAGGAATTTGAGAGCTTGTAACTGTTACTTGCAAGATGTAACATTTGCCAAAGTGATCTTTTCATTCCTTTCCTTTGAATTGAAAATAATGGACATGCATAAAATTTCTCATTTTCTTATTTAAACGTTTAACGTATCGTCACTTGACTGTATAATCAATGTATTATTAATTCATGAGTAATTATTCACCAAAACAACTCACTTTGGATTATAATTTTCTGAAATAATATGTCAGCATAAATATAATACAAATCCCGCAGTAAATTATTGATTACATATAAATGGGAATATTCATAAAAATTAAAAGGTAACATATTTAGCAAAATTCAACAACTTTGCCATTATTGTAAATATAAAGATTCTTTTCTCTGTAGTGCGTCGGATCCCTGAGAAGTTCGTTGTAAAATAGCCAGAACCCGGGCTCAAAATAATCAGGCAAAGGATCACCACCGCCAGCTAATGCGAGACCGTCATAGTAAGAAAACATTTCTTCAATCATGAAATGAGCTTTGCTCTTGGGTTTTCCAGGTGGAAGTTTTTCTTCTTCTAGCATTTTCTCGCGACTTGGTAGCGTTAACTTGCCACGTAATACAGCAAGAAAGTACTGCATCTAAAATTCGTATGAAATTGCATTAATCCTTTTGCGTTTTTAAAAATTTACATAATACAATTTTAAGTCAATGAAAAAATTGAGAATCTTTCCCAATCGAACTTAATACAATGATAGTTGATTCGGTAGTTACAATACAAAAAATATAGAGATAAACAAAACACTTTGTCTGAGCTAGTTAATGACAAGAATTAAACAAACAGAAAGTGTTATTTCTATGTTTGAAAAATTTGTCCTTATCTTACCTGAGCATGCGGCATTATAAAACCGTAACTTGGAGTCGGTATATTTAAAATAGCCATGGTCGGATGCTCGATACTGATGAATTGTTTATAAAGAAACCGGACATATTTTCCATCTTCGACAATAATACCAGTGTTTTCGTCAAGGTATGGAAGATCATACAAATAGCCCGTAGCAAATAACAAGGCGTCAGCTTTGATTCTTGTGCCGTCATTTAAAATAAGTTCGTTACCATTAGCGCTGGCAATACCAGCTACTTGTACTACGTTTTCTGGCAGTATAGATGGAAGTCTATTATCATTCATTGTATTTATTGTTAGTGTGTTATAATATTTTACACTAGTGCATTGTACTAAAATACCGTATTATGTACAAAAATTGTACTTACTTGTCGTGTCTAGAACTGAGATAAACCATCGAAGCATTCCAACTAATTTGAATACTAATATCAAAACCAGATAATCCGGCACCTAATACTACAACTGTCTGCCCAGCAAACTCTTCAGGCTTGCGAAAAAGGTGACTGTGCAATACGCGCCCTGGAAAACTTTCGATGCCTGGGATTTTGGGTATGTTTCCTTTGACGTGATGCCTAAAACGGTATACCTTATTTCAGTAAGATTTTTTAATAAAAAAAACCTATATATCTATATACACATAAAGCAAAAGTCAAATCATGTGTTCCATTCTATAGCACAACGTATGTTTAAAAGAAATTTAATATATTGTGAAATCATAGGGTGTGAATTCTACTGAGGTAGGGTTTTCCAAAATTTCAATATTTATAAGGGTTCAACTTATCTTTTATGGCGAGCTTTTATCGGAAATGTGTTATTTTACTGGGAATCGGCATTTTTTGGAATATACATATAGGTAGGCAAAACCGCAAAAGGTTCCGTAGTTTATACTTACCCACTCCCCGCAATAAAAATGTCACAAAGTATTTCGTCCTTTTCATTAGTATTCAAATTTCGTATGTTTACGAGCCATTTATCGCCGTGTATCAAGCTTACTTTTTCGACATTAGTGTCAAACTGAAAAAAACAATGATTACTGATGGCTCATATTATTTATATGAAGATGTTGCTAGTTTCAATATTATTTGAAGTTCCCTCACCCCCATATAATTCTATAGGTAAATAAAATATATGTAATAAACATGGAAAATTTGTCGCATCCTCCATTCAATGGCTTACTTAAACAAATTAATATTAATAAACGTTTTAACTTATATTATAACTAATCCATTTCGAAGAAATTAATAATGATTTTGAACTATTACTAGTCCTTTTGTTTATATCAAAACAAAATATAAATGTACGTAACAATTAAATAATTGTTACTTTGACTTTGACAAATTACTGTATAAAGCTTTTCTGATCACGTACAATTTATTTTTGAAAATGCATGGCATCATCTATCATTCATATTAAGTCAAACTTTTATTTCTTGTATTAGTAGTTGATTTTTTAAGAGTCTTGATCTATTATAAGAAATCCATTAGTATAGCTTTATAAACAAATTGGATGACTCGCGCGAATATATTGTTTTCCATATAAACATAAACAATAATATTTCAAATAATATTTTAAAATATTATATTGAAATATATTGAAATTAATAAATAACATTTCAAAATCGTAGTTAAATTTTTATTTTTTTATGGTGAAATCGTTAGATTGAACGCTATAAAATTGATTAGTCATAATTCAGTCATAATTTGATTAGTCGTATTTAATTATTTTTCAAGTACCAACTATGTTTAATTTAGTCGAACTATCGGGGAAAGAAGCGACAATTTTCTCCGTTTCCTATATATAAATAGTAGTTAGCTATAAAATTATATGAAGGGTTCTTAATACCTGAATATACTTGCGGAGATTGAAATAGTTGGTATAGTTTTTAAGATATTCAAGAACCAGTGAATGATATACAAAACTGCCATTTCCTGCTGTAAACATCGTGTAATCAGGGTAACTGAGGAATTCTTTTGGACCATTTATTCTGAAATATTATATAAGACAACCCTCATGAATTGACATTCTTAAAAAATATTAAATTTGTAAAAGATTACTATTTTCCAAAAAATACTTAAGATATTTGTATAAGCTACTATGTACAGGAAGGCCATGCTCGTCAACGGTTGTACTATCAGTATAAATCCACATTCCCCCCACATTTGACTGTTTGTCAAAGGTTATAAGTTCAAATTCATCAAGATGTTGAGCAACATATTTTGTCGCAATTAATCCAGCCGGTCCTGCACCGACTATGCACACTTTCTGTTTTGGCGATTTATTCCCTTCGCTAGGAATGGCCAATATTAACAAAGACAAGATCGATATTTTCCACCTGAAATAACTCAATGCGTGTTTATAAGTAGTAATAGCATTGAATAAAAAGTATTTTTTTTAATATTTTATATAACTAAGTATAACAAGAAAATTTAACATCTGTGCATATATATTTTTACTTATAAAAGCATAACAACTTTTTATCTGCAATTCCATCATAACATTGAAATGCATGTATAATAACATTGAAAGTTTAAAGACGAATGCAAAAAAAATCTTTTTTAATTACATTTTTACTTTCAGAACCGACTGAGTATCATGTCATCATGTCTGAAACAAAAGTAACATTGGTACTTACATGTTGATTCCGCAAATGAACAGTAACTTATCTGTGAAATATGAGAAAACTTTAAAAATTACATTATTTGAAATATACAGGCTTCAGTGTCTGACTTTAAAGTGTAGAGTTAATTAGGTTAAATATTGTTTTAAGCTGAGTTTTAGTCTACTTTAACCCATCAATGTTCACAGAAAAGTTTTTCGAGACCTAGGTTTGATTTGTTGGAGTTTAATACATTCGAGTGAAAAAAATTAGATCTACCGTTTCCTACATTTTCGAAAGTTTTCTTTACAATGGTGTTGATTAAAAGTTCCATCAAACAAGTTTTACTACCAAAACCTCAAAAAAAAGCTTTATATTTCGTTAAAATTTTTTTTAATTGATTATCCGTCCCGTTAATATTTGTATTCAGCTAAAACCTATCTAGATTAGAGAGTCAGTTGGCGTTGAATAGTAAAAATTATAAATTTTATTTACTATGGTATAAAAATTGTTCCAGTAAAGTTATCATCCTGAATATATTTTTATCTTGAAGTACTCGTTGAATGCTTTCATTTGCCCTTATTTTAGTCTCAAAATTTTAAATAGAAGGTCTAGAAAGTTACCATAGCCGCAGTACCTTTTTTTTTAAAAAAAATTGCTTTGCCACGCTTTTTTGAATATTAGAGTGAACGAAAATAACTTTTTAAGGGATCATTTACTTTCTTTAGATCAATATTTCAGATTAAGTAAAGAATTATTGTTATTGTTATTGTGACTTTAAAGTTTAAGTTTTAAGAACTACGTCCATTGTATTTCAAGAATGTTTGAACATTTTTCAAAAAATTAATTTTACCTCTTTTATGAAAATTTTTTTCCATTGGTCAAAAAATGATTTTGAAAAAAATCTATGAAAGTTTTCATAAAAATGGTAAAATTGGCTATTTCAAAAAGTTCTTAAAATAATCTGGAGTAATCATTTAAAGAAAGACAATGAGCTCTTCAAAAATGATTTCCATTTACTCTAACATTTAGCAAAGTATGGAAAACCAAACTTTAAAAGAAAAATAAACCATAATGGTTAAGGGGACTTTCTAGAGCCCCTGATTGAGATTTTAGAATTAAAAAAAAATAAATTGAAACCATTATCGAGTATCTTACAGTAAAAAAGTATTCATGAAGATAACTTTATTGAAACTATTTTTACACCACAGTAAAGAAAACTTACAATTTCTACTGTTGAACACCAGTTGGTTTCTTAAATCACGAGTGCGCGGAAAAATTATGGATATATCGTACACTTAAACTATGCTATTTAACTGACTCATAAATATTGAAAATAATATACTTAACACAGTGTACAGTATATACAATTAATATAATTTTAAAATAAGGTTCAAAATAATTATAAAAGACGAATTGAGTAACACAAACTTTGAAAACAAATCTTTTTACTTTCGCAAAACGAACCCATCAAATCACTCACTTATAACAGTCAACTGAACGTAGTATTAGACCTTGTCTGATTTTGTCAACTCATTGCGAATCCAATTAATGTCTATAATAATACATGCAAAGTGAAGTTATTTCATTTGAGTGCACGTTATTTGGTATTTTGAGTTTTGCATGTACGGATTTCTCATAACTAGCATATACCTTATTAAGATCCATTATTTCAACTTTGTCTCTAAAATGAATAATACATTTTCAAGAAGTTACAAATGTTGAAATATTTGGGTTTTTCTGAACGGGTTTTCGATGTATTGCTAAGATAAGCTAATGATTGGTCGGAAATACCGTGAGTGTTATACTAAATTATTGACACTGTATTTGAGAACTTGAAAAGATTTATACTGCAATCAATATTTACTTACTTATTTCTACAGCTACTACATCGACCGGTAAGTATGATGTATACAAGATAGTTGCTTTTATAACTAACTTAATCGCAGTTACTTTGCTTATCAAGAACACAGATAACAAGAAATAATCAGCTGATAATCTTGTCAATAACTTAATATATTTATTTATTAGTGAAACAGTTTCGTTGAAGTCAAATGCTAATATTCAGTTATACTTCAATGAAGTATATTTGAAATTGAAATTCCAGTTTACTATATTCCTTCAAAATATAATTATAATTATAATTTTGCTATTTTTGGTGCATTTGATACATTTTCACCAAACCTAATGCTCATATTCTTTATTTTTTAAATTCCTTCCTTCATTCCTTCCGCACACTTTTTACAAAAAGGCAAAACCTTATAAAAGTGGGCTATAGAATTACGAGGTTGTTTACATGTTTTTTACCATTGCAATATCTACTAAAGCCTTAGTCATAATAATGGTATATCAATTTTGTGCATTGTAGCGGCTGTCGTAACAGCTCTTAATCAGGAAAAAAAGTATTATAATACCAAATTATGATTATTCAAATGTAATAACATGACAAATCCTTTCATTTGTAACCCAACTGTTGTTTCATTTGAAATAACATCAATTATAAAATTTCCGTGTATGGATTCGTCACAACTGGTATAAATTCAATTATTTTCATTTTTTCTTAAAAAAAAACGTATTCAAGTTATCGCAGATATTGGAGGATTTAAAAAGTTTTTCTAATGCATGCATTTAATATGATCTAATAAATTAAATAATAAGAATAAGAAATTAAATAATTAGTATAAGAATAACTTATTTTGATCATTATTTTTACTTATGGAGACATTTTGAAATCATGTACTACTACGAAGATTATGGAATAAGGTTTCCTTATTAAATAATTTTAATACGTGGAGGGACATGATAGCTACTCAAACTAAACTATAAAGTGCCGTTTTCATAGAAGTAGAGATTTTTCTTCTCTGAAATGAAGAGGATCCGTGGTCACATAATACGTAATGACGGTACCAACAGTCATAGACTGGAGACACAGGTTCACCACTATCAGCTACGGCAAGCTCATTGTAATAGTTGAATACTTTTTCGAGTTAAAAGTGGGCCTTACTCTTAGTCGTTCTCACAGGTAATTTTGCTTCTTTCAGCATTTCTTTGCGGTTTGGTAAATTCCCTTTGCCACGGAGCACCGTTACAAAGTATTGAACCTAAAATGACTGTACGTTACTAACGATTCTTTTATGAACAAGAAACAAAATGATAAATTTTTCTGGAGAAAAAAATTCAATGAATTATTTTTAAAATACGTTCACAATGCATGTAAGCATTAAAAAGAGATATTAAACTGAGTGTTACCAGAGCATGGGGTAAGAGCAGATTAATACCAGGCAGAGAGATGTTAAAAATAGCGATAGTCGGACGTTAGATATTGATGAGATTCTTGTCATATAACGAACACATTGATGATTATTCATTAATAAATCAGTTTCTTCAAACAAGATCATTTGTTGTCTACTTAAGCCAATATTTGAATTTCTTTCTTTTGTATAATATAATTAGATTTTCCTACACTTATACTTATTATTCTAGGTTTGTTTTTTTTTTAACTTGAGTTTTTGAATGTCATCAATATTTCATTATGTTTCAAATTTTAACTGATTGAAATAGACCATTTAAAATATATTACAATATATTTTCATTGAACTTAGTGATTATATTAGATATTTTTGTAATCTATCTTCATATGCGCCAAAGTTTCTCTCCTCGAATGAAGCAAAAAAATAATGATTAATTATGACACTGATGTGACCAAAGAGATTTGCTTGCGAGTGTAAGAAAATTTTCTTCACTCATTAGCATAGCTTGACAAAGTATTGCAATGAAAAATAATATAAAATTAATGTATTAAGTATACCCAAATGTATTGACGAGGATCGAAGTAATTAGTGTAATTTTTAATGTGCTGTGCATTAAATTAAGTGCTTTTCATTACCATAACGATTTCTCATTTGGAAAGATAATTTATCGTAAGACTGTTGTGCATTAGTCGAGTTATTCTATGTAGGTGCACGACTATAAACTGACAGGACAGACTCGTTATCCGTTATGCCATCCGTACATTGACCACCAACATCCGATTGCTTTTCAAAAATTACAGTTTCAAATTGTTCTGGATGAACAGCTAAGTGCCTGACTGAGATTAGCTTGGCGAGGGCGATTTAAGCTGTCCAATGAAGCTTGGACCGATGTATAATTGAACGGTATAATTGAACCAGATATGATTGAACTGCAACAACCTAAAGGATCCCTTTTGCCTGTGTTATTCTTTCTGACGGTTATCTTGCCTTTCGCACTAAAACATGTCGAAACTTGAGCAATGCGGAACATTATTCGAAGAAGGATATCTGTACTTATGAATGAGCCATTGTCGAGATAAAAAGAGTTGCTTGGTATGCTATTTGGTTGCTCAACCAATCGAAATGAACAGTTGCTTCGAAGGCAACGCGGCAGCTCCATTTCAGCTCCGATCAATGAAGTAGCATGTAGCGGACATCTGCGTTATCCACTGCGTTTGGGCAACATTGCAGTTGCGTGGCGCGGCCGGGAACGCGAGAAAAGCCACCGCCTCGGCATAATAAGCGCAGCAGCGAAACGAAAAGTGCGCGGTATATCCCGAGCAACAATGCCCCACAAATCCCGCATAATTAAGCCTGTCGGAAAACGAGCGGTTAGCGCTCGGCGCTGGCCGCTCGCAACCGAAACGCATCGATGCGTCGAGGCTCGCTAATTGGCGCACTTTGCGCGCGCACATCGCGGGCCCCGGTGCACGCGCGGCGCGCTTTCCGCTTAATTGCAGGCGGCTCTCTTGCCGTTGACGCGGCGACAATGACATCGTAAAGCGCGGCTGAGAGGCGACTGACCCGGCCGCGCGTTGCGGATTGCGCGCTCGACGCATTCTTCGTTTTCGTTGCACCACGCACCGATATTGGCCATTCGCGCGTGCCGCCTTCTCCCAATGTCGTCCTAGCCCGCTGCCGATCGCTCGCGCCGGTCACTCGCAGAGCCGTTGTGTTCCCGCTTCGGGATAGGAGAGAAAAGGAAAACTGCGGCATGCGCATCGCTCGGCTCGGAGGAGCTCTCGTAAATAAGCAGCGGCAAATTGGAAACGGCGCGCATTAGGCAGGCGGCAGCGAGGAAATTTCTCCGTGGGAGCCCGCGCAGGAATGGTAGGCGCACGAGCTCGCGCGCGCGCGCGCGCGCGCGAGATAAAGGGACGCGCGGAAGAGAACGCCGCGCAGAAGCGCAAATAAAAGAGAGCGAGCGCTGATGGGTGCAGCGCGCCGCCGGCAGCCGAGCAATTTTACGTGGCAATGCCGTGCTCGCGCCAGCGAAGCCTTTCCTTGGCCGAGCTCCTCTCTATGACAATTCGTTTAGATTTTTCAAATTAATCGAGCCGCGCGCGTGAGTCACTCGAACACGGAGACGAGAGCTGAGTCAAGCGTTCTTCCTTTTTTTTTTCTTTACAGACGCGCTGGTATGCGACGAGAGATGCGGTTGCTCGATGACGCTTGAGGCCGCGCAGGTGTTATGAATGAAAATCGCTTTTTCGGCGATATTGTAATTCGGTTCGGTCAGCGTTCATTTTCAATCGCGTTTTTTCTCATTCACTGGCATCGCATTGACTTTTGAGCGTCAGCCATGCCTCAATTTTTGGTGAAAGTGTTGCGTACACATACATTACGATCCAGTTTCCGGTGCTCTCTGTGGCTTCGTTCGAAGGAAAGCGTTATCGAAGCCCCGGCAAATGCATATTCGTTCGCGACAAACTGGCTAAAAGCTTTCTGCTGTACGTGCAAAAACCGTGCGAGTGTCGTGGAAAGGCTACCGAGCACGCGGAAGAAATCTCTCGGGAGATTGCAACGGTCAACGCGTAAAGCCACGGGAGAAAAGGCGAGGAAACAAGAACGAAAGCCGACGCAACAGCGAGTCCGTAAGGAGAGGTTGGGCCCGAACGGTCGAAAGCAGCCACCTCCGCTTGGCTGTCCGATGAACCCTGGAAATTTGTCCGCGCTAACGAGCGGCGAAAAGCGAAGCAGGCGCATCGTCGGAAAAATCTGTGCCACGGGGTGCACAACAACAGCCGGACCGAGCGCAGGTGTGGAAAGGCGTAGGTGTCCCTACGTCGATCTGCGAAAGGAGCGAGAGGGAGACAGGTAGTCGAGCGTGCTGCCACCTGAGCGAGCTGCAGGCAGGTGAGTCGGCAGAGAGGGGGGCGGGGGCAACAGGTAAAACAACGCGCGCTCTCCTCCCCCGACACGCGGAGGAGAATGCGCAGGCGCGTCGCCGCCGAAGAGCTGCCCCAGCGCGCTCCGGGGCCCGTTCCCGGCGCGCATTCGATCGCCGCGAGCGTCTACCAACGGACACTCGCCGCTCGCTCGCTCGCGCGCCACTCAACTCCAATCCGTTTCTTCCCCTCCCAGCGTACGGTCGCGCCAAGGGACAGACAAGTTTCTCTTCTCGTCCGCGATCGTAGTGCGAGAATTG